TATTCAATGCTGTTTGTGGTCAAGATAAAAAGCAGTACTTTTTTAACGGTTACATATTTTATTTAATAAATGTTATCGGTAACTTCGATTATACAGTCATTTAAAGTAATATAGTAATTAAACAACACAGTATTAGTTATTAGGTACTACAATTTATGTAGATTTCAATCATTAACTAGACAATATATATTTTTTAAATAGAATTTATATATGAATGATTTAAATTTAATTGTATAACGCTATTGTATGGACTTAGCAGTTATTGGAAATAATGAAAATTAAATTAAAATGTTTTAAAATATTATCATTTAATCACTTAACATATCGTAAATTTTCTCTTAATTTCCATGAAAGTCAATTTTTTTTATTATTTTTTTATTTTTTATATCATTAGCATACTGGCAACATTCGTTTTTGTAACAACATGCTTTCGTGTCATTGACATAGATAAGTTTTACAGTTGAAAATGTGTTTCAAAACGTATTAAACTACTTTTTAATAGTCTTTTTTTTATTTCATGACAATTTTGTGTGTATTAATATCGTCTTTTATGGTGGAAGACTTTAAAAATATTATTGTATATTAAAAATAATTACGAAAAGAACACGACTGTTTTTCTTATCCATAGCTTGAAATTATAGAATAAAAGGAGTACATTTCTTTTGTTCGAACACTTTCTCTATACCTAATTAACATGCCGACAGCATTTTTTTTGTCCTGCAAACTACAATTCTGAAATGATACAAAATGATAAAAAAAATGCTCATTTGTGAGAGTTAAAATATAATAATTACCGCTAAATTTGTATCAAAAGGATAATAATATCATTTGGCTTTATAAAATAAACATATGACTAAATGTAAATAAAAAAATTGCATTTTTTTTATTTTAACCTATATGTGGATTAGTGTATAATATTTTTTATCTGTCTCTTTTTTACATTATTGTAACCTAAAATTTTGATGTACTACATAAAATAGTGAAAGGCTACTCTATAGTTGAAGACACTTAAAACAAATATATATTGTGATACTTTTTAAAATTACATACAAAATATCACAGTAATATTTTATTGATTTTTACTTTAATATTTTCTTTAACCTAATTAAGTTAAAATTAGTTATACCGATAGTGATTTACTTGTAATCTTAATGTTTATTCAAGTTCAGACTTATCTTGCATTACAATATGTTCAATAAAGCTGCGAAAGAATTCTAAAGAGCTTATTGCGTGGTCGGGAAAATTGAATAATCCCATTCCTGGGAGACGCCGATCTAAAAATGGCTGAATGAAAGTAGATTTTTATACATTTTATTTATAGTTATAGATGGTTTTTATACCTTTAATACTGGCTGCATAAATTTTAAGTTTTAAGTTTGTTAGTTAGTGACATTTATTTTTTCTTAAACCGCCATATTGTCAAGATACATTTCGTACTGTTTTTATGTCACAATAAGATGCATTTCTTATTACATAATATAAAATTATCGTTATCCAGCCGATAGCCTTTTGTCATTTATAATAATGAGGTCGTTAATTACAATTGATAATCGATTGAATATTAGGAGTAATATACTGACTATATAAAACCTATACAATATGCTTTAATTGTTGAATGTTTGATCAGCTGTTTCTCAAACTATAGGTATCGAACAATTAACGTGTAAACATAAACGCCATTTTGACACGAACATTTATTACGTGTGTTATGTTTAAATAATATCACGTATATGTACATTGTAACTGTATTATTATTTTAGTTAAGGAAATAATTTCTTAAATAATATACTTTATTATAATAATTGTAGTAAGTTATTATAAAGCCGTATAAAACGCGATTGTTTTACAAAAATTTCAGTAATTTTTTTATCTGTCCCTTTTTTATTTATATCAAAGAATTATAATGTTATATCTTTTTTGTTTATTACTATATACTTGAAATATATAAGTCGACATTTTATTTTATAACATTTTTAATTCAGTTAAAAAAACGACTTGAACTGATTTGAAGAATTGGGTAAGACTAGTATTACTTTATCTGATACATTAAGTTGCAAGTATGTGAAAGGGTAGAATGTCTGCAGTTTAATTATATCCCTAGTGAGGTTTGAAATATTATCGATTAAATGCAATATTTAATCAATGTGATATCCAAATAATGATAATAAAGAATAAGTATTCAAATTATCGTAAATGCGAAGGTCTTTGAAGACACGATGTTAATGAGATGCAGGGAAATGTATTATGTAATTATTTTTTGATACACTAACAATAGGTAAGTCGTAACTCGGCTAACGGTGGTAGCAAGGTGAAAGCGTGTGGAGAGGCGAGCGAAACGAAGAAACCAAGGTCGAATTGCTGACGTTGACAGGACATGGCATTTGTAACGTCATAAAATACTCTTTGCTTAAACTCGTATAATATGTTATCTATAATATCGATAGTTTAATGAAATCGATTAATCGTTTTAATCGAATTTACGTGACATCTACTGAATGGTTTATGCACGTTTTGTATTTTATCTGAACAATTTTGTTACAGACTTTCATTATAAAATAACGCCTGAACGTGATTTGTATTATTTTATACAGCTGTAAATTATATTAACAGTCGATACTGAGATTATGATCTAAAATTAGTTTTAATATTGTTAAATTAAAATCTTAGCCGCGGAAATCGATTGAGCAATGACTCACAAGCGATACATTTATCGGACTAGGCTACAACTTGCAGCACGCTGGCCTCTCATTATTCGCTTTACTAAATGTCAGTCAAATGTCAACTTGTGAATGTATTTGTTTACTATTTGCGTACATGTAAAAATATAAATTACTTTAAGATAACTATGTACCGTTTATCATATATAATAAAAACAATCTCATCTTTCGCCTTTAGGCTTTATAAAAGTCGTATATTTTTAGATCAATTTCAGAAAGAAAATAGAGATTTCTTTTTCGTTTTTAATTATTTAACTCGCCAAGGTTATGTTTCGAGTAATAATACAGATTATTTAAATTGAAACAAGTGTGTCTTATGTGACGCAGTAGGTACATTTTTGTTATAATTTATATAACGTAAATATTATCGAACTTTTATTTGAAAACAATTGTGGAAAAATAGTTTTATATACATATATGTATAAGTGAAAATAAAAATGTATTAAGTCAGTTAACGTACTGAATTTCACTTTTTTTTTAATTATATAAACTTTTTTTTTTAATAAAAATGCTAGTGACGCATTTGGCTCATCACAAAATATGGACTCGGTAGTTTGAATATAAATTTTGTCCAATGAATAATTTAAGCCACGCGTCTGTTACAGTGGCTTGTACAGAGAGAGTTAAATTATATTCCATTTTATTTTTGTACACTTCTTTATTTTAATAATCGAAAATAGTATTCGAAATATTTATTTTTGCATTATATTACAGGCTTTATTTACCAAATTAAGTATGAAATTTGAAATATCATATAATAATTAGATTATTTATAAACCGAACAATTCCCTGCCAAATATTAATCTTCATAAAATAACTTGTTGCTGATATTAGATTAGAGTGATTCAACATCAAATATATAAATAGACTTGCCTTAACTCAATTTTTATAAGATAATATAAGAAAAATAAGGAAAGACTTGGAGATATTGGAAAATTAATTTAAACTAACAGTCCGTAGCTGTCGTAGCTACGTAGCTTGTGTAGGTGTTGCCATGTGGCAGCTACAATGACGTCACGATATATTCATGTAATAGTAGCGTTCTAAATAGATCGTATAGAAATCTAAAGTTTGCATCATCCAGTATATATTACATACTATGTATATAAAGATGAACTATAAAACAAAGTACATATTTAGGTATATAATGAAAAGTACTAAGGGTAGTCTAGTCCTAAATGACATATTAAGACGTTTATGTCTTTGTATTCTGTACGTTACGATATACTTTTCCGTCATTATAAAACACTTAGATTGCCTTTTTTCATACACTATTGATAATACAAATTAACTCTTTAGAATTTATATGTGCCTATTGTTGGCCATATAAGAACAGTATTAGAATAATTTTACTTAATTTTAGACCATACATATAAAAAGTTTATATAAGATATTAAATTTAAATAAAGGATTATTTTTAAAATCTCGTTAAAGTCGTTTATTAAGAGTAATAGTATATTAATATATGTTATTAGTTCTTGATGTCAGTCATGTATAGTGACGGGTGTAATGTCATTTGTCGAGGCGCCTCCGGGGCGCCGGGGTCGCATGGCGACGACCCTCCGCCCTCGCTTTAGGACGCAAACACACTGGCTACTGGAATATTAAAAAAAATACTCTATAAAAATTATATTATCTTCGTATAGAGTAAGATTTATAAATATATATTGTGTTATATAATTTTTTGTATAGTGTGTACAAAGACTTATGTTGCAACCTGTTGATACGGATGAAATTACCTCACGCTGTTTCTTATTGAGCAAATTATAAGTTGCCAACTATCGCTTAGAATTCTTTCGACATCACAGCTGACGTCACAAAACTCTGTTTCCATAAAAATGTAAAATTAATAAGAAAAAGTTCGTGTTTAAAGTCGGTTTTATATTAATTTGTTTCTTATCACGTACATTAATAACGTGTATGTACGAATGATTGCCTTTGATTATAGTGCACGGCTATCAAATAAAATCAATATTGAATGTATTAAAAGTCTATTGGCTATAAATATGTTAAACCGTGAATACTTAGCAACACCATCCAAGGATTTGATTTAACTTTACATAGCCAATGATGTTATAGTCACATTTATTTTAAAAAAAATGTTATTATTATTTTCTCGGTCATACTTCTCATATAGATATCATGGTTTCTACAAGATTTAAAAATAGTTTATGTTAAGGGAAATTAAATTCTACGCAATTAGATTTAAAATCGATTTTCACATAAATTTAATAATAATTCTTCAGCCGTTAATTTAGTTAAAAAATGCTTGCAGGTATCAAAATGCCTCAGTGGGCCACGAGCGAAGGTGGCGGATCTGAGGCTGCTTCTCCTGACCAGAAACTGATGTACTGTGAAGATGATGCCTCCGAGTATTACGACAAACAAGGAGAGATTGACATTAAAATAGAACAAGCTGGAGGTGAGATGGCTTTTGTTTTTTTTTATCTGAAAAAACAATATCGGCCAGTAACATGTAGAAATGAAAAAAGGTTTTATTTAAATCTTCTAATATTTACTCAGATTTGTAAAGAGAGAAATGTTGATTCACTTATCTTTTATAATGATGATAAGATTGAATAATTATTATAGATTGAAGTATTGAATTGTTTTTAGACACTTATTTTAGACACATATATAATAGTGTATATATAGGTATTCATTTTAATCATTGTTTACGTAACTCGCTTTTACTTCGCTTTAGTTTTCAATAAATCGTCCAATGGAGTACGGAGTTGGTATATGTTCATAAAATCATTTGCATCGGGTGAATTACAATGTCGATAAGCATTACGAAAATCAGGCGTATTCATGCGACAAAATCGATTAGACTCCAGCCGTGTTTACGCTAATACATCATCAAGCGTGCAGACTGCAGGCGCGTCACGTAATGACGGAGAGGAACTCGAGACTTGGCGAAATCATCTTTGCTTATAATACTAGTTTTTGCCCACGACTTCGTCTAAATTACATACAAAGTTAGTAATGTATAGCTGACCGGGGGTACTCTATTTCTCCTTAGAGGCTAGAAATAAGAAAATTTTAGAATTTATAAATTTTTTTTTCGATTGCATTACAAGTATCCTCTGTTGTTTCCCGTGTTCTAATCTATAAATAATATAACTTACACGGCTATATAAAGATTCTAAGCATTGATCGTTTTCTTTGACATTATAAAACTTCTTGAACGTTTTATAGGTATAGGTAGAAGGATAGTTTGAAAAACAGGGAGACCTTCCCGAAATCTTTTATAGAGTGCAAAAATATTTTTGTATGTGAATAATGATTGATTTTACAACTGTTCTGTCTCAGTGTACTAAGTAATGAACAAAATGGTAGCCAGTACGCTTAGCTCTAGTTTTCATTGTTAGTCTAGATACGAAGCTTTTCCATTTCCTATTAAGTCGGCTACGTTAATAATGTAAGCGCTAAGATTTATTAATAAAACTGTTTACCTACTCTAAAAATAACATCGACTAAATGAACTCTTTATAACCTTCGTACTTAACTTCTCCTAAAAAAATCGTAATAAATAAAAAAGGGTATATACATATATTTGACTAGGAAACATTCATATTTAGGTCAGTTTTTCAGTCTTTATCTCATTTTTTTTTGCATATAATTATTTGCATGAATCCGCTGACCAAAGTTATAGTCTCGTTATATTTTAATGAAACCTGTTTTAATACAGATATCCGCTCTGAGGATTTCCTTGAAAATATATTAACACATACGCCGCTACATGTTAAGGATGTAATAAAGGATATTCTCATTATACATGACGAATGCTATTTAAAATAATGTAGAACATAGACTGCAACGTATAGATGTATCTCTATATATATAAAAATGAATTGCTGTTCATTAGTCTCACTAAAACTTGAGAACGGCTGAACGGATTTATCTTATCTTAGTCTTGAAATGTTCGTGGAGGTTCAGGAAAGGTTTAAAAGGTGAGAAAAATTGATTCATTTCCGGGAAAACCCTAAAAACAGTCCTTTCCTATTTCCCATACAAACGTCTTTTTTACATTAGATTTGACAACTAACTAATATGTCAATCATTCTGTCGCACTTCAGAATACGGAGTTTTATGGCTTAAAGGTAAAACTGCAAAAATATAAATCAGAACAAAGAAAAAAGTATTACGATTGACGCGGATTGAAATTAACGCGGACGAAGTCGCGGTCAAAAACTAGTAATGTATAAAGGGTTTGAAATTGAACAATGACGTCTGCACTAAGCTTTACGTCACTCACTTTTTTGTTTATTTTAATATGATAACTGTATCGATGACGTCGGAGATTTCGGGTTTATGATGTAAAAAGATAATATTGATGAATAAATACATACCCACGCATAGGTTAGAAAAAACGTCGACTGAATTCGACTTGGAATTAAATTTATACATTGCAATAATTTCGAAAGTTGTTAAGTCATAATTAGTGATGGACGTAAACCTCTTTACAATCACGACGTTTTACTTTATTATTATTTTAATCTTATTGCTCTTGTCAGTACTCAGTGGTGACGGATGCTGAGCTAACTTTCACTTAAACGTTTTAGATACTTGCAGAATATACTGTGCACGTTTTTACCAACCAACCAAACGTTTTAGATTTCTATGACAGCAGTAGTGATGATGTACCGAGGAGAGTCTGCCGGCCACGGCGGACGGCTGCAAGCTCATCATCTTCAGGCACAACGAGTGGTTCCAGCGGACCTGGCAGGCGACGCAGATGTGGTACATCAGCTCGAGAACGTAATCTTCGAAGATTGGAGAGCAACGAACGGGAACGCATGCGAATGCATTCATTAAATCGCGCGTTCGAAGTAATTACGTTAATACAATTAGCGATTATTTTACACGTTATTATAATTAATTTCGTTATTCAATCACATAATTGCTTTCGTATATTTGTTAGCTATAAAAATGTTGATGTAATACTAATAGTCGAATGTATATAATTTTAAATATCATTTATTATAATCGAATGAAAAAAATATATAAAAGAAGTTATATGTTAAGGTAGTTCAAAAAATAATAAATATATAATTCACAGGATCTCCGTCGAGTTATTCCTCATGTAAAGAAAGATAAAAGGAGTCTTTCGAAGATAGAAACCCTTACACTTGCCAAAAATTATGTGAAAGCTCTCACCAACGCCATTTGTACAATGCGGGGGGAAATTCCACGATACCAGTAAGTAGATCAAATTTGCAAGCAACATTATGAATGATTAATTCAGAACTTAAAAGTGTAAGTTATATTAAAAATCTTACAAGACATTAGTGTTGTAATATGATAATCTTACTGGTTAAGAACGTATTTAGGCCCGCAGTAGATTTTTGCGCATTTATTACTCAGAAGGACGTTTAAATTTTTTTAAATTATTCGTTTTATTGTTTACACACAAAGCCTTTGTGATTTGGAAGACGCAAAACGAATCCTGCATAGGTAATACATGAAATTATTTGGCAAGAATTTTGTTGACGCCGTTATTCCAAATGTCATGTAGGGGATATGTTGATATTTAATAAGAATAAAATGTTGATCGCCCACTATCAATACATTTAAATCGTGTTATTGACAAGGTTGATGTTTTATTATATATGTAAACATAAATAACTTCTGTTTCAATGGATTTTATAAGGGTTTATATAACACTATATTCCGAAGACTTTAAGAGTATTAGCACAAGTCTACTTCATTCTGAACGCTTCATCCGTGTTAACTGATATATTGTTTTCTTTCCAGATTCAACAGTGATGATGAAAACGTAGAACCTGTGTTTGTGCTCAGCCGGGAACAAGAACAGAACAACAATATGCCCGAAGACGATTCACTTGTACCGGACGAATGTCTCTGACATTGACGTTATACTGACATCTATAATACTCGCATTTAGAGTACTGACAGCCTGTTACATTATAAACTTAGTTGTCTATGACTGAAAATACAATTAAATAAATAATGTAACATGAACCACTGTCACCAGGCTCTCTTAAACTACGACTACCTGGCTATTCACGGACTGAACAAACGTTATTTTCCCTAGTCGTAATCGCATTAAATGCTTTATTACACCAAAATGCTATAAAGTCATAAAAATATTGTCGAAGTTAATGCAAATTAACGTTTGTCATTATATTCATTTTATTTTTTGTTACAATTTTCTGAGAGTTTATTTATATAAAAAAAATTAAAACTACAGTTTTAAAAGCTTTTAAAACGGTATTGCATGATTTTGCCATAAATTACACAGGGTATAAAAATAATATACCAAGGAGTACAATGAACGGAGCGACAAGATTCTGTTTTATTTTTGTTCATTAAATTATTGACAAAAAACCTAGTAAAAACCATTATTGTTAATTTTCAAATTTTATGAAAATCGTTGCAATTTGTATTTCAATTATGAATCAATTAAATCGACTGATTATTTTGATGATAGTCTCTATAGTTGTACGAAGATCTCTCCAGGGGTGCCAATCAAAATAATTATAAAGTCAACACATTATCAGAATTGTGTTTTTCCTAAAGTCGCTTATAAGACAGGTTGTTATAGAAGAAGTGATAATTTTATTTGTATTATTTAATTCTAACTGAAGTAATCTCACTTAAAAGTTACCGTATGTGTTAGTTCAAATATTTGTCAAGTTAGAACATTATGCTTCCAGCATTCTGTATGAAATATTTATATGTAAACATTTATTATAATGTTCGACATTGTGATTTAGATTAATGTTAAGATCTTGAGATATATTATTCTACTATATATATTTTTAAGTGCGACTTGGCAAAATGATTTATTATAATAATAAAGATTATATGCAAAAATACATTTTATTTTGTTTTTGCCTTTTTTTATGCTTAAGGGGGGAAAGGAGTAGACGGCCTACCTAATTGAGGTAGTACCGTCGCCCATAGATATCCGCAACATAGATTGGCGAATGTGTTGCCACCCTTGATTGTGGAATAAAGGGAAAAGTTGGGAAAGGGAGGGAAAAAGGGAAAGGTGGGAAAAGGGAAAGGGCAACCGGGTCTCTTAACCATCGGACGAAACGCAGCCTTTAAAGGCTATTTCACGATGATCTTCTGTGAGAGGGTGGTTCTTTCCCGGTCGAACCAGAACATGTTCGAGCTGTAGTAACTTGACCATAGCAAGGCTCTACCACGTCATAAATACCTTTCCTATGTCTCATCTATAGATCACTGTTCAGTCATCAGTAATTTAACGCTTCTTTACGAAGATCAAGAATACGTAATATTTTGACATCATACAACTAGTAATAAAAAATAGTTAACCTTTTTAACAGAAGTTAACAGAATAAAAATTTAAACAAGTTTTCATTACAATAAAATGTATAGATATATGTATTAAACCTATATGTTTATAATGTTGGATAACAGTTTTAAGAAAGAAGTATACTCGTGTTAATACTCGCTTTTTACCAGGAACTTTTATCTCTATGGATATGTCTGTGTTAATATGTACGTCTAATGATTACACTGCGTTACAAATGAAAAAAAAATTGAGTACCCGCTTTGAAATGTCATGTTTTCTTATGAATACTTATAGTTTATTAAAAATACATACAAAATTTAGATTCATCACGTCTCATTTTCCTTCCATTAGAATGTGCCAAATTCTACTAAAAAATTAAATGCTTAAACGTAATTTAAAGAAAATTACTTAAATCAACCAGATTTTTTCACATTAACAAAGTTTAATTTTATCATTAATGAAAAAAAAAACATTACAAAAAGTTTAAACACAAAAGATCGCAAAACTTTAGCTTTTTCTTTAGCAGTTGCGACGACCACTTAGTTCAGTATTCATAATAGATTTCCAAAGAAATATGTACGAATATATCGACGTTATTGAATAAAAATGACTACTGAACAAAACAAAATAATAAAAAAGTACAACACATCAAAAATGGTAACTATTTCGTTTACGCCTAGAGTGAGGGTTATAGAAAAATAATTTGCATGTACCTCGAAAACCAGACGTGATAGATACCACATATGTTTGGAACATTTAATCTGTGACTCTTTAGCTATTCATTCCAGCTAACACTTACGTGGGTACCAAAATCGTGTAACGCAGTGTTATTTTTGGTTTTTAGTAATTCGAATTATACCTTGTTTATTTAGTATTATATTTTCTGGTCATTTTAATTATAGTATAGAGATATAAATTATTCAATATTTCATATTTTAAACTCCTATGAAATATCTATTGTTCCTTGACATCAAATATTAATATTTTAAATAAATTGCTTCGAATGTATCTGTTTTCGTATAATCATTCATAAACTAAAATATTATAGAAAATAATTATAGAAATAGCAGTCTCAACAAATTATCATTCGAAGTAAAATAAATGTTTATATTAGGTTTTCAGATATTATTTATATTTTGTTATAAATATCTCATATATTTAAGAATAAACGACTAATATATATTATTTTATTTATACTTTCTCACAAAAAGAAAAAATACTCGTGTTATCTAGTAATAAAACGCAGCTTATATAATTTTTAATTTGAACGTGCCTGAATGGAACGAATGAATGGAAAATTACTAAATAGATAATATAATCTGTGAAATTGAATGATTACTACAGAAAAGATTGAAATACAAAAATTCCTCATAGATGCATGTGTGTAAAGTGAATTAATTTATTAAATATAGTTTTGTGAAATAAAGTTTAATCATATAATTAAATTAAAATTGTAAATTGTAAAGTATTCTCTTCGAAACTAGATTTTCATATATTTTCAATAAACTTATGAACTCAGTATAATAAAGATCTGCGTCTATCGCAAATATGGCCGTCCTGTAATGAATCGGTGGTCAGTGATATTATAGTTATTTCATACAAAATGCAAAATTTCAAAATGGAACTACGTGTTGGTAATAAATACCGTTTGGGTCGTAAGATAGGCTCAGGATCTTTCGGAGACATTTATTTAGGTGAGTAGTAATATAAATAATTGTAAACAAAGAAAGATAGTTGCTATTGTGGGGCCAGCTGCATTTTTTTGTTTCAAAATAGATCCTTGCTGCTTTCATGGTTAATGCTGATTAAGAGAAAGCTACTATAAATAATCGTAACGATTCTGTTAAAAGTTTGATTTGAAGCCAAGTTAAAATCACCCTTATTTATTTTTTCTAACATGTGATTACTGTCTCTTAAGCAAATGACTTTGATTGTAAATCAATTTAATTGAAATATCTCGACAGTATTATCTGCAGTTGGAAAAATGTTTGCAATAAGACGCAAAACATAAACTCTTTCTCTTTATAGAACAATAGATAATTCTGTCAAGGGCAATTAATTTTTTAACCTAAATTTGTAAGTTTTGAATCAGATGATTGCAAAACAATGCTTTAATTATAATAATAATATTTGGTATCTTAGCATATTTTAAATTGTATGTTTTCAATATGGGAATACTATTTGTAATCAATTTTAATTGTATTTTTTTCCAGGAACTGATATTGTGACTAAGAAGGAGGTAGCCATTAAATTAGAATGCAAAAGAACAAGACATCCACAGCTCCACATAGAGAGTAAATTTTATAAACTTATGCAAGGAGGTGGTAAGTTCATTATACATATATATAAGACAAGATAACCTATTAATAATTTATTATTCACACTTATGTAAATATTCCCTTTCCTTATAAAACTTACTGTTTATAACAAGAATTGTCTAATTCCTTGTATTAAAACAACATCCTTTAAACATTTTATGGTTATAAAGGACATACTCTTATAATATAAAAGGTGTAATCACTTAATGTTTTGCTTACATAAGTAAATATGATTTTTTGTTCTCAGTCGGTATCCCTAAGATAAAATGGTGCGGCTCGGAGGGAGATTACAATGTGATGGTTATGGAGTTGCTTGGTCCATCTCTAGAAGACCTATTTAACTTTTGTTCCCGACGTTTTTCTCTCAAGACTGTTCTCATCCTTGCTGATCAACTCATCACTCGCATTGAGGACATACATTATAGAAACTTTATACATAGGTATTATAAAAATTAAGATAATACTAATTTCTTCATAATAATTAGCTTATATTTTCATATATATTTTTTATTTTATGTCACTATACTTCACTATATAGTTAGGAATTAAAAAATACTTTAGGATTAAGCCTAATTATTATAGTTCATACTATGTTTATTCAGCGAATATACCAAGTTAACATATAGTAATCCGATGATTTATGTATATTTACGTCAGGTCATTTTGTAAGGTTATAGATAAGGAGTAAACAATAATGTACATAATGTGTAAATGACCATCTTCATATATGCAATGTACTATTATCTGTTTTATGTCATTTAGATTGTGAACTCAAAATTGAAGTATTTTGGTTATCTCATAAGTTATTATATTGAAAATTTTATTAATACTACATATATGATACAAACAAATTTTTCAGATAAATAATCATTAGAATTCAATGATTTTATTCCTGTTATTACTAGTTTACATTTGGTGTTTACTATATCAATATTTGAAGAATAATTAAATAGTTATTCACCAGATTATAAATGTTTATTTTTGATTGGTTTCAATAACATAGCAACAGTTATTTATTGATATATCTGTTGCTTATAAAAATTATACTATATTAAAATTATACTTGAGATTAAATATTCCTATCAAGATATAAATATACATCAAAATGCATTATCTTGAATGTATAATATTGATATATTTTATTTCCAGAGATATTAAACCAGATAACTTTTTAATGGGTCTCGGTAAAAGGGGTAACATAGTGTACATAATAGATTTCGGGTTAGCAAAGAAGTACAAAGATCCCCATAATAATCAACACATACCCTACAGAGAAAACAAGAATTTGACTGGTGAGTAAGATATTATAGATTACTTACTCTAAAGGTTAGTTATATTACCAAATAGGATTATATGTGTCATACAGTCAGCGGTATTGAATACAGCTTCTCATTTGTCACATTTTCCATTCACAACAATGGACATTCCATGTTATTTATTCAGCTTAACAGCTATACATAGTCATAGACATATATCATAATTGTTATGAAATAGAAATTAATACTGAATTATCTTATACTATAATATGTACTAGAGAAATAATACAAGATATTTATGACAGAGGTTATTCAAAGTTACTTATGTTAGCTTGATTTAATATTATATTTTGGTAGGAATGGGTTATGGTAAGTAATGTAATGTTTGTGCATACAAAACTTGTGTTTTTTTAAATATAATTTGATCTGAGCTTAGTTATATTAAAATGAAAGAAACTGATGAATTCATATAAAAATATATTGAAAAAATTTTAATGTATATATCCCCACATGATGGTATAAAAGATATTGTATAGTAAGTTGTCAAACAATTACTCTTTAGTACAAATCCTATTTATGTTTTTGTATTCAATGGTGTTTACAAGAAACCCTAAATTAATGAACTTATAGACCAGTGTAACTTGAACTAAAAGACATTTTATTTAAAACAGCCATACTAAAGCCTACATTATAATTATCGTTGAATCCTTAAGTAAGGCTTTTAATTTATAATTTTGTTTACAGGCACAGCTCGATATGCCTCAATAAACACACACCTGGGTATAGAACAGTCCCGTCGTGATGATCTGGAGTCCCTCGGCTATGTGCTAATGTACTTCAACAGAGGCAGCCTGCCCTGGCAGGGACTGAAGGCTGCTACCAAACGACAGAAGTACGAGAGGATATCTGAGAAGAAGCTCTCAACACCATTCGATGAATTGTGCAAAGTGAGTTATACTAATGATAGTTTATTTTTTTAATTAACAAGTTTATCAATAAGGTTTTATATCATGCCAGTAGCATTGAATTGATTCGAATCTCGAATTTGAGTAGAGAATTTGTTATCATCAGATTTCATTCTATATTAATAGCATTATTATAATAAAATAATATATTCGTAATTTGGAAGCTTATACTATAATAATGGTAATTTTTTCGTGCTTCGTATTAATACGTCGTAGTGAAATGTCTGTCGTAAACATGCCGGGCGCGAAAAAAATTAGTCAGTATGGGAACATAAAACACTTCTCACATACATACGAGCAGCCAATGAATAATCATTGTAGTTAATTTTGCAAGAAATCAAATGTCCGCTTATTGTTGTAGTTAAATTATTTATTTATTGTGTACGTAATGTATAGAAGCTTAGAAGCGAAATTATTAGATTATTTAAATGAACCCTTTATTAAAAAGTCATCTTAATTATTTGGATTTATTTTATTATTATTAGTTGTTTATTATATCTTATTTCCTTTTAGCTATTAGTTTTGATTTCTATGACCTTTTATTCTTCATCGTATGTAGAGTTTTGTACAAGAATTTGATGTAAATTTATTTATTTTAATTACCGAATGGTCTTGAACATATTTGAGTCAAATTAATAATTTTCGTATTTTTTTAATGTTTTTATTTATTCTATTATAACGCAAAACGAACCAGTTCTATTTAGTAACATAAACAGTGAGATGTCCTCGGAAAAGTATATGTGCTTCCATTTGATGTTTATACAGAATATGTAAACAAATATTTAATAAATAAAATAAATTAGGCACCAAAGAGTTTGTATATCAGTTAATTCGTTATTTAATATACGTGTATAGATAATAAACTATCTTGAATTTTAATTATCGTTGTTATTGTAATTTTGTTGTTTCGTCTCAATTTAAACAACAAATAATTTTATATTCAAGAAGTCTTACTTGAAATATTTTTTCTGAGTATAAGCCTTCAACTGTACATATTCTTTAATTAATGTCTAACGTTCAACTGATCAGTCAAGACTGTGATTATAAAGATGTCTTTGCATTCAATGCTGTTTAAACAAAAACATTTAGTATTAATAGTTGAGATTATTATTATAAATTATTATTTAAAAAAACTATGCCTGTATTTATTGACTGAATATATCAGTTATTTTTTTATGTATGATAAATATTTTTAGTATTATTGGATGAGGTTCGTATACCTTAGTATAAAGTTTTAAATGATACATTTGTATTTTCAAATCTGGTATACATTTTGCAAGCTTTCGCTCATGTTAGGAGTTTGTAACAGAAAATATATATTTGTAAGCGTTATAAGTTAATTTTAATGACATCTAAGTTTATGTAACATTCATTATAATGATTTGATTGATACTAACCTTACCACTAGTAATATTAATAACCACTGTTTAGTAGTCGATCATTACCATCTGATTGTACGTAAAAATGAAGGCTTTTCCCCTTAGTAAGAGCGTAAAACCCTTACCTTCATGATATAAGACTTAAAAAAGTAAAATACATACGATAATATTGTTGTGTTTGATGGATTTACGAATGGAAAACTCGTAACAGTCCGTATTACGTTAAACACGTGGTAAGGTTATAATGAGATTGAAAGTTGTTAATATGTAAATTACTTGTGTTGTAAGTTGTAACATTAATACGTCATATAGTAATATTATTGACATGAATCAATTTGTCAGCTCTCATTCAATCTAGTTGTGGGTCAGGGTCATTTGTCACGATGCGTTTTAGACCCTAAAGCTAAAACTATTTTAATTGAATCCTTATCTCTATTAACCGATACTAGTCTGTAATTTTAAAGATATATGTTATGCTACGATAAATATTTGATTATCAGTAGATTATAACAAGGTCTTTTTAAATTAAATAACAATTGATAAATATATGTAATATGTACAATGATACATATTAACTTTCACTAAATTTAATGAACACAGCATATTGTCTAGTCGCCGAATTAAATAAATTTGATTATTTTTTCATATGTACATATTTTTTATAGTAAAATATGCACATATTTTTTTTATTATTTATTAGTAGATAGTAGTGTATATATATTATATACATGTATGTATATGTGTGTGTTTATATATGGTCCCCGCCCATTTTTCGCTCGTATAAAACAGTTATAAAGCAGTATCGTCCTCTATATGATAACATTTAAATTTTAAAGTGATTCGTCTGTGCACGTGACTGTGTCCAGTACGTCGCACGACGCACGTGTGTCGACGCATGACAAGCCAGCTCTTGGACAACACATTGCGATTCACGAGCTATGAATATATATGCGTTTTAATGAATATTACAAAGAAAATATTTTTATTTTTATGTTGATTTAATATGGAATATATGTTGTTTATTTCCACTGGGTCATTTTAAGGCGGAATAATAGTGATTGTTAAGTCCTGATTCGTATAGGTGCAATTTTACGTTGAGTTATAGAAGATTCAGTATTACATATTAAATTATGTCACACAAAAACAAAATGCTATTCTATTAATTTATGAATTAATGATTACCTTAAAAATCGGAAAAGACGTCTTATAATAATCATTTATTATTTCTAAAGGAAGTAATTATTGACTTCATTTTTTATTTACTTCAAATTAATACTAGTGCTAATTCCAAGAATATCACCTTAGTATTAAAATGAATATGATTAACTAGCTTTTGCCGCGACTCCGTCCGCGTGGAATAGTGACTTCCGGCAGATTTTTGGTTCTTCCCACATAGTTCCCGTTCTTGCGGGGTTTTCGAAATGGTCGAGTTCCGTAGAATTTTCAAGATAAAACCTATGTTTTTTTTAATTCACAATGAAGTACTCTTAACCAACAACATATTTATTTGTTTATTTGAATAAAGATTAATATTATTATGTTGATACAACTGAAACAAATTATTTCGACCAAATTAGGTACCATAAAAACGGTTTTTGTGAGTTAATCTTAAAAGATAGATATATACTGTCGCGGACTGTTTTTAGATCATTAAAAGAGCTATTATTTTTTAATACATATTTTTTGTGTATCTTGAACCGTTTTCACGGCGCACGCAATGGAAAGCTTCAAAGATGAAATAATTTATCCCGTTTTATACACATTTACCACTATATCTTTGCTCCTATTGGTCGTAGCGTGATGTTATATAGCCCAAAACCTTCCTCAATAACTGGACTATCCAACACAAAAAGAATTATTCAATTCGAACCAGTAGTTTCGGAGATTAGCGCTTTCAAACAAACAAACTCTTCAGCTTTATAATATTAGTATAAATTACTACAAAAACTCCTTGAAAGAATTTTATACAACTCGAAATGTTTTAAATGTATTTTTATATATAATTCCAGAATCACCCGATCGAGTTCCAGCAGTATTTGAAGTACTGCAGGCGACTTCGCTTCGAGGAGCGACCTGACTACGCCTACCTCAGACAGCTGTTCAGGATGCTGTTCCACCGGCAGGGCTTCACATACGACTTTGTTTACGACTGGAATATGCTCAAGTTTGGTACGATACATACATAATTAACATTTATATATACATATAAATATATAAACTCTCATACCCTTTATATAATAATTAATGTTAAGCGAATCACCATTCATTTATCTTCATATTAGATTATATAAAAGATACGATCATCAAAATCGGTCATACTATTTCAATACATTGACCACTATTGACGACACATTCACATCTCGTCTGCCCATGATCACGGTTGCTGAAAAGTAACCGAAACGTCGGGTGTATGTAGTTCTAATCAAAAGAAAAACGCGAAGTAAAATCCGGAAATATAGTTTCATTTAAATGAGTACTCGCGAAAATCTTAGACTTCATTACATTGACCACTAGTTTTCATTATTCTTTATATGCATATTACTAAACTCTTATATGTGAATATAATTTTAATTAATTTTTATACTAACTACGCATGTATCAGCAGCGATATAGCCAGAGCCTACGTTATTTAAAAAATATTAGTAAATATTCATCAATAATATTAATTTTGAAATAGTGTAATTTATAACGCAAATGAAAATAACAGGTGAGTTGTGTCATTTCATGAATTATTGTGTTAATATGTTGGCTTAAATTTTTATTTAATTTTATTTTCCTGCCAATTACTATTAACAAACCTAATAATAAAATCCGCTTTTATCTTTAGTGAAGTCTATTTCGTTGCTGATTAAATACGTACTCTATTTTTTCCATAATTAAAAATAGAAGTATATTTTTTAAGTTTATTTTAGATCCTATTTTTTTTGTTTTATTCTGGATTTATTTCGGCCTTATCTCATTTTTTTTATTATAGATTATCTGTTCAAAATGTAATGCAAATGTAATGCTTTCTTTTTTTGCTATAATAAAAAAAAATCTCGATTTCCATAAATTAGTTAAATACAATATTGAAATCTCTGTCAAATGAACAAATCGCCCACAAACCTATGTACACTCTGTGTGCATTATTTGGAAGGTTTAAACCATTGATATTCTTCTAAATCGAATGAGAACAAAAGTGAAAGCGGTTTGCGCTTGATCTGACACAGTTACTTTACTAACTGAATGTTCTCAACACCGAGTTCATTAATTTCGTTTTATTTGTTGAAACATTTTCAATATTATTTTCTCTCTCGTATTTAAATTTTATTTATTTTGATATACCTCGTGAATGTTTTATTAGTAGTTTGTAGTGTTGATCTACTTATAATTAGTTAAATTTATACATGTGATATGTTAGCAATGGTTATGAGAACTAAATCGAATGATTTTTTTTTCAATTATTTACTGATTTTCAATTTACTCTCTGGTAATATCTCTTTAAAAATATATATAATTACTTTATTGTCACACATACATAATAAACATTCATAAAAGGTTTTAGTCGGTCTGATAAATAAGTGTACTCATGTCCTACTAATATTATAAATGAGAAAGTTTGTGAGGATGTGTTATGGTCTTAGTTGCTCTTTAACAAAAAAAAAATGTAGTGGTTATGATGCAACTTCTCAATACTTACACATCAATAATATATGGACAAATTTATCCAAAATTCCGTGAAATTTTGGGGAATCAACGAATAATTGATGTAGTAAATTGAATGAAGTATCGTAACATAGACTGTAGAGGGCTCTGCCTTCTAGTAATCTTATGTTTTTAATGCTTAATTTTTATATATATCGCGGATAAAAATAGTCGCATGTCCTGGGATAGAGTCTCTTTTGGATTATTCACTATATTTCCAGGAGCACTGCCAGCCACGTGTCAGACAGGAGTAGCAGACCGCGCCATACGAGCCGCCGCACACACCAAGAAACAAGAACCGGACACTAGTGAGTACTCAACATATGTGCTAACATCTCTATCCTTATACAGGGTGACTGGTGAATTACTATCAATACTTGAGGACGTGATATTTGACGATCATATATGACAAAATAAAAATTAATATAACATAAATATTAATAAACTTCTAAGTAAAGTTAACCAAAAGTTATGTAATTAATTACGCATCGTGTGAACACCCTACAGATTAGGTATACACACACACTCACACATACGCGTGCGGCGGCGTGGTGTTGTATCAGCACGCCGCCGCACGCGTCCACACTTGGAACGTGTCAACACTTTATTTATTTATACGGAAATTTTGTCAAAAATTAAGTGCCTATTTTTTTACATAATTCGAATGAGAATCATGTACCGAGTATTCTCCTTAAATATTGATAGTAATTCACCAGTCATCCTGTATAATGATTAATAAAATGATTGAGTGCAAAAAGAAAGCTACAAATTTTTGGTAGTTTTCACACCAACAGTAACTGAGAAGTAGATATAATGTGAACAGTAGACTTTAGAGATTTGTAAATTGTATACAAAAATGCAATCATATCGTCGGGGATAGCGCAAATCCGTGTAACTAGCATTGGATAAATCCGCGTATCTACATTGGAAGTAGAACGTAGAAGAAAGTTTAAGCTGAAATATTTTCTATTTTAAAGATTTTTAAGGTAATATTTTCACAAATAGTAATAATTTAGTGTTTAATTTATTACTAATTGTGAAAAAAAAAACCCTTAAAAGTCGCTAATATAGATAATATTTCATTTTTAACTTTATTCTGATAATTTGCTTCTAATGTAGATACGCTGAATTATCCAATGGTAGCTTCGCGGATTTGCACCATCCCCGACGATATGGAGTAAGTTGTATAGAATTATTGTTTTTAATGTAATTGTTGTATATTAAAGCCACTGGCGCCGGAGCCGTGGGTCACCCGAGCACGGCAGTGGCTGCCATATGGGAGGGACGGTGAGAGGGTTCAGCCGCGCGCCCCTCCCGCCCCTCCACCCGCACACACCGCGCGCGACACCACGAGTACCCTCCCCGGACAGGCCGACACCGCGGACACGGAGACAGCCGTCCGGCGACACAGGCAGGTTCAGTGTTGAAATAACTCTTATATACAAACTACTCACACTCCGTCAATGTAAGGCGGACGAACTCTGCGGGTCTATTGTACTTTATGCTCAGTTATATTTAGATTTAAGCCGTGCGTGTGTCGTGTCGTGTCGTCTCCCTCGCGGGGAGGGGATGTCGGTTCATCGATATTTTCGACACTCGTTTCTATGACGACCTCGACTGTGTAATATCTATATGATGTACGCCAAATATATTATGACATCTTGTTTAAAAATAAATTGTTTAAGTTTATGATTGGGTATCGTTTTTGATATTTTGCTATTACTGATACGAGGAACTATTGATACTACGACTTGTGCAATAATAATTTGAAATGAATCAATTGTCTTCCATCATAGAAACGGAACTTGATATTTTTTTTGTATCCTGAGTTGTCTTTACTGTAAATCCACCTGAATCTTGCTTGTAACTATCAGTTTGACACGTCCAGCCACTGCCATAGGTTTAATTAGATAAGTTGAATCTGTGAAAGGTATTTACTTCTATCATTAATGTGTAAACAATAAATTATCATTCATTAGTTCTGGAAGACAATGGTACTATAACACTGTTGCCCGTACATGAATTCTATTGCTGATGCAACATTCCTGATGTAATTCTGTCTCCTTTTTCACTTTGATCTCATGTTGATTACCAAAATCGTTTAACTTCTTAACTTATAAGCTATTTAGCATCGATATTAAAATGGGGCAAAGGATATTAATTTGTTTAAAAGAAAATGAATACAAGTGATATTTTATAACTAGTACATGTTCATTAATATTAGGATCAGAAATGGCAAAATGAAAAGATTAATTATTTAAAATATAAATATATATATTTCGGTGTATAATTAATTGGATTAATTGTTTATAAAACTTACACTACTAGGTTTATTGTTATATTTAAAGGCATATTATTGCTGGGGAGTAATCAAATCTGTTTAACGATGTTAGTGTTTGTCATACTATCATTTAATCACATGTATCTTGTACTTCAGTTTCATTTATACATATATGATAAAACAGCATGTACATTATGGCCTATGGTACCACAATATAACTGTAATGGTGTCCGAGTCTAATTACTTGTAAACTTGCAATCTGTGGAATTAAAAATGTATAATATTATGTATATATAAATGCTGATTTCTCAGATTGGATTTGCGATTAATTATTATGGAATTAGATCATCTATCTCTAATATGACTGAGAATTAGGTTCAATTTTGTGTAAATATTATATTTAATGTAGTGGATTTTTTTTTGTTAATGGAATGAATTTTTGTATGTCATGACTCTGTTAAGTGTCGTTATTAAGGTAATCCATAAGATATTTAGTTGTTAATGTCCATTTTATGATTCATGTATATCAATAATATAAATGTGTGAATGAAAAAAACATAATATTTTTTAAAACACATCGAAAATCCAACAGTTGTTGTGAAAAAATATTTGCAAGAGGAAGTTTTTTAATTGTTCCATATATATATAAATGTTTGGTTTGTTTATAGTTAAGGTTTAGTAAACAGTATTCTTAGCATTTTTCATAAACTCTATTGATCCTATATTTTGTACCTCAATTTGTGAATATAAATCGGTCACTGCTTTTAAATTTAGACGGATTGTAACATTTAAATTTGGTGCCAATTTATGTAGTATTGGCATAAATACTTAAATGGACATTGTAATAATGGAAAGTTGGTACATTTTTTTAATCCCAAATATATTTTTATGATATTGTTTAACTGATACATGTAAAGATAGTTGGGTTAAGCTTTTTGTATTGTCATAATATGTGCTGACAGCGATTTGACCTCGATGGAGCTCCGATTTAGAGCTTCTGGCTGTTGTACAACTAGAGGGGCGATCAAATAGTGGATAAGTTAGTTACATACTGTGGAGTGCTTACTAAACGGTGTCATCGCTTTTGAAGTTTAGTGTATAATCTAACTGACGGAAGACTTTGACTTAATTATCTGTAAATAATAATTATAAACTCTGATGTCTAAGTAGTAAGATACTTATGTAAGCCAGGTACACTGTTTTTTTACAATATCTTAGATAATTAAATTAACTGTTATAGTGATAATGTTATATTATTTGGCTACATTTATTGAATATATTTTTGATGGTTCAGTAGCTGAAAGTCGTGATATAGCATATTGATGGATGATTTCTAATCCACTTGTCTTTGGAATTTATCGTCTCCAGAAATTATCTATGGGAGGGAACTAAACAGTAGGTGTAGGGAATTAGAGAAATTACAGCTTCTATTGGATATAAAAATTGAAAAAAATTGTTTTGAGGGTATCGGGATGATAGTTCCCTCCTCGATTCGGGTGTATTATATTAAAATGTGAATTGTAACAATGTGTAACTCAACGTTTAGTTTACATTGTGCTCATTATTTTCCGCGATTTGTATAAGCTGGCCCATATAGCTTAGCATATTAATATGCTTTTATTACCTAAAATTATTATGCTTGCATTGTTTTCTACGTCCAGTATGTATGATTCCTTTGGCACAATAAACCGAATAAAATAACCACTCCTTTTTTTTCTTTCATTTAATATTTATTATATTTATTAATGATTATGTAGCAAGGAAGCCGCCGTCCACCGGGAGCTGTACACCGTTGATCATACTTGATTTATCACTTAGCAGAAATGTTATGGCGTTAACTACTTCGTTTATTTCTGCAAACCTGTGAAATATAAGAATTTTATCTCTAGTATATACATAAACCTGTTGGTATACATGTGTGTGTGTGTGTGTGTGCGCGTGCGTGCGTGCGTTCGTGCGTGCGTGCGTGTGTGTGTGTGTGGTTACGTACCTTCCTAGCGGTATTTTGGACAGCATTGTTTGAGCCTTTTCAGGATCTGCCCACGCTCTTCGACCTAATTCAGTCATAACGACAGTCGGATTGATAGCATTGACCCTTATACCGTGTGGTCCAAGTTCGAGTGCCATTACTTGGGTCATTGAATCAACCGCCCCTTTAGATGCTGCGTAAGCGACGTGGTCTTTCAATGCCGCCTGTGTTTATCACAATTGAACAATAATTTAAGAATGGATTATACACATACTTATATTTCTCTAAGTATTACCTTAGACGCTTGTGATGAAATATTAACTATAGATCCTTTGATCCCATTCTCTATCATTTTCTTTGCTACGGTTTGACTCACGTTGAGAATGGCTTTAACATTCACGTTCATGGTACTAAAATATACGTCAGTATATTATATTTTTATATATCAGTATATACGCTTGTACTGAATCAACTTACCAATCAAAATTCTCAGAGCTACATTCCAAAAAGGACTGCGTTTTTATAAAACCGGCACAGTTTACTAATCCGTGAAAAATTCCAAGGGAATCCACAGCTTGTTTTGTTTTTTCCCAGTCGCTGAGATCAACACATGCTGTTGTTATCGAGGGATATTGTTGGCTCAATAGCTCAAGGTTATCATGATTTTGTGATAATGCAACGACATTGCCACCGAGACGCCATAGCTCTAAAACTGTCTCTCTTCCAATACCTTAAAGAGAAAATATGTCTTAATATTATCAATGAAAGTAGTAGTAGGTCAAGTTATAATAGTTTTATTTGAAAATAATTAATTTGACTTATGAGGATTTTTTATCCCTACTTATATTATAAATGCGAAAGTAACTCTGTCTGTCTGTTACGCTTTCACGCCTAAACCACTGAGCTGATTTTAGAGTTGATCTTGACAAAGAACATTGGATAGTTTTTATCCCAGACTTTTGAAAGGTTCTCTTGGAAACGTGATATAACCGAACTTCACGCGGGCGAAGCTGCGGGTGGAAAGCTAGTATAACAATATAAATTTACCTGAACATCCCCCCGTCACTAAAATTCTTTTTCCATCAAAATAGTTGACCATCTTTATTCTTAATCGTATTGATAATGATAAAGGCTATTTTATTATATTGATAATTAACAATAAACTTTTTTTATTCGCACTAGAATCTTGGAATAGTTTGCAAATGTCAACGTTGATGAAACAATAAACATTGTTATCAACGAATAAAAATGTTGATATTAGCAAAATATTCCACGATTCCAGTGCCGATGAAGGCATTGCATATTAAAAATAAAACATAGTTATCGTTGACTTTCAGTGACGTAAGGACAAGTCAAGTTGATAACATGAATTTGTTATTAAACTAGAATAAAATACTTATATAACATATTCTTACATTATAAGAAGTACCTACTGCTTTATCATTATTATTTACTATTTATTTTCCTTATACTTTTGGGATTTTTGTTTCATTTTTCCTTATTTATTTTAGGATGTACTTAATATTATCATAACTGCGGAAGAAAAACTACTTGACAGATTTGATGGATCGTAACTATGATCATAATACACATAACATACTTAGTCGTGTTAGGAAAAAAAATAGTTTGTTTCGTACTTCGTAAAAATAGTACTATCTTTCTGACTCCGGCATGCACAGAGCGTCAACTATTTTCGGCGAGATAATTTTACTTGTGGCAATACGTTTCGTGTAAAGCACGCGACGTTACCACGCCTTCATTTAGGCCGATACATGCGGCTTTGACACGCTCTATGTGGGTAGAGTAAAACATATTCCTGTTGCATGCCGTTTCTGACTAGTTCGGTCTTAGTTGCATACTTTGTTGTGGGTAGTTCTTTACACATTATATTGAAACATAACTATAATTTTCTCACTTTCATATCATAGTCTATAAGACTAAAGATGTCGCTGAAATGTTCGCCTAGCATAATCTCTATTACTTAAATACCCAATATATATTTCTCTAAATCTTATTCCCAAGTCAATTCTAACAAAGTCGCAAACATAATTCCTCTATTATTTAAAATAAAATTATCTAACTGTCTTTGGAAACTTAGAATTTTTTATATTGATTATTTATTCATATTAATTGAACACTTAGAAGTAATCTTGAATGATTAAATTTCACTCACCTCACCTCTTTTGATAATGAGAAATAAAAACGCGAAAAATAGTATTTTATTTTATTTTCGAATATAATCTGCATTTAAACAGCTTTCTCTTACATATTGATTCAGATTAACTATTAATTATAAGCATCTGTATAATGACAATTACAGAGTATGTAATATTGTGGTAGAGAGAATATAAAATGACATCCATATTAACACAAATAACAACATTTCAAAATGCATTTACATAAATATTACCAAAAAAAAAAAAGAAACAGGAAAAATTAATTGTATTTCATAGATTATAATTTATTCAACATTTAAAGATTATAATTCTTTGGTACGTGAGTACTTAATGCATCAATTAACATCATAAATGTAAAACAACAAACAAAAATCAAAACAGATAAGATGTTTACATAATATACATAATATGACGAGACCTCATTTCAGTTTCACATTATCTATTTACGATAATGAAATTTTGTCCCAATATAGACGTTTTATTGACATTGAGTATGATGTAATATATGGCATTGAAATATATAAAGCTTTAGAACAATAAATATAAAGGCAAAAGTTGCATCCTTTTTAATTACTTTGGATTATAAATGGCTAAGGATTATCAATGTCAGCTTTGTAAATGAATAGTTTTTAAGTTATAAATTTATGATGATGTATGAAACTTTTTCTTAAATCTAAAAAATATATATGTTCTTCAGATTTTGTTGTCAGTGGCTATAGGAAAAGGCTTGTAGTTATTGTGTAAGCTTCTATCTAGGTAGCAAGGAAACCTCCATCAATGGGTAATTCAACACCATTGATCATGCTTGACTTATCACTCAAGAGGAAAAGAACAGCATTCACTACTTCTGAAACCTCTCCAAATCTGAAATAAGGTTTATTGAATCAAATATTAATTATATAGAATGCTTATTATTAGTGTCTGTAAATAGAATTTATGCTTCACTTGCATGTATTATTTGTTCTGCTTTTTAAAGAATTGTAGAGATTTTCATGTGACTTGACAATTAATAAAAAAATTTATTGATAATTAAAATTAATTAATTAACTATTTTTACTTTCATTAACTTATCCAGAAAAGTAATAACGGTACTTATATATGACACACATGTAAAGAAAATATGACAATATGAAAAAAATAATCAAGAATATTCTCTTTAAATTTACAAACTAGTTAATATTTTATCACATTTTTGCACAGTGTGAATATTCAAATTCATGTTAAGGAAAATTAGCTTTTTATTCATGGATAATTTGCCTGACGATAAACAAATGACTTTTGATAAGAACATAATAATATACTGAAGAAGTTTGATAAACATGCCCACATTTTAGTTATTCTTATAGATGCTTTAATATAAAACTGTTTTTATTTAGCTTAGTGCTATAATTAAAATATGGTAATTGTTTTTCACAATATACTAAAAGTGTCTATTATTAATAGACATTATCTGTTATCGTTTTAATATCTTCATAACTGGAATAAATAACCTTACAGGATAAACAAAGCATTGAGATGTATGCTATTTCAAAGTTTTGTTTACTAAACAAAGGATTAATATCTTAGTGTATATAATAATCTTACTAAGCTCATATTTATGCTCATATATAAGCCTTAATAGATAGTACAATTTCATACCTTCCAAGTGGTATTTTAGATTTCATTTCTGAACTTTTCTCAGGGTCGGACCAACCCACTTTTGCCATTGAAGTCATAATGACTGTCGGGTTTACAGCATTCACCCTTATTCCATATGCCCCTAATTCTAATGCCATGGTACGAGTTAGAGAGTCTAATGCAGCTTTGGAGGCACTGTAAATGGCATGATCTTTTAAGGCAGCCTGAAATAGTTAAAGTAACATTAGAAAGGAGTTATAATATCATTCAAAAGTTAAAGTAAATTTAAGGCAGTATTTCTTTTTACATCAACAAGTTATTTTGACACTATGGTAAAAGATACATTTACTAGTTTTTATGCCCTTAGACATTAATACTTTTATAGTTCATAGTAGATAAAACTATAATATAGAAAGTAGAACATTGTAATATATTTACTGATAACAGAAGAAGAATAAAATTAAATAGTATCAGCTGCTGTATGTTGATATTTTTATCTACATAAGATAAATATGTAATCCCTATATATTGCCCAGATACATGAATGATAACATTTAAGCCCTCTGATAAAATATTCTGATACCTTTGAGGCCTGAGAAGATATATTGACTATGGCACCTTGAGTGTTGTTATCAATCATCTTTTTAGCAACAATTTGGCTTATGTTTAGCACTGCTTTCACATTCACATCAAACATCCTGGAAGTAAAATTATGGTATTTTTATCAGAATATATTGACAGAAATCCAGATTCATTAGAGAACTAATTAAACTAAATTATACACACCTATCAAAATCATTTGGTGAACAAGTAAGGAAAGGTTCACAAATGGCAATCGCTGCATTGTTTACTAATGCATCAAAGTGCCCTAGAGATTCAACTACTTCTCTTGTCTTTTCCCAATCGCTAATATCGACGTCGACGATGTCAATTGAAGGATATTCGCTTTGCAAACTCTCCAAGTGGCTTCTGGTCCTAGAAATTGTGACTATATTTGCCCCAGCTCTCCATAATTCTACAGCTATACCGCGACCGATACCTGTAAATCATAGTTTTAGATTAGAATTGCCCTAGTGGCAATATTAATTTAAGTAAATTAAGTTTTAAACCTTGTCCTGCGCCGGTGACTAAAATACGTTTTCCTTTAAAAGAGATTTCCATCCTGAGAATTTGTGATATCTATTGGAGATTTAAAATAACTTCAACATTTAGCACTACGAGATTATAACAGTTGTTACTTATAATAAGATAAATACTATATGTTCAATCTTGTAAAAATCGTAATTTGTTACTGTCAGTCCCTAAGCAAAGAATTTGACGTTTGACATGTGTCATTACAGCTGCTACTATAAATAGTTGCTTGGAAGGATAAATGACAAATACCTATTATAAAGTATTGACCTTAATTAAAAGCACCTGTGCTTTATGTTTTCATCTCTCTTTGTCCTTACAGTATTAGGTATATTTTAAATTTTATGGAATAAGTAAGATGAGGTTGTTATAATTGCTTTCCTTTTTATTTTCAATATGTTTAACATTTTTTTTATGACAATTATTGATAAATTTCGAAACGTTTAGGGTTATTTTTTTTTTTTTTTTAAATCTTCTTATTTCTTTCTTATGAAGTGTGCATTAATGAAATTATTTGAATTCACGTTACACACTTTTACACAAAAAAAAGGACAGACACTAGAATGAAATCAACCTCTCTAAATCTCTTAACTTGTTTACTGTCGTAATTAATTGTAAAATTGATGTGAACATGACTGTTTGAGCGTTTCAAGTTTATTGTTATTGATCAAAGGAAATTGATATTACCGGTTAGTTTTTTCATATTAAAAGGCAAACAAGGAGACGTCCTATCTGATGTAGGTATTTATCCCGAGAATTATCGATCAGGGTCTTCAAAATTCCTTTCAATTAGCAATTGGGTTTTTGAATTATTTTTTTTTTTGTGATAAATGGAAAGATCATATATAAGTTTAATAACAAAACTATTTTTATTTTATTTTTTTTTGCAATATTTAAAAAGTTATTTCAAAATAAAAATTAAATTTTAAATTCAGTACCGAAGACAAGCCGACAGCTCGTGAATAAACCCGAGCGCGTGTGACGTCACAATGTTAGTTTTTGCTCATTGTAGCATACAGGGATATAATAATTAGTACAGTGTTTTGAGTTTTTATCTAGTAAATTCTGTTGGCATTGTTAAATAATCAAAAGTTTTGTACCATTATGTACAAAGACTACAAAAACAACTCCTGAAAAAATGTTTTTAAATGTTCCACAAGACGAAAAACGTCGAAAGAAATGGTTTCAAGCAGTGCATCGAGATTATTCAAAAACAAAATCATTTTTTTTTGTTGTGAAGATCATTTCGTTATAAGTTTTCATAATAGTATTGTTATTAATTATTATTTATCTAAGTGTATAAATCGAATAAGTATAGTTCAATAATTAATTTTTTTACCTGGGCTCCAAATCATAACCTTTAGAATCGTAGCATTAAAAAATTTTAATTGATAATTCAAAGCGATTAAATAGTAAATCTATATATATGTTTGTCTAATAATTGGACTTCAATTAATAGATATTTTCATAATTTTATAACATTCTAGGTTCTGTATCAGACTACATTTAAATTTTTAAAGTACATATATGTTTTTTGTTTTTTTTTATAATGTTATAATAACATTTTATTAATAATGATTTAATGAAATAATTATTAATTATATTTAATAGAGAATAAATACTAATTTTCATTTAGAATAGTATTTTTTGACAGACTTACCTTGATGTCTTAGCACCTCGAACTTCAGCAAAATTAAACCGCACTTTTTAAAAAATTAGTTATCATAAAAATATATTAACATCAGGAATATTATCCGATTTTGCTTTTATAAATCATGTATCACACATAGTCGAAATAAACTTTTCAAATCGTTTTTCACTAATAAATTTGAGATATTTTTATCAAGTTAAAGATAATAGCCATAAACACTGTACTATTATGAAATTGCTTTAACATTATGACGTCACAAGTATGCTGACCAATCATGGCGCGTTTACAGTCACGTGATATATTTTTGAATTTTATCAATTTTTAATTGTTTATAATTAATTTAAAAAATATATTTCAAGTTTTTTGCATTAAAAATCCAATATAATTAATAATAAAGTTTTAAAATACATAAAAAAAATCAATACTTTTTTTTTTTTTAAAAACCCAATTGTGAAAAGAATTAACGAACATCGTTTCAATGTCGTACAAAATATGTTTTAATATTGGAGGTATCTATAGAAGTGTAGACATCTTTGCCAGACTCCTGAACAGTGGAGCTTTCGATTATATCTCAGTATTTTTCATATTCCACAAACGGAAAGGCGAGAAGGCTCGTTGTTTTACTCGTCTTATTGTTTAATTTGCTGGATTGTGTGAATGTAGCCTTGTGAAGTGTGATGTGAAGCCTTGTCCAAATCCAGTTCAATCAATAGGATTGAACTTTTTGAAATTATGGACAAGACTATACCTACGTGATAACTCTCGAGGAGATCTTGTAGACATGATTTAACAGGATTTTCGCTTGGTTTGACTTCAAAGGGTTACATTTCCTGTGGAACAATAGCACAACAATTCCACTACATACCTCCGATGTATTATAATTTAAGTGAAAGAAATTGAAGCGTTTCGTTATCTTCTTTGGAATCGAAGTTCCACCTGCTTCAAGGAATCTACCGTAATTCCTTATCCTCTCAAAGCTTTTAGTTAGCAAATTATCAAGGACCCAACTACTTAAGTTAAAAAACATTTCTTTGATTTTAATACAATCTTTAACAGTTTATACTCTACATGAAACCGATATTTTGTATACAAGTTCAATAAGAAAAGATGTCAGATAAAATCACTAGTTTATTGCGTATTAAATTACATGTTTATTGTTAGCCTGGGCCTTATTGAAAAAGGAACAACGTTTTTATGAATATTTTAAATCCTATTATATACATATTGTCTACACAGCAAGGAAACCTCCGTCGATAGGCAACTCAACACCATGTATCATACTCGCTCTATCACTCAGTAAGTAAAGCACGACGTCTGTAACTTCGGAAACTTCTCCAAATCTGAAAGGAGGTTCAATTATTAAAAAAATTTCGTCCAACGATTACTAAACATACAAGCGTACAAATTTTCTTTTTGCGACAAAAAATACTTAGAAAAAGAATGGAAGGGTATGAAAAAATAAAAAATAATTCTTACCTGCCCAAGGGTATCCTAGAAAGCATAGCTTTAGCTTTTACTGGATCAGACCATGCTTTTTTACCCATTTCAGTCATAATGACTGTAGGGTTGACCGCGTTAACCCTGATGCCGTATGGTCCTAGCTCCAGAGCCATTGTACGAGTTACAGAATCTAATGCAGCTTTCGATGCGCTGTATATCGTGTGATTTTTAATTGCTACCTATAAAATAATGTTGTTAAATTAATTTTTAAAGTATCAATGAAATTGTTTTTGATTTTTATAATGTAGAATGTTGTATAGATTAAAACAGAACTACAATTATGATCTACCTTCGATCCTTGAGTAGAAATATTGATGATTACACCAGGTTTTTTCTTTTCGATCATCTTTTTAGCCACAACTTGACTTATATTTATAACGGCTTTGAGGTTTACGCTGATCATTCTAAAAAAATAAACTTGTTTTATTATTATAAAACTATATATCACTACATAATTTTTCGGTTTAGTGTTATATTATATTATCATCACCTGTCGAAAACTTCTGGTGAACACTCTAAAAATGGTTGAATTGTGGCTATAGCTGCGTTGTTGACTAAAGCATCAAAATATCCCAGATCATCTATAACTTTTCGGGTTTTATCCCAGTCTCCAATATCCTGAGTTACCACATCTATTGCCGGGTATTGTGCGTGAAGGCTGTCTAAATATGATTTCGTCTTGGATACAGCTACTACTTTGGCACCTGCTTTGCATAATTCTATGGCAATATCACGACCGATACCTGAAATATTTTAACTGGTTATACACAAAACATTCGTTACGTTGGGTTACGCATAACGAAAATTCATTTTAATTAAAATATATTATTATAAGCAAAACTACAACAATATTGATTCGTTGATTTTATCTAATTATTGAGAAATTGATTTTATTTAATAAGAGTGTCGGTAAAAAAGATATTAGTTTCGCGTCTTTTGATGAAGAATATATGTTTGGGAGTCTTTTAAATAGCTTTATAGTTTCGTTTCTGGACTCGTGAGAATTTAATTAATTCAATTTAATTATACAAAATTTATATAAACTAGTTGAGTGGCTCAAAAATTATGTTTTTATGTATTTTGTACGAAAGAGTTACCTATTTTTAATAATTGTCCCTATTTTTAACACTTTTGAAAACTATTATTATAATTAATTTATTTTAAAGATAGTTTTTCTTAATAAAAACTTAGAGCTTCATAATTAACTTTCTTTTAAACTTATCAGCTACAGTGTACATACTACAATTTAATAAACAACTTAAGATAAGCATTATACAAATTTTTCCTCATTTTGACAGTTTATATAAAAAATATAAAATTTCATTGCTGACTGATAATAATGTGACTTGAAAAGTGAGTTATTAAATAATAATTTGAGTTGAAAATTGAAATGAACTCATTATGGCATGAAGATATGTTGCCTATAATTAACACTAACCTTGTCCAGTACCCGTCACTAAAATGCGTTTTCCTTCAAACGATATATTCATTTTTAATACAGTGGTAACAAAAGATCACAAAGTTATTTCAAAATTTTATAGATCCACCGAAGTCTTCGTTAGACGAATGCTTTGTTACTTGAGAAGTGTTATCTACGTCTGTGCTTGGAGGAAATAAAGACTTATTTTATACCACCATATGATCATTATCATATATGATCTTTGCCATTATTTAAAGTTATTTATTCAAATAAAAATAAAACAAACACGTTAATGATTTATTTTTTATTTGACAGATATAATTAATTTAGACTCTTTTCAAGTTTTCAATAGCATTCATTTTAAATTTTTATATTCCTGATAAAAATGTTTCTTTATCGTGATGACGTGTGACCCATGGAAATTTTTGCCATGTTGGTGATGGAATATTTTGGTTCCGTACATTCAAAGAATTTTTATAATTAAAAATATTTTGTATAAAAAACTAATGCAATTTAAAATTAACAGGACAAAAGTTGTTAATAATTTAATTAATTGATAAATGTAGTTTTGTGAATAATTGTTGGGTCTTTCCTTTTTTATATTTATATATTGTTTTAATGTTTAATAAATTTTTATTTGTAGTTCAAGAGGAAAACTAAATGAAAGGTTAGTTATATTAAATCACGATATTATTAAAAACTTTCGTAACTCACCGCAACTTCAAACTCTCTCTTGTTGTAATAACAATACAATCAATCGTTTAAAGTTTACTGCAAAAAATTTCAAAGTCAAAAAATAGCAATAATTACTTTAACTTTATATGACAATTGTAAATTTTAAATGCACAAATGATGCATTTACGTAATTGTGCGTCAGAACACGGTTATGATATCAACCAACGATTTTTTTTTATTTTTGTTCTAATTTTTATTTTATGTCTGTTTTAGTATTAGTCTGTTACTGTAATTTTTTGACTAGTGTATTAAAATTTTCATCTGCTATATTACTTCTGGGTGGATCTAGATCCTTGAAAGTAGTGACTCGTGTACACCAATAGGAAAAAAACACAAAATATAGTAAAAAGTTATTATTATATCCTTTCTTCTTCTACCTGGCAATTTCCCAGCATTAGCCAGGGTCTGCCTTACATGTTGTGAATAGTTTTGGCTAATTGTTTTTTACGACTGGCCGCCGGCCTGACATCAACCCTTTTTCGGGAATCAGCATTAATCAGTGGTGTCTAAATACTCTTAGAAAGTACTTATGACTTGGAAATATCACATTGGTACTTGCCAGGGTTAGGATCGAACCCGCGCCCTCGTGCATGAGAGGCGAGCCTGTTAACTAGGCCACCACTGACTATTATATTCTTTATTATACATCAAAATTCTGAAAAAAATTAAAAGCATAATGAAACGTATTATTTATTGTCAAAATTTCATTATCATTAGATTTTTTGTGAATATAAATTCAAATAAGAATGGTATTATAAATTGTCTACAAACATAATTTTAATACTTTTTCATAGCATAAATAATTAATTATATATGTTTCTGAAAGTTGAAGATTTAAATTCTGTATAATATGTAACTAAGTCTGAGGATCTCTTTATTAATTTAATGTATTTTTTTAATTAATTTTACCAAATATTTTTCATATTAAAAATTAGTCTATTTTGTAAAATTCTGTGAATATTTGACCAAAAAAAAAATCACTCCTAGAACAAAACTTCTCTAACGGCAAGTCCTTGGACAACATATGGCAGCTCTAGTGCAAGTTTCATTATCTTGTCTTCCTTCAACATGGGCAAATGCTTGTCAATTCAAGGATCGACTTTACCTGGGTTCTTTATGTCGAAAATGTGTCAAACAAGCGGACGTCCACGGACTTCAGTAGCATAATTGGATTACGGGTTGTGGATGTCATGCTAATGTTGTTGAAATAAAAAAAAAACTTTAAAATACCTTCAAAGTATGTTCAGAAAATACAGTCTTTTAGTAATTACCAAAAAGGTTATACTTTTAATATGTTTGTAAAAGACTAGGATTATTATACCCATCAGCGAGGGCTTACTGCCAAGACCAGTTATTTTATAATGTCTAATTGAATCTAACATACGAAGTTTAATGAAACATCCATGAAGACAAAGTGATTTATTTTCCATTAAGCACTTGAAGGTTTAAATCAGATTAAAGTATTAACCAAGTCACTAAGAAACAGAAAAATGACCTCAAAAATAGTAATATTAATATGCAGGCTCAATGGTTGTATGAAAAAGGTTGCATATTATTTAGAATTTAACATATACAAAATTATTTATTAATTATTTCATTGCAGTTGTGATTGTAACAAAAGTCCATAAATATTATTTTTGAAGATAATTTTCTGATCTATAATTTTTGATTAGAAAATATAGTTAATAACTACCTTTTTGGTAAAAAAAGTATTAAAGGCAAAAAATTCTGACGAATAATATTTTCAGCACACCAAAGCTTTCTAGCAAAATTCAACACTATTGGAGTTTTTATTTGTATAATAAATATATCATAAGCCGATTAGTAACGTCAAAAAAGCTCGGATGATTACCTAATATCACGTCTTACTTAGTATTTCCTCGTACTTATATGATTTTTATAAAACCAACCCTTTTGTCAAAGTTAGACGCAAGTGCCATAAAGTAACAGTGTAGGAGCACAAAGAAACAGTGTAGGATTTGGATCTAGTTCTATCAAAGATACGGATATATTCAAGTCTTTTTTCAGCTAAACGATAATCTTAAATATAAGATCCATACAATGACTTTTGAGTTGTTAGACATAAGAAATTATTGCATTCTATTAGCACTAAAATAGCCCACCTTAATTCATGATAGGACCCTAGCTTTTCTTAAATTTTATTTCAATGCGTTCCAGAGGACTCGCCCAGATCAGAGTAATTCAGTAAGATTTGGAAAAGATTCGTTTCATATCTAGTTTAATCAAATTATGTACGCTTTTTGTTGTTAATTTTTGCACTTAAGAATTGCGATGGAAACTTCATTACGCTTTAAATCATCCTGCAGTTAAATTATTGCAAAGTACCTTGTTTGAGATTTACTCATATTAAGGTCTTCCTGAGTCAGTAGTATTCTAATAGAAGTGCTTTATTTATCTCTATTTTATTACTTAATCTAACAAGTAAGGATAATGTAACTGAAGTATATTAAGTCTTTACGGATATTTCTTGGTGTTTCTCTTTCAGTAATTATAATTATGATATATTTAACTTATAATATTTTTTTTTCACTTAATCACTATTGACTTTTAATGTTAATATACTTTATAGGTAGTTTTAGAGTAATATATTAGTTCATATATATGTGATGATTGATCTAAGAACGATAAGGTTTTAATGAGATCTCTAATATTTAATATCTCAAAAAATCTTCAAGTATCTTACAATTATTCAATCCCATAATACTAATAATTAAAAATTAAATGCAAATAAAAATTAGAAAATCCCAAATATAAAAATTTATTTACTCTGAGTATTTGATATATAAGGCGTTAATACATGAAATTGGCTGTTTTGTAAATGAGTAAACTAAAGTAGATTGCTCTTTATGCACTTATGAAATTCCATATGTAGTTCATTCCTTTCTTACTAAAAACATTCGGACGGGAAGCAATAAAATCTTTGAAGGCGTTTTGGGATTTCATCATGGTTTGCAATTGCTAAAAGTATACATCTGGCATAATTGTTTTTGAGTCAATTTTAGCTTGATTCAGGGTTTGAATGGTTCGCTAAAGTTCTGAAATTACGATAAGCGTTTCCAATTATCATACAAGACCCACTTTCATTAGAGGCGATTTGATTTAAAATCCTTCATTATTATACTGGATGCCAATGTAACGCAGCAGTGGTACATACATACACTACCTTTATAATTGTAATTATATTAATCCTTCGACCCTTTTTTACAGCACTGGTGAAACACCGTGCTCGTGCTCGTAAATAACGCGATATTTTATAAACTGAGTGACCCAAAAAAAAAAAACAAAGATGGAAAAAACGTATTGATAATTGTTTTCGTATTATTATAGATACCTAAGTAAATAGCTATATATATTTGATATTGGAATACCTTACCAACGAGGAGATATTTAACATCAAATTAGGCAATCCGCAATGTTTCCAAATTCTACGGACTACTCGGAAATATTATACTAAGTACCGAGGGATGAATAAAAGCAACATATTTACATCAATTGCATTTATTACTTGTACTTAATGTTACATAAAATTCGTAAGCATTGCAAAGTTTATTATTGAATAAAGAAAACTGATGTTACCAATTATATATTTGAGAATCATTATGAGTAATATATACTTATATATAGCATAGAATTAGTTAAATCATTTTAAGTCATTTCCGGCCTGTACTTCTGAAATTAGGTCTACCTCAAGAGCGCTCTGTCTCAGTCCTGGAAGCGCTTATACGAATTCGCAACTGTGAAAATAAATAAAGAATTTCGTAGAAATATCGTAGAAAATACGTGTCAATATTTCCATGATGTATTATAATTTAAGAGAAAGGGATTGAAGCGCCTCGTTACCTCTTTTGGACTCGAAGTTACTCCTTTTTCAAGGACTCTGCCGTAATTCCTTACCCTCCCAAAGCTTTTAGTTTGCTATTTTCAAGGACCCAACTAGGTTCAAAAACATTTTTTGATTTTAAGACAATCATTAAAAGTTGTGTACTCTACATGAAACCGATATTTTGGAAACAGGTTTCTTAAGAAACATCAATTGGTAACCCAATTGGTTACAACTGGGAACTAAAATTGTTTACCCAATAAACTACAACTAGCCAAAAAATTCGGTGCAATATTGGAAAAGAGATGTTAAATAAAATCACCTGTTTATTTCGTATTAAATTGCATGTTTATTGCTAGCCAGGGGCTTATTGAAAAAGGATCAACGTTTATTTGTAAATTTTCCATTCTATTACAAATATTGTCTACGCAGCCAGGAAACCTCCGTCGATAGGCAACTCAACACCATTGATCATACTCGCTTTGTCACTCAGCAAGTAGAGCACCGCGTCCGACACTTCGGACACTTCTCCAAATCTGAAAGAAGGTTTTATGATAAAAAAAAACTCGATATTACCAATAATAAGTCTTCATTCGATATTACCAATAATACTCTTCCACCAGCATACTCTAGAATTTTTTTCGTCTAATTTCGTCCATCGTTTACCAAACACATGGTCTGAATTTTCTTTTTGCAAGAATTTTTTGTTTAGAAAAGTACAGGGAGGGTATAATTCCTACCTTTTCAAGGGTATTCTAGAAAGCATAGCATTAGCTTTAGCTGGATCAGACCATTCTGTTCTCCCCATTTCAGTCATAATGACTGTAGGGTTGACCGCGTTAACCCTGATGCCGTAGGGTCCTAGCTCCAAAGCCATTGTACGGGTTACAGAATCTAATGCAGCCTTCGTTGCGCTGTATATCGTGTGGTTTGGTAATGCTTTCTAAAAAAATAATCTATTTAATTTATTTTAAAATATGAATGAAATTGTTTTATGATTTTTGTAATATATGTAGAATGTTATCTTAATAAAAAAATCACGTATAATTATTATCCACCTTCGATGCCTGAGAAGAAACGTTGACGATGGCACCAGCTATTTTCTTTTCGATCATCTTTTTAGCCACAACTTGACTTATATTTATAACGGATTTGAGATTTATGCCGACCATTCTAAAAAAAATACTTGTTTTAACATGTAAAATATATGAAGGATAAATTTATTTTATTATATAATTTCTTCATTTAGTTTTATTTAATATTGTTATCACCTGTCAAAAACGTCTGGTGTACACTCTAAAAATGGTTGGCAATTTGCAATAGCTGCATTATTGACTAACGCATCAAAATGTCCTAGACCATCTATAACTTGGCGAGTCTTATCCCAGTCTCCGACATCCAAAGCCACCACATCTATAGATGGGTATTGCGCATGAAGACTATCTAAGTGTGATTTTGTCCTGGACACAGCTACTACTTTGGCACCTGCTTTCCATAATTCTATGGCAATACCACGACCGATTCCTGAAATATTATAACTGGTCATACACAAAACATTCGTTACGTTAGGTTACGCGTAACGAATTTTAATTAAAATAACATAAATCATAAGCAAAAATAAAATACGATTGATTTGTTTATTTTATCTATTTAATGACAACATTTTTCATGAATAATTTTTTATAATTCTCGGTAAAATAGAAATTAGTTTTATATAAGGTTGAAAAAAGTACACTGACAGTTTTTATAAAAAAAAAACTGGAGGGCAGACTGATAATATGCGACGAAACTTCTAGAAGTACGTTAAAATAATAATAAATAGCTCATTATGTCACAAAGATATGTTACCTCTAACTACCACTAACCTTGGCCAGCACCCGTCACTAAAACCCGTTTTCCTTCAAACGATATTTTCATTTTTAATCCAGTGGTACGAAAAGATCGCAAAGTTATCCTAAAATGTTATAGATTAAACGAAAACTCGTGAGACGATCACTTTGTTACTGAGAAGTGTTATCTACGTCTGTGGTTGGTAGAAATAAATTTTTTACGCCATAATTATCATATGTGATCTTTGCCATTACTCAAAGTATATTTTATCATTCAAATAAAAATAAAACAAACATTTATGTTAATTTTTTATTTTATATTTTACACATATTATTAATTTAAAATCGTTTCAAGTTTTCAATAGCATTCATTTTACATTTTAAAAATGTTTCTTTATCATGATGACACGTATTGAAAATATTGCCATGTTGGTGATAGAATAATTTGCTTTCTCACCTTCAAATTTTTGTAATGAAAAATATGTCGTATTAAAGACTTATATAATTTTAAATTAACAAAAGTTGTCGATTATTTAATTAATTGATGAAGCTGTAGGTAGCTTTGTGAAGAATTGTTTCGTTTTCTCTTAATCATTAATAACAATTCATTAATTTGTAGTTTAAGAGGAAAATTAAATTAAAGATTAATTAAATATTTTTAACTGTATTAATTGAATAACTTTCTCAATTCAACGTAACTTCAAACGTTTCTTTTTTGTTTCATAAAATATAAATAGTTCGTGAAGAGACGAAACCTCTTATAAACCTCTTATCTCAGCATTCCGTGGATTTACTCTGTTAGTGCCAGGTCCATCGCGTTGCTGGGAGAGAAGCTTTAGCAGAAGTAGCAAGTTTTTTAGGTACCTTTTCCCCATATTACTGAATTACTCTGATCTGGGAGATTCCTCTGGAACGCACTGAGATAAAATTTAAGCAATCCTGAGGACCAATCATGAATTGAGGTGTACCGTTTAAGTTCTATTGAGATGCAAATACCTCCTATGTATAACCACTCATTCTGCATTTCTAAATTCATATGATCTTAATTTTAGTATTCTCGTCTTGCCGAATAATATAACCATATCTTGGGCCTTTTTACTAGATCCTAACCCTACTCTGTTACTCCGTGCGCCTATCATATACTCTATATGGAATTGAGGTCTTGGCTTTAGTTCTGAAGTGTCTTTGTCTCTTGCTAGTTAAATCGTTACATAACTACCAAAAGACGAAATCATCGTCATCACTTACGATCGAGAAATTAAATGGTGCATTTTCCGTACCCGTAGAAACGCTTTGACCACCTAAGGATAGTCCCGGATCGTATAAGGTGTATCTTGTATTCCGCCTACCAAGACACAAACAGTCACATTTACTTGGTTTTGTCCTCAATCCATCCGTCCACTCACAGAATACATCCACCTCATCCAGAAATACTTGATAGTGTTTGGGTTTACATGTCAATATTACGACATCGTAATCGAATGCTTAAAAGGATTTTATGTATTTATTATTAAAATAGAACCGATATCCTCATTTATTCTAACTAAGTAATTATTAGTTTATCTATTAAGATATTAATTATAATAGTAAAAATTATTATTGGAGATAAACAACAGCCTTGAAATAGTCCTACATTGTAATTCAAAATGTTTGAATGGCCCTCCTTATTTATTATTGAAAACTTTACTTTTGAGTAATGTGATGAGATCATATCACTAACTAGTGTTGCACAGTTGTACTTTTCCAGAGCGAATAGCATTAATTCGTGTTGTGTCGACCCGAAGGCGTTCTCTAAGTATTAAAATATTGTAATTTCTGGTGATTTGGCCTGTAGTAATCTGTAACTAAGCATAAATAGCTTTATTCTGATTTGTAGAACTGGGAAAAAGATTTTAGATATGTTATTTGTTAAGGATATCGCTTTAGTATCTTTCGGAACAATCGATATTTTTGGGAATGAGGACAAAATTGCTTTCCTGAAAGAATACGGGATTTACTTCATCGACCATCATCTGTATATAATAATTATGAGATTTTTACGAATCGATGAGCATTTTTTAAACACTATATATGGGATATCATCGGGTCTAACAACAGATTTAGACCATTTCTTTACAAGCAACAATGTCACGTAAAAGTAAAAAAATAACACTAAGCACTGTAAGTTTATATAACAATGGCAATTTTTAAGCACAAATGACGTTACTAAAGAAAAACTTCGTTATATATATTTTTATAAAAATATGTCATAGTTATATGTGGCGACCACGAGCTGGAAGACGCAGTGTGGGTAGGCCCCGAACAAGGTGGACCGACGACCTGGTGAAGGTCGCGGGAATCCGCTGGATGCGGGTGGCACAAGACCGGTCGTCGTGGAGATCCTTGGGGGAGGCCTATGTCCTACAGTGGACGTCTTTTGGCTGATGATGATGTCATAGTTATAAAAGGCAGAAATAAGCTGTGGTTTAAAAAAAGAAATAAATAATCTCGTTTAGGTACGTAACTTTGCATCAAAACGCGGTTATGATATCAACCTACGTGTTACAGTTATTTTTTTTTCGGAATTCATTTTTGCATTTTATTGAATTTTTTGATAAGTGTGTTAAAATTTTGACCAGCAAATTTATTTCTGGATGGATCTTGATCCTCGAAAGTAGACCAATGTACATACATTAGTAGAAAAAAAAGTCAAAATACACAATAAATATGGTAAAAACTTATTATATTCTTTATTATACAATACAAAATCATTAAAAGTATAATCAAACGTTTTGTAATATTTACGGTCCAAATTTTCCTTTTTTAATATTTTTGAAAACCAATTCTAATAAAAAATTATTACAACATTATCTCAAATTATAATCTATATTTTCGCCATAAAAATTATTCATTATATATAGCGTTTCCAAAAGTTGAAGAGTTATAAATTCTATACAATATGTAACTAATGCTGAGGAAGTTATTCGTAAACTTAATCACCAAATATTATTTTTATTAAGAAATTACCTATATGGAAAAGTTCTGAGAATATTTGCTCAAAATAAAATCAGTGGTATAGCAAATCTACCTACTCTTTTGTATGCTAAAGTCCATTTCAATAGAATTTGGCAATATTGTAAACTAAGATACTAATCATGATTACTTCGTTCTTACGTATAATTGGATGTTAGTTCTGATAATAATTTCATCTATATGAACCTACCACTGTTTTCAACAATCTTTTCATCATTAAACAACTGTATATATGCATATCTATATGTTTATTTTATAAAATTATTTTGAACACGAAAATTTATTGCATTTATCAAATTGATACGATCATTTTTTACTCATCAAAGTCTATTTGTCTTTGAAAAATTAGTGGTGTAGATAATAATTATACAATGAACTACTTTTTGTCCGCAACTTTCTTTATTTTACTTTCAAACTTAGAAATGTATAGCTGAATGGGGAAACTCTGTTCCTCCTTAAAGGCAGTAAATCCGTTCTTGAACTATAAATGATGTAACTGACACGAATTTCATTTTTAAATAAAGATATTTATAATTAATCATTATTATTTGAACTTTAACCAACTCACACGTATTAAAAAGATTTGATTAGGTATAGTAAACACTATAGTGTACGTATCAACAGACTGTGATGAAAAAGAGTCAATCAATCAAAACTGTATTTTTTCTGGTATTTAGCAGACGGAACTAAACATAGGTTGCGCTAAAAAGACAAATTAAACATTTTTTAAAATCGTTAGTGATCTGTGATAGTGATCATGGCGGTTGGTTTCCCAGGTAACCAAGGATTTTTAGTGCTATTTGGATGCAAAAAACTCTCCTGTGTTCTCTTTTGTATTCTGCATTTCTAAAGTAATTAAAAAAGTTCACTAATAAATACTTAACAAAATATGAATAAATTAAATTCATTTATATAATAATTAAGATTGAAGTATACTGAACAGTACACACATCACTACGGGCATAGAAAAGTTTTTGTCAATATAAACTGATCATGTTTGTTTACAAGTTTGCCAATTTCTATTGAAATGAACTATTACATTACGAGTATCTTGTCTTCCTTCAATATCGGCTACTGGTTATCAACGCAATTATCGAGTTTATCTGGGTTCTTTATGTCAAGAAGATGTTAAACGAGCAGATGTTCATGGACATCAGTATTGTAAGGAGATTGTGGGTTGTGGATTTCTTGGTGATCTTGTTCATGTACGAGAAACTTTTACACTAAATCTTGAAAGACCCTACGTAGTGGCCCTCATGGAAAATAGAATTTTGAGACATACAGACGATTTAGAAAACAAGCGCTGTGATACGGTGGTAACAACGACGGTATTATATTGAATTCGTTTTTGAACATTCCAGATATGCAGACGATAGAACACATACACATCTAGTCTAAGCAATCAAAAGAACTCGGGACTTTTGTGTTGGATATAATTGAAAACAACTTTGGAATACATTCCAAGTTTTTACAAAGTTTTTATATATTCTTTAAACTTATACATTCATCAACAAAAAGATACTCTTCTACTGTTTCAATTTGAACCATCGTCTATTAATTTTCTTGTATCCAAACTATCTAGAATATCATGATAATTGAAACTATTGCTAAAAAACTTAGTCTTTGTCTGAGCATTGTTGATCTGAAATAGTTTTTTGTCAACCTTTAATTTAAAAATATTTTTTCTCCAAATGCGATTGAAATCGAATTTTATTTATTGTATTGAAAAATCTCTTTCTATGGTGAGTTCTTGAAATTTAAATCTTCTGACAACACCGTTTCGACGTTGAAAATCTCCCGCAGATTCTTCGTGCGGGTGCATGATCCATAGCGTTGTATTGAGAGGAGCTTCAACAGTGGTTAAAACTCGCGACCCAGGTGTAGGTTTAAGGAGCCCTTATCTAAAGTGAGTAAAACGAACCTACGAATTATTACGTAAAATGTTTAAATGTTTTGAGATCGGAGTAAATAAGTAAGATGAGGTAAAGGAAGGGTAAACGGATGGGGCAATTTCATATATAAGAACTTAACATTAAATTAAGTTTCTTTTGAATAATAAAAGTAACACAATTACATCAAATGCATTTATTACTTGTACTTAATGTTACATAAAATTCGCTACATACAAATGTTTTAATTAAATAAATTAATAAAAAAAATATCTGGTAACTTAAAGCTAGACACCAGTTAATAAACTAAAAAAACAATAACTTTATATTATTTATTATATTAAAGCATGCATTTATAATAAAAGTGAACATAGAACATATTTTGTTTTGTACATTATTTAAAAGTATTTGTTTAAAATTCGTTTTAATGTAGACATTATTTTTTTGGGCTTTATTTCTACCTGTAATTTCTTTTTTAATTTTAAACTTGACATATTCATGGAAAATATAATCCTTTGGAGTATAAAAATAGATATTATTTTGATTAAGATATAACTAATCTTCTATATATATAAAAATGGATTGCTGTTCCTTAGTCTCGCTAAAACTCGAGAACAGCTGAACCGATTTGGCTAATTTTAGTCTTGAAATACTACTGGAACTCCAGGGAAGGTGTAAAAGGTGAGAAAAATTGGAATAATTGCTGGGAAAACCCTAAAAGAGCCCTTTTCTATTTCCCATACAAACGTTTTTTTTGACATTAGATTTGACAACTAACTAATATGTCAATCATTCTGTTTGATTGAAACAGGAAAAACCTGATTATTTATGGCCTCTAAGACGGAATAGAGACATAGAGTTCGCCTGGTCAGCTATACCTACATATATTACTCTTGACCAAACTAACGCGGACGAAGTCGCGGGCAAAAACTAGTATTAAAATATTTTTTCGCTTTTGTAATATTTGTTTAATTAGCTTATGAATATTTTCATCTATAATATATCGATGTATGTATTATAACGTAGTGAGTTTCCCCTCTGGGAGTATTTTCCAGTCTTTGATATTGAATATCTTTATTACACAAAAAGAAGGAAAAATTATAAACAGTAGAAGTTCTGAATAAAATTAAAAATAATCTTAAAATGATAAGATTCCTATATATAATTCAGATACACTGATACTTCGACTATATTATACATATATATATGAAAGTATACGTAATTAATTTATCGTAATTACATATTACGTGTTCCCAATATATTTTTATCGTTTGTAGGGAGCTTTACGGTATCTACCTCTTTCTTCCTCGTCGCGGACATCCAAGTAGTGACTGAAGACAACTGCCCACAAGTAGAGGTAAATGCCTGCAATATAATATGTTTTATATAATTAATATGGTCATCACCCTATCAGAGCCCACTGCTGAGCAAAGGCCTTTTTCTCACATGGAGAAGGTTTGAGCATTAATCACCACGCTCGCTCAAGACGGGTTTGTGATTTCAAACTTATAATTGTGAAATTATAAGTCCAGGTTTCCTCACGATGTTTTCCTTTACCGTCATCTTCATAATTAATATAAATATACTTATTTCGTGATTGTTCTAATTTAAATTAAAATTTTAGGGCTCCAAAGAACTCGCTTCTATTTCAAACTGTATACGGGCGTGAAGTTTTAATTTAACGCCTATCATCCAAGACACGGTACATTAAATTCGTTTCCGTACAAATTTAGTTTAATAATAATTTTTAGTCAGTCATCAGACGTTGACTGTCGGATTGATAGAATGAATCCAACTCGCAGTTTAATAGCTATACTCGTTTTTACTAGTAAATAATTGACGATAAACGATAGCAGCATGTTGCTAAGAATGTAGCCATTCGCTGTTTTTAAGATTAAGCTAACAGTAAACAGTCATGGAGGTTCCTAGAAATAGAGCAAAACAAGTTCCATACCGGAAAAATGCCATCGGCGCACTATGTCTGATGACTTGTCAACGGTAGAACATTAATTGTATCAGCATTAAATAAGGCCAGGTGCATATTATATAGTCAAAACATTTTTATTTATACTATATAAGTATATAGATAAACATAATACTGACAAAGATTGGATTGCCATATGAATAAATATTTAAGTTTTTTTTCTGTCCAAAAAGTTACGCAAAATTTCCATTGACATATTCTTTAGAGTAAGATCATATAAATATTCTCGTTGATTTTCATCCATATTTTTATTGTTTGCATAAATATTGTTATCTTCAGCTACGTCAAATATTATTTGATTTGTATAGTTTACCTTAAAGAACTATTTCCATCTAATTGTGTATACTTACCCAATCTAAATCTACCCAGTCTAATTGTGAACTTACCCAAGTATATGAGTCCGCCGATGAGTATGCATGTGGCTATGAGTGCGTGGTCCATGCCATCGAGGTAGTAAGTTATGGAGGTGTGGAGAACACTGATCAGAAGTCCAATGGCTAGCACTATACCCAAGACAACCCATGGCAGCATTAACCATGAACGACGCTAAAATAGAAGTATAATTGATTCATACAAAGATATTGATTTTTAAATCTAGACTCTCTATGTTGAATAAGGTACCAAAATTTACTGGCTACATATGACATTATTAACTTTTTTTTCGTTATAATACTGGTTTAATTTATTAAGTATTTAAAGATAATCTTGTTTGGTTCTTGAGACTTAATTTTGTTAAGAGTATTTGATACTTTAAAACATCCGTATGTTCTCTACATTGTACCTACATAGTGGTACTAAATAATATCTAAGTGATTGTATAGCACAATGTCTTATATTTATTGAGTGAAGTTTTTTTTTTTTTTTTTTTTTTTTTAACGAGGAGAATCTTTCAAAGACTTCCCGCCGCGGGGGAAAACACGGCGGGGGCGTGTGGGATTTCCACCCACTAAACTCCTCGGCGTTCTCTGCGCTGTGCGTAGGCTAGTGAGCGGGAACGGCAAGCCATACTTCCGCTCACTACGCACGAGTCCCATGGACTCCGTCTTCGGCAGGGGTCACAGTGGCTTCACCACACTTCCCCTCCGACTCCAGAGCAGCGTGCCGGGAACGCCAAGCACGCCACTCTCACTCCAGCCTATGTTGCCCGGACGCCGGTTCCCCACCAACGCCCGGAGGCTCCTCTCACTGGGGAGGCATTTGGCGAGCGTAGGCCCGCTGCCTTCTACCCAGCCTTCGTCGACGCTTATTGAGTGAAGTGAGCCAAGCGGACGGAACTCTGTACTAGCGACTTATATCATTCATCCACGGAGATGTTTCCCCCCAACCGAATGTTCGATCGAATCATGGATTTTTTGTTCCTTAATCCAATTATTTTTAGTCGTAATTATAACCAATTCTAATTTTAGGACCGCGAAAAGGAACTTATGTCCAAAAAAAAAAACGGTTTGGTTCCGAAATGCTGAGATCGCTTCACTCAACTTGCATCGACAGCTTTTTTTCGAGTAAGGGGGAAAAGATAAGAAGTTATTACTTAAAATTACTTTTATGAAAAACTGTTAATATCTATAGGATAACTTACGGAAAAGGACGTCTGAGAGCATAGAAAATATAATATTTGAATAAGAAGAAGAATAATAAATCATTAAGAATAATTAACGATACAAAAATTATGTCATAATTTTATTATAATATTTATATTACCTTTAACACTGCAACGATAAGAAGTGTGCATATCAATATGGTGAAGCATAAATTCACTGTCAGTATTATTCTCGGAACTGAAAGAAGAAAACGATTTATTTATATTTTTTATTATCTGTGAAACCATGTATATATTATTATCTGTCCTAATTAATTATCTCAAAGAAGTTTATATTACATTTTTTTAGAGATAATGATCCTTTGTCATAAAAATGACGTAATATAAATCAGACTTGATTTTTCACCAACCAAACATCAACTTTATCAAGATCTTCTATTCATAACTCTTCGTTGATCGTATCACAAATAGTTTTTTGGACACAAAAAAAAAAAAAAAAAAAAAAAATTGTAAGGTTCATTATGAAAAGAGGTTTTATTAAAGTTTTTTTTTGCACGGATCAAGTATACACTATACATATTTAGTTCATGTTTTCTTTCTTTTTTTTTTTTAATAAGTTGGCTTATATTTCGTTTTAACTTACTATCCATGTCAGCGAGTTTCTTATCGAAGTCCTCAGCGAATATGAATGTTCTATATGATACATTATGTTTGTTGGCAACCCAAATGGTTATAATAGTGATGATTGATAGAATAATTCCTAATACACCGGTTATAATGGTCCCGGTCCTGGTGGACGCACAGCAGCAACACTTTTGTAAACGCTTCATTGTTATAAGTTATTTATATTCACTCGATTCTCACTTTAATATATCACCTTCTCATAGTTTCTGAAAACAAAAAATATGATTGAGTTAATCTACATGAGTAAATATTAGACTGTTACTTATTTTAAACACAGTTTGGGTTATATAAAATTGAATGAGGCTAGAATATTTTTAGTTTTATGTTATTTTAATTGTATGTACGTATTTAGAAATAACTAAAAATTTAAAAATAAAATGTTAAAAATATTTCAGAATACATTTTGAAATACGAAACCCCAATTCTAAAATAACATTAGTTTGATCTGACAATATCATATTTGAAATAGTTGGAATAAAAAAGTAAAATTTATCCGCCATTTTTCAAATAAAAAGAAGTTATATATTAGATCCATATATATCAAATCCGTATACATAGCAGGTCCTGGTGAGGCCGTCATACTGTTACGTCTTCAATATTTACCGTAGCTTTAACGGTCTTAAGATATTTTTATCTACACGTGCCTCATTAAGATGTGCCGAGCGAAACGCATAACGTAGAATTATTTTTATAATTTGCTGTCAACAGACGCCATCTTGAAATATGATTTTAGCGGCAAGCCATAAGGAAGTATAATTGCATGTTATCAAAGATTATATTTAATTACTCGTTTCTATATTTAATTATAATTATGTCTGATTCTTAATGATAGCTATTTTAAACAAATAAATAACTAAATATGGATATATACTCGTACATGGATAAGCAGAATATAACTGAATTATTTTCTTTTAAGGTAATTGTAATGTTATGCAAACGATAAATTACAATATATGTACATATAATATTGTTTTGGTTAAATCGTTACTGTATACGTATGCGTACGATTATTAATAAAACTATTACGGAGAAATATAGAACGGAAAGATAAAAAAGAAAGAATAATATACTTTTATGGTAAATAATAAAAAAATAGTTTAGTCAGTGGTGGTCTTGTGGTTAAAAGGCCCGCCTCTCATACACGAGGGCGCGGGTTCGATCCTGGCAAGTACCAATGTGATTTTCCGAGTCATATGTACTTTCTAAGAGTATTTAGACACCACTGATTAATTCATTCCCAAACAGGGTTAATGTCAGGCAGGCGGCCGGTCGTAAAAACAATTATCTAAAACTATTCACATGTAAGTCAGACCCTGGCTAAAGCTGGGAAATTGCCAGGTAGAAGAAGGATAAAAAATAGACATCATTATTGCTAAATCAGTATGTTTACCCCAAGTTCCCCGTTTTGTTTAATAACCTACGTTAATACTATGAATGGGAAGATTTATGAATGAAAATGACGTTTCGTGTTGAAATTCAAATTTGTGGTAAACATAAAATAAGCATAAGCCATTCAAATAATTTAAATAATTGATTAATTATTAATCGTTGATCATAACTTGTTAATAAATAATTTTATAGTATAATAAAATTAAAATGATCATAGTAATTATTATTTATTGTGGCAGATATCTAAAATTAAACTATGTAGTAATACTAACACAGATTATGTATGCTTTTTCTGTGCTTTCTGTACTTTAAATAGGTTAGACTGTTAGAGGAATAATGTGTAGTGATTGACTAACGCGTCTAAATCTGGAGCCATCGATTCCCATTATATTAGGTCATTCCCATTATATGAGATGGATATTGCAAAATTTTAATTTGATTCCGTTCGTACTCAATGCTTTCGCTTATAAGCCCGTTACGAAATAGTATCAGAATATTTACGTTCCGTCATAAATTAAACCTTTTTGGATCGATATTCTCTTTTTTTTTAATTCTTGATTCAGTTTTAAGTACTGGTGCTTTATTTTTTTTTACTTTTTTAAAAACATTAAAATTTCAAATTTAGAACGGAAACCCATTTACTATTTGTCATGTTGGTAATATTGTTGTATTATAATTATTCTGTGATAAGGTGATGTAAATTTGTATGTGACTATTTTATATTAGACGATAAAACTATTAATATAGAGCTGTGATATAAAAATAGGTCGGATCCTGGCATTGACCTAGATGTACTAGCTACAGTATATACAACCGTTACCTTTAGCCGCTCCTAACCTTTTACAACCCATTAACTTGGGCTTTGGTTTCATTCCATTAAGAAAATAACGAAGATATATTTTATTTCTCAGTATCTTCTATAAGCTTTATTATGTAGAAATATTATAAAAAGTATAATGGAATATATAAAATTATAAATTAACTTTTATGACAAAGTATTTAAGCTTGTATTAATTTTGACAACTGCTTTTTTATTATTATACTACATAGAAAACCCGGCGAACTTCGTATCGCCCTATAATCAAGAAATATCTGTTACGTTTTTTTATTTATATTTTTGTAGTTTACCTATTAAAGCCATAAATCTCCGTGTTTTGAAGTGCGTCAGAATGATTGACATATAAGTTAGTTGTCAAATCTAATGTCAAAGAAAACGTTCGTATCAACAACTACTAATAAATTAAAAATTATTTAAAAAAACATTGTCCACCGGACAAAATTGTGAATCTAAACCATTCCCAGATCCCCTTGAACAGACACAAAAAAATTCATCAAAATCGGTCCCATCGTTTGAGAGAAGTTCAGTGACATACACTCTCAGAAGAATTATATATGTAAAGATGTATATAGTGCTGTTGGATTTTATTAGTGCTTTTTTAATAGTAACTGCTTGCGAAATGTGAAATCTGTTAAGAAAACAGTTCGTACTTTAAATAACACTGAACAGCCTTATAAGTTTGTTAATGAATGCGTATAAATCAGAGCGGAGTTCCATTTAGGGAGCGGCACAGTGAGCCTTTGTTTGTGTATTATTACGTAACCCTTGATGAACATAATATACTGGATACTTCTACTTATATGTCATAACATATAGCTTTATATCCAGAACCACAGTATAAATTTTTTTCCATATAAAGAAATGCTATGTACATAAAGTATGTAAGTTTTTTATTTGACAGGGATTTACGCATAGTAATCATATTTGCTTCGTTATAGAATAATATATTAACAGAATTTGACGATTTTTTATTTTATTATTCCTTATAACCTTTTTGGTGGATTTATTATTTGCCAGTATCAAAAATTTATTTTCATTTATGTTTTATAATGATAATACTTTTTTATATATTGCATTTTTCTGTAAATGTGAATATAGATTTTGAAAACTGTTAACCGCTTAAAGGGATATTTTTCGTGAATATTGTAAATCAGAGCGACGAGTAAAGCTGAGAGAATAAACTAGTTCTTTTAATAAAAAGATAACCCTAAGAGGCGATGATCGCATGCGCTTGTTGCAAGCAGACCGCAGTATATTAAACAATCATTCAGATATACTAGAATGTTCCATTACGTGGTGTCGTTTAGAAATAGGTTAAGAATAGGACATGTTGTTTTACTTTGACCAACAAGCAAGAAGCTTAGAAATAAAAAATCACTGTTGTTATTTTATAAGATTAATTTAAATTTACAATTATTATAATAAGAATTTGTCATCAGCCTATCAGAAGCCCACTGCTGAGCAAGGCCTCTTTCTCACATGGAGAAGGTGTGAGCATTAATCACCACGCTTGCTCAAGACGGGTTGGTGATTTCAAACTTATAATTGTGAAACTATAAGTCCAGGTTTCCTCACGATGTTTTCCTTCACCGTATGTCAGTGATGTCTAAATACTCTCAGAAAGTACATATGACTCCGAAAAACCACATTGGTACTTGCCAGGTTTGATCCTGCGCCTTCGGCAACGAGAGGCGGACCCCTTAACCACTAGGCCACCACTGACTTTTAATAAGAATTTACTCTGACTTAAATGAATAATGTGTACATGTTGATTTTAAACTATATAATCTCAGGGTCAAGGGCTGTAAGTACAATGGCCCTGGCTTAGTGACTAATTTGACTCATGACGTAATTCCTCACAAGTTGGCAGTGACATGTACAAAATAGTGAAGTCTTGGCGCTAAATCCAAGGTTAAATTTTGTTTTAAAAACGCCCAGTGTTGCCATAACAATAATGGGAATTAAGAATCAAATTAAATAATTTAAATGGCAACTTGATATGTATATTTATCCTCTTTGGAGGTTATTATAGCATAGAGATTTGTTCCCAGACTCCAAGACTTGAGTTCAGTCCAATTGTATTCGTCTCACTGATATCTTATTACAATGTTAAATAAATTATGTGTTGTGGTTTGGAACTAGTGACCTGTTGTTTAAGTAGCTTATGATATAAAATACCCTTTCTAGGAATCATATTTAATACAGATTAAAAAAGCCTTTTTTAATTTGATATTTTTTTATGTTATCTTTGATTATATGCGAGTATTTTGTGATCGCTATATGCAATTTTTTAAATATTTATCTGAAGGCGAAAATAATATAAAAATTTAAATTCTACTTCTTTGTACATATTTGTATTGAAATTTAACGATTATCAAATATTTTTGTTTATCTATAAGTTTTGGTTGTTTTTCAATACGTTTTATTTGTTTCTTCAAGACTTGTACGCGACATTGAATAATGAGTTTATTTATATAAATACATATAATAAAAATAGTATGTATTCTATATTGTTTAATGGAACTGTTAAATCTGTCGCTTGTATGACGCTATTTCTATACATAACTAGAGGTCGAAATGAAGTGTTATTCATATACCGTTTAGTGTCATTATTTAACACTGACCTTGTTACTTGTTTATAAAATTATATTATATTATATGTTTATATATTTCAAACGAATATAAACTTTATTAGTAGCATGCAGGGTTGAGATTGCATTAAAACGTTTCTTATTATTAAATAAAGATATTCCGAGTATAGTTAGATCCGAGACACATGTGATCAGTTTTTGTTGGTGTAAATATTTCAAGCGAATTCTACACCAGAAGGCCGGCGCAGGCGCAGCTATGACGTCATCGTCTCATACTTATTATTCTATACACAATCAACGTATTAATTACTCATACAAATACAGCGATATGTTTACATCAGTGTATTATGTAAACATATCTATTGCATCCTAGTGTATAAGTAAACAAGCATTTATATTGGTTTACATGCATTTATTAAAATGTATAGACTTGACAATGTTATAACACTTTCCTTGATATAAAGTATGAAGGCTGGCGGATTTAACAGCTTTTGATATTGACATTGTAAATTTCGTTTATGATCAAGCGAAATGCCATTTACGGTCTTCTCAGTAACATTGGCTGTACAAGGTGAGCCGCTTCCAATTTGCGCTCCCTCTTCCGCTCGTTAAATGTACGTATTAATTGATCGCCTTCTATTAATCTCAATTTTTCAATAAAGCATCCTTCTGTATCCTTCATTTTGACAATGGGGTTAATGGGGAATTGTAGTTAGCTATGAAGGGAATTGAAGAATTGTCTTGTCATACACAGCACACAATTGCAGTGTGCATTAAAATTGCATATACATACATATATACTTTTTTAGTTAACGACTTAAGATAGTTTAATATTCGTAAAATTTTGACAGCGTACAGATAATATAAAAAAAAATACTACCAAAATTCAAAATAAACTATATTTCAATAGAACTAATAAAGAAAATAGAATAATAAAAACAAAAATATCTAAAAAAGGAGTTAATCTTTTTATACATATATTGGCTGGCTGAAATGCTATAATAAATAACTGTATTATTATAAATCATTTAAATGACATCATCTGTACTGTTATGTGTAATGCAGAGGAATGAGTCATGTTGATTTATCAGCGAATTAAGAAATCCCTTTAGCGAGGGTTACTCTTCAAGGTCAATGTGAAACCGCAGTCCGATTATTTTAACCACATTCGACATCATGACGAAATTACACTGAAATTACGTTATTCGTATGTTGAAATATTGCAGTACATTAAAAATAATATGACGATAGTTATTGAGATATTTAATCACGAATTTTATATCATTTATACGTATTTGTAAACTCAAACAAACTAAACTACAAACTACATACAAAAAAACTAAACGAACTACATACGTAAAACTAAATATGAAACGTTTCCCGTTTCTACTTCAATAATCTAAGTTTATATAATAAGTAATACTAAGCACACTGCTTTCAGATAAATATATTAATTTTATCAGTTCAAACAAATTCGGGTAAAAAACAAGAGTTGTTTATAAAATCGTGACTGGGATACATACATACTTACTTCCAAAATTACGAACGCATGAATAAAACTTGGTGTACCTCAATACAGCCAAAAATTATTTAAAAAAAAGATATAGGACAACAAAAATAAGGTAATGACCAAAAAGGTTTTTACTTAAAATTAAAAATAAAAACTCAAAATCAACGTCTGTTAGATGCATACAATTTAGCATTCATTAACACCTACTCAACAGTCTAGTGTATCCAATACATTATCATAGTATCATATAAGTGTATTAAATTCCTTAACAAATAAAAACTAATATTTGGAGGTCAACAACCGATAGACCAGCCTTATCACATCGCTTCTTTGATTCAATGAATGTTTTCTAATTAGTGTAATGAAAGCGTCCATTAGAAAACAGAGTAACAATGATTCTTTTGTATGTCTAACCCATTTATGTTTCCTTTGTGAATTAACATGGAGGTTAAACATTTTGTCATTCGATACTATCATAAGACTGAAACCTGTTTTCACTGAAACGAAATGTTTTATATAAGAAATAATTTTGTTGTATTGTAATTTTAAATAATACTCCACTATTTTATATTATATATATATACTTATGGTATTTATTAAGTCAATGGTGGCCTAGTGGTTACATGGCCCGCCCCTCGTTGCCGAGGGCGCGGGTTCAAACTTGGCAAGTACCAATGTGATTTTTCGGAGTCATATGTACTTTCTGAGAGGATTTAGACATCACTGACATACGGTGAAGGAATACATCGTGAGGAAACCTGGACTAATAGTTTCACAATTATAAGTTTGAAATCACCAACCCGTCTTGAGCTAGCGTGGTGATTAATGCTCAAACCTTCTCCATGTGAGAAAGAGGCCTTTGCTCAGCAGTGGGCTTCTGATAGGCTGGAGACGACGACGGTATTTATCGCATTATTTACAATTATTTTTCTCCATGGCAACATCAAAATAATGACAGTTATTTATTTGAATTTTATTAACTTTTTAACAGATTCATTATGAAAAAAAATTTATAGACTATAGGGTAGTAGTATTATCAAACGGAATGCTAATTCTGTTAAACCCTAATATTTCTTGTAAACTTGGTATGAGCTGTCATGTGAACACTAGCTAACACCCTACCATTTTCGGAAACCCTATAAATGGCGACACAGGAAACATTTACGCGCCGTAAGTTTACTCTTAGTAATCACTCATAAAAACCAAATCTAACTGTGTTTGTTTATTAAAACAAAGAAAAAACATTGTTTTTACGTTATATTAATTAAGCAATAATTAACAATTGAAGGAAATGTTAAATAACTTATCGTACTGTATACTTTTTGTTTCACTTTTATGCAAAGGCAGTTGCTATTCGGAAATATTAAAAGAAAAAAAAGGTTTTATAGATATATTATAAGAATATCACTTGGAACGCAAACTAAACTCAATAGTTTTTTGTCGTATGCCATTGTCAACGTAAAAAGAGCAATAAATGAAGGGATTTAAAGAAAAAAAACTCTTATAACTTCTTCTCTATTAGTCATAAAAAACACACTTATTGAACTAATGTAAAATTAAATTATTAAGAACGATATACCTATATATTTCGTCACGGGTCTCTAGGCAAAAATATAAAGGTAACTTTCAAACTGTTACTGTATACGTAGAGCACTCGTACTAAGTACACGGTTGTAATGATCGTAACTAATTTGTTAATAGTTTACGGTATAATGCGTGGGCAGTGGATCCCCCACACGGATGTAACTGCCCACAAAGAAATAACTTCAACATCCCAAATAAATAAAAAAATTAATGCATATATTAGTAGATGTTATATGTTAAAGAAATATATTTTATATTTTAAAATATAATGCGAGGAAAACATATTTAACGCGTCATTATAATTTAATTGATCGTAAAAAACGTGAGCATTCATTGTATGTGTATTAATTGAAGTATATTTTAATTTTATTTTTACAAACTTCCTAAACTAATGTAACAATTTTCAAAAATATATTCTTGTTTTTTTTTAATATTAAATATTGCAACACTTGAAACCGGTAACATTTTATCGAATTCGTAGACATCATTTTGTATTTGCATATTTTATTTAGAATCAAATACATTAAGCCATACCGGTTTAAAATAGTATAAAATTTCTATTAACAAGTCATTACACATTGTGGTATTTTAATTGCTTCGTGCATAAAAGATATTGATTATCCTATATACAATTTTTATGATTCTACTCCGCGATAAAAGTAACATTGGTGTTTTGCTAAAACGAAAATAACTCACGACTCATAATCTCAAGGAAAGGACGTAACCCATATTACATATTCTAAAACAAATTCAAGGTCACATTTTTAATGCTTTTATATTATTATCATAATAAAATTAGTTACCTGTGTTTTTAAAACCTGTAGATAGCACTACACTTTTTGTTTAAAAAAAAAACTACGTCGATTCACTTGTCCGCTACTTGGTTATGTTGGTAACGCGTGTGCCGCGCGATTGTCTCGCGCGTCGAAGATCATCTGGCTGTTGGCGCGAGTTGCGATGACGACGCACGATGACGGTATTGTCCCGGCTTTTCGCATGTTTTGAAAGTTGATTAATTAATATTACTTGTACTTTTGTTGTTCAATACAATATATATTTTTGCAATCCGTTTTAATTGCTTATGAGTTCAAAAATATTTATGATTATTATAAGGACTTATAAGTTAAACCGTTGATAATTTTTTTATAAAAAAAAATTAATGTCAAATCATAATAGTTTGTATTGATTGTCAAATATGTAAACTTAAAAGTAAATCATAAACAACATTTGAAAAATTATAATGATTATAACATTAATAAAAAACAAAGATCATGATAAACATATTCTCGTACATAGGTATGAACATTCAGTCCGAGGTGTGTTTGTGGACGCTACTCGGACTGGTGCGGACCATTTTCGATGCTACACTATTCAAAGTTAACGCTAATCTTAAACAGGTAATAATAAATAAATTATAAATAAATGTAAAAGAAAGTTTGATAAGTGCGTGGTATTTTAATTCATTGCTTCAAACTAAGGTATGGCAGATGACAATGCCTCCCGAGCTATCACTCCCAGTACAACGTGTATTACGTACGATGATATCTGGAGTGATGCTTGTTCAATGTTTTACTGTCTACGTCTATCTCGCCTCATACATAGTGCTTCTATATCCAGTGTTTTTGGTTAGTTCAATTCATACAATTATTAAAGTAATAAAACTATTTTCCTCAGTAATCACTAACGTAATACACATGTATGTAAAAGTTAAACTATTTCATACATCACCTTAATTCTTTTCATTTATTTATGGTTGTCGAAAGTATTCATAACATCTGTATAAGCATGGCCTAAATATTATTAACCACACCACCCAATGGTATGTACGTGATCGTTACCATTGATTGCTTTGGTGTTCAATTAATATAAACCACATTCCATTAATATAAATTACAATATTGTTAACTAAAATTAAAATTGTGACGTATATACATACCAAATTTTTTACATACATATAAAGAATATAAAATAAATGTAGATATCATTGGCTGAGTTCTGTACAAGAAAACGCTTTATATTTTTCGTCAATTTATTAAAACCAAGTTTGTAAGCATGTGTATCATTCTAAATTTATTTTAAAGCCCTACCTTAACACGAGATAAATATATAAAGATATATAGAAAATCTTTAAATGAACCCGTTGCCTACTTACACGTAAGTCCGGCTTCAATTTGACGCGTTATCTGGTGATCTTTATCAGGAAGAGAGACCAACGCTAGTACTGCCTTGGCTACTGTTGGCTGCTATCAGAAACTTTCTCTGTGAGTTGACGAGCTTGGCTCTTGGTTTAGGAACATGTGTCCTACTCGGCCCAGCCAGACCGCCATGCATTAAGTTCGTCATAACTAAACTTGGCTCTATAATGCCTTCTTTTTATATGTGGATGCTGATTTTCAGGTATATTTATTGAATAAATAAAAATAGTTATATAATGTACCTAGCTTTCCTGTCACAACTGAAATGTACGTAATAATTAAGAAAGAATAGGTCTAAAAAAATCCATGAAATTAAAAAGTATTTTTGGTGTAATGTAATGATAAACACCTAAGAATGGTTACATATGTTTAAACAAAATATTGGACGATTTTAAATATAATAAATATGTTTCTAGTTACTATCATAATCTTAAATTGGCAACTGCTTTTAAAACCTTCGCGGTGTCCACGTCTAGTAATCTGGATTACGGTTTGGAATTAGCAGTACGGAGACGTAGGACTAAATCGTTGCAAGACGAGGATCAGTTGCGAAAGAAGTTGATTGCCAGTCTGTTAGTATTGGAATGTATTAAACACTAGCTCATGCCCGCAACATTACTTGTCTTTATACAGGATGACTGGTGAATTACTATCAATATTTAAGGAGAATACTCGGTACATGATTCTCATTCGAATTATGTAAAAAAAATAGGTACTTAATTTTTTACCAAATTTCCGTATAAATAAATAAAATGTGGAGACGTTCCGCGGCGGCTTGCTGATACAACACCACGCCGCCACACGCGTGTGTGTGTGTGTGTGTATACCTAATCTGTAGGGTGTTCACACGATGCGTAATTAATTACATAACTTTTGGTTAACTTTACTTAGAAGTTTATTAATATTTATGTTATATTAATTTTGTCATATATGATCGTCAAATATCACGTCCTCAAGTATCGATAGTAATTCACCAGTCACCCTGTATATAACGATCTTTTCTATGCAAGAATATAGATTACTGAAAACGTACTGCTATAAAAATTGTTGTAAGAAAATTTTTAATACTTTTATATTTAATAATTTGCCATTATTTGAATGACTCCAAGCTTTGCAACACTAAAAAAATATGTATCTATAATCTATATATTGTATCCAGTAGATTTGATGTTATGTGTTCCACAGACGACTATCATTTTATGTAAATGATTTTAATACATAATAGGTACTTATAATAGTGATTACAAAAAAGGATTATGTCAAAGCAACGACTATTACGACAGTATTACTGATTGTAAATTATAAATAATAAAAATCGATATCTCAACGATATACTCGCAAAAAAATGTCTTGAAAGGATGAAAGAAAAATTATTTTAATGTTAGAATTTATTTATAAAGCATGTTATATAATATTCATAGGAATGTTCATCAAATTTTTGTAGCTACCATGATAATTTGGAACCCAATAATAAAGTTGTATCGAGTTTGCAAACGGTCGAAGAATCAAGATTGGAGGTGGAACAAAACTTTATGAACTCCAACAACGAAGAGGCTAAATCATCTTCAGATATGGCACAACCCTATTCTGTTACGGCCACCAGAACAATGTCTGATATAGGCACATTTGAGGACTGGTTCGGTAGCGAAGTAGTCCTACCAAGAGACGCTGATCGCATTCTAGAACAGTTTGTACTGATGTTAATGAGGATAGGAGCGTATCTGAAGAAAAGCGATGCCGACCTAAAAAAGTTTTTAAGCGTCAACTCTCAAGTGCTCTCGCCGAAAGGAAATAAACAGGAATGCCAAGCGATGCCAACCGAAGAAACTGATACACCACCGATAGTTGGCACCAGCAAGGGAAGGATGCAGTCATATCTACTCGAATATCCGGATATTTTTATGAGAAAACCATCAGACATATTGGGACCGCATAACATTAATGAGAAACTACGAGAAACAAAACATTTTGATGAAAGCAGTTATAAATCGGCGTCATTTGCTTCAATAACAGGGAATTCGTTAGATAAAGTGAGCGATTCACCTAAATATAAAGACTTTCTCGGGAAGAAAAAAAATTTTATACACTCCGAACCAGAAATTTCTATGACCAGACAAAAGAGTGTGGAAAAGCATGTCGAACATTTAAGAACTTCAAGCAGTAATTTAGTAAAAGAACCCAGTAGTTTAAAGTTATCGTCATCAGACTGTATTAGGGAAATTTTAAATAGTCTCGAAGATAGAACAGCTTTAGCCTTAGAGCAAAAATCAAAAGAGTACAATAATAAGGATTCCGGTTCATAAGTCTTGAATAAATCATGCAAAATAAGAAACTTAAAATATTAAACAACTCAAAAAGAGAAGATTTTATTATTATTGATATTTAAATAAAACGATATTTTTTTACACAAGTCTTTTATTTACATTATTTCGTGTATGAAACCTAATAAAATTTTTGAATAGTTTAAAGCGGTTTACACACTGAATTTTGGATAGCTAAACTAGGATCTAGATACATGACTCTGTAGTTATATTCATTTGGATCGATCAGATTGAATTGATATTGAGGCAGCCTGTTGGTAATTATCCAAGCCACTTGAGGCACTTCATTGTCTAATCGTAAATCGTTAGGGAACACTAAGGTATTGTTGTTCTGTGCAACAATATCCAAGTTCTCAAGCTTGTAATCCTTACGTGTGTCCCAACACCCGATACTGTCTAGCGAAATAAGGTTAAAGAACATGATACCGTTGCGGTCCACAGCCGCGGCGGAAACTTGTCCCTTCATACCTCGACTGTCACCTAGAAGTCTGAACTCGCCAACCGCGTTATTAACGCGCGACGGATCACGGATCACGGACGTTTTGACGACGAATTCCAGTGAGCTCGACATGGCGTGGTAGTAGAGGTCTCGATCGCCGAGATGATACCTTCCAAGTGACATTCCGAACAGCCCGTCCGACCATTGGTAGTTCAAGCCGTGTAGTGTGTAGTTCGATAGTAGGGGTTCCGGGTAGAACGAATAGTGGCTGAATCTCCAAAAGGACGCGTCGGCGTCTCTAAACACAATGAGACCGAATCGCCAGGCGTCAGCTATGTACACGTGTAAATCTCTACACTGAGCGTCTCTCGAATCGACGATTATGTTTGTTATAAGAGAATTCTGTAATACAAATTCACTGGGTATTGGATATCTGGCTAGTACGGTGTCAGTGTCTAGGCTTATAGCAAAAAGTGTAGGTGGACATATTTGACGCGGTGTTTCGAAGGCCTCCACTTGTCCGGAATCCAGTACCCACATCACACCACAGTGATCGATACTCATTCTGAACACCGAAGTAAAACCGGTACAGTTTTCTGTTGAACAAAAATTAGGTCGTTGGTTTTTTATCGGAGTTCTATTTATAATGTAAATCATTTAACCTACATTGAACATCATAAAGTATAGTAATGGTTTAACATATATATAGCAAATTACCAAGTCAAATGTTTTCGTAAGAAAGCGATAATTATGTCAACAGTGTTCCGAATAGTAAGTTGATAGCGTTTTCTAAAATATTTTGCGTAGTCTAATCTCGAAAAAGCGAAAGTTCGAGAGCGTTGTAAATAATTTATTAAAACTAATCTAGCTCATGTTGGTTATTTTGTAATAAGATTTCTAAATTCGTATATTTTAAATACACACATTTTATTAACCAACGCTAAAATAAAAAATCACTAAGTCGTTGTTTTCAAATATGATTTTCAATTATTGCACTTCTTTCCTATATTTTATGGTTTTATTATAAAGAGACTGAAATATTTACCAGCTGTATGCCAATCCCAACTGGGATAGGGTCTCAAAGGTGGTGATTCCTCAACTGCTTCAACCGGGATTGAGGATAGAGTAGCTGGAACTCCCTTCTTCCATCTTGGTGTACTCACAAACACACGATCCTTCCATCTCTCCACACCCAGTGGTATAACATTGATCTGATTAAAATCTCTGAAATATCGACATTTGGACTAAATAAATTACATTTTCTAGTCATACAAGAACTTTGCCGGCATTTTAATGTTTTCCGTCACTGACGTAATATTTACGTGATCTAAGTCATGTTCATAAATAAATATAAATTAATGCACATCATTTGTGATGTAATATAATATTTAATGAAAAACTTTTGTAGCAAAATTAGGCAGCTTAATAGTAAAAATATATGTACAATATTATGATTTGGGATAATAATAAGAAAAAGATTCAAATTGTAAGCTGTTTCGAGTATGTGATATATTTTACCCATTCTGAATGGCTTGTTGTCTAAGTCCAGGACTGGGATAGCTGTAATCAATTTGTTTCCATCTATACAAAGTACCGATAGCCTTCCTCTGGTCGCATGTACTATATGTGTTTATTAAACCGAAGGACGCTACCAACAAAAATGATTTAAAAATCATCTGAAACAAAAGTATATGTAAAAAGGGATTAACAGAATTTTGTCTAATGAACTTTAAATAAATATATTAGATGTATTAATTAATAGAGTTATGAACAAAGTAACCGTTATATAAAATAACCAGTTATGATATTAATACGAGTTATATATATTTTTTATCATGATATATAGTTTCGTAAATTTTATAATAAAGTAATTAAAACATGTTTGAAAGTAGAGCGTGTATGTTAATAAGCGATTGAATGGTTTAGTAATTTAGTGTAATTAATACTGAATTATATAGAATACTTGAAATCTTGATACATTTTTTCGATACTGTATAAAAAATAATTAAAAATACTTGTGATCATCCCGATTAGTAATATTTATATAATTTTCAGGTGAGATTACAATGATTTTTATCTATTATATCCAATTTATCTCAACAAGTTATCAAAAAAAGAGTTATGTAAACTTCTCTAAGATATTAAGGAAGTGAACTTTCGATAAATAAAATTATAATGTTCAAATTAAACATGTTTATTTATTATATTTCTTCTTGATTGCATAAGATGAATTTGTTTTACTAAGTGATAATAACTAACACACAATATAATTCTTATACAGCATCAATTAAAATTTCAAATCAATTGTAATATAGTTAATTCTTATCACTTAAAATTGGGCTGTGGTTTATCATGTGCATTATAGTGTGAAGTCGGATTGTTAGAAAATTATTAAATAAGGAACTTCGTTCCAAAAAGCAACAACACAGTAATACAAAAATCAAATAAAAAATTCCTTGTGTTATGTCAATGACAAATTCTTAAGATTAATATTATGTACATAATAAAATAAATCTAACCTTTGTGTAGTTCTAATATATATACAACGAGCGTCCGTATCGTTGTATGTTTACTTATATTCTGCCAGTATTCGTAAACAGCTTAATAATTACGTAAATGTGGATGTGGATCGAATATAACCAGTATCCTCGCCCAAGGGGGGGTACGAACAGTAAGGTCATTCAAATATTAAACAAATTGTTACTTTGAGACCACGAACGCGAACTACTTAAGGCCTTCTAATTTTCGTTGTTTAATTATCTTATATTAGTGATAGGGCCTGCTAAAAAATCTTCTAAGTATTAAAACTTAGCCTATTTTTTAAAATTTGTTTTATGTTTTTGTATTATTAAAAGGTGTTGTATAAAAATTAACACCAAATAAATATATAAGTTTTTTTTTAATTTTTCAACTTTAAGTAATTTTATTGGTTTAGATTTGATTTTTTTAGAATTCTCATTTCGTCTTTCCTTAAAACCTGTTTAGAATTCAACAACATTCAATTATATCAACCAAAATATCCACTAGTTAAATTCGTTTACGTGGTTTTATTATAAAGTGTCACTATTGTGGCGGTAAATGGGAAATTTCTACCTCATAATGTATAATGATTCAGGAAACCTTTATTTATATAAGCTTGATGAAAGTCTTTTCACTTTTAATAGGACATACAATAAATACGTCATTCATTATATCTAACACAAAATTTAGTTTGAAATTACTTCACAATTTAATAAAAATAATAGAGAGAAATGATATATATAAAAAATATTTATTTTTCAATAAGCATACTTTTATTTATATAATCTCGGAAATGAAATTTAATTATGAATTAGTTGGACTAGTAATACACCTATAACTATGTATACAACACCTATATGGCATTCGCAAAGTGCGTTCGTTATAAAATCTAAAGATTTATCGGTGGACCCGTTGGGTGTTTTGAAAGGGGATGAAGGAAGGATCACACAAAGTTCCGTGAACAGCATCTAAAGTGTCAGCAAACATTATACGATAGTTGTAGTCCTCGGGGTCCAAGGGTCCATCCTGATACATTGGCAGCCGATTGGATATCACAAACATTGTCTGTCGCTCCTCTTGTGATATCCTTATATCATTAGGAAATATTAATGTCTCAGTGTTTTTCGCAACAATCCCTAAATAGCTTTTGACATACGGCTTCCTTGTATCCCAACATCCGATGCTATCTCTCGTTACTAGGCCATAGAACATGATACCATTTCTGTCAATAGCTGACGCTGATGAGTGGCCGAATGGTCCCCGACTTTCTTCGAGTAAACGAAATTCATTGGCGCTACTGTTAACTCGTGAAGGATCTCTTAGTACAGAAGTTTGAACATAAAATTCCCTATAACTGGACATCGGATGAAAAAATAGTTTTCGATCTCCGTAGGGATGGATAGGAGATAATGCAAGACCTAATATACCATCTGTCCATTGAAAATTTAGTCCGTGAAGAGTAAAATTCGAAGCAAGTGGATCTGGGAAGAAGAGGTGGTGATTAAACCGCCAGAACATTTGGTCACTCTCCCTAAACACGATAAGACCGAAACGCCAAGTATCTGCTATGTACACGTATAAGTCAGAACAATCGTGTAATCTCGTATCCACAATTATGTTAGAAAATAGGGAATCTTCAAGGACGTATTTTTTGGGAATAACATATCTGGCGATTGGTATATCTTTTTCTAGATTAAACACAACCAAACTTGGAGGGCATATTTGTTTGGGTGAGTCCTGAGAATCTATTTGACCAGCATCCAAGACCCACAGTCTTCCACAGGAATCGACATTCATTCTAAACACCGACGTTAATCCTGTACAGTTCTTGCCTTTATCTAAAAAAATATAAATTACCGATCACTTTCATTAATTTCGTACAAAAAAATATAGGTACTCAGAAATGCTAAAAAAAATTCACCGCCTGGAAATACTATGAGAGCAAAATTATATTTAAACATTTTGCTTTTAGAAAAAATTCTTGTAGGTAATATCAATATAGTATTGTATAATAGAAACGAGCTTATATAAATAAGGAAGACAAGAATACAAGTTGCAACAAAATCAATTAATCATTAGCTGCTTGGCCGATATTAATATACTGTTAAATTTTACTACCACATAATCAATTATATTTACGAAAAGAGTCTTTCAATTAAAATATACTATTATATATATAGATATACATACCATAGGCTCTATGATAGCTCCAGTCAGGATATGGTTTAAGTAGCGGTGATGAGTTCCCTCCAGTTCGGGACACAGTAGTCAAGGTTGCCGGTATTCCTCGTCTCCAACTCGGCAACGACACGAAGATACGATTACCCCATACTTCTAAACCGAGAGGTAAGCAGTTTTCTGGAATGTAGTCGCTGCAAAGAATTTATATTAAATAATGTCTTTCGTTGGTATTTTATAATATGTCATCAGTGGTCATTCATATCGCCAGAAATGCTCTAAATAAGACAAAGGCACTTAATCTGAACGTTTTTATAATTAAAATCATATGCGAAGAAATATATAAATAGCCCCTTTTTAAAAATAATATTACAGGTCATTCAGACATAATCGATGAATAATTTTTTTTAAGAATTTATTTCATGTTTTTATTAAAGCTTGTTTTTTTTGCTATTATGGTTCTCAACCTTTATTTTTCATAGAATACTTTCAAAATTTATCCGACTCCAGTTCCTATCACTTCCCAAAACTCTACAAAAGTTATGAAGTCATTTAACTGTTCTTATCACTTAAATTTTGTGTTGCCGATCATACCACGACAAATCAGTTTACAAAATTAAAAATGAGAGCTGATTGGTTAATTAAATACTTGATTGATTGTGTTTTAAGTAATAGTAGATTTGTAGTACAAGCAATCCTCACCACTTACAATTTACACTACTCACAATTCTGAATGATCGAAATGAAATGAATAAAAATGTCAAATAACACTTGGTTCAGTTCTTCATTTTAAAACTAGATAAATTTTTCATAACTCCGTATTAATTGTGAAGTTTATTATTTTCCACCGTAGACAACTGTCGAGGTTTTTTTAACACTTGGAGGTCTGAATCTCTTTGGGAGCAATGTAATGCATAAAAAGATATTTCACAAGAGTGGGTATAAATTAACAAAAAAGAGCCCTAAAAAAGTAGGTATTACGGAAGTTGTTATTGTGATGGTTTCGATTTTCTAAGTACAGTTTTTGTTATTATTGTTATAATTTAATGTTCTCAATTATTGACGTGATTCTATTTTTAGGAATGCTTGTAAAGTGCTTAAGCATTGTGTGCCAGTTAAATAAAAAATCAAGTAACTTAAAAATTATCTAAACGCTTATGTATTTTCTGTGTAAATAACATAGTAGAAAATCAAAGAATATATGTATAACTATAATTAAGTAATTTTATTTTCTTTACGGACATCTAATATTTATGTTTAATTTACCCTAATTCATGACTGGTCGCCAGCCTTGCTAAATTTTTATCTCAATGCGTTCCAGATGACTCTCCCAGATCAGAGTAATTTAGTAAGATGGGGTAAAGGTACCGAAAAAACTTGCTATATCTGCGGAAAGGCAGTTGGAACTGCCAAGCATTTGCTGGTGGGATGTAAGGTTCTCCTGGACAGCGGTCAATACTCGCGTCGTCACGATAGGGTCTTAGAGATCATACGTGAAGCGGTTAGTCTTTCGGTAGCCAGAGCGCAAAGGGAAATAACCACAAACGAGCGATCAATAGGTTTTGTGAGAGAGGGCACCAGGGCTATAAAATCAAACGTCAAGCCTTACTCTATCCTTAAAGCGGCTTCGGATTGGACTATCATGATGGATACGTATGAGAAACAATACAAAATCCCCGAGGATATTTGTGCGTCGGCCTCCAGACCAGACATATACTATATTCGCGTATTTTAAAGCGCGTTGTGATGATAGAGCTTACGCCTTGTCTTGGGAAACCAACATCCCCAAAGACCATGCCATCAAGGTCAATAAGTATTACGAGCTCACTAACGAACTAACTCGAAATAGGTTCGTCGTTGATTTGTACGCGGTAGAGGTGGGAGCGAGAGGTATAACAGCTAAATCTCTCTATAACCTACTAAAAGACTTGGGCCTGTCCAGAACTAACATTAATTCATTCTTAGAACGTACGTCGAAGGCAGCCCTAGTAGGTTCTTTTCAAATTTGGTTAGGTAGGGAGAGGAACTTGGACAGTGGAGGTGAGCGTATAACGCGCGTTAGTTAAGGGGCCCCTTAAACCTACACCTGGGTCGCAAGTCCCAGGCACTGTTGAAGCTCCTCTCCCTGCAACGCGATGGACCCGGCACCCGCACGGTGAATCCATCGAATGCTAAGAGGTTTCGTCTCATAATTAAAATGCCTTCATATATTTGTATTATTTTGATACACTATTTGTAATACGATTAATTGAAATTCAAGTCATCACTGTCACAGGAAACTTTTTTAACTATATGAGCGATAATTTTAATTATTGATACTTTTTCTTACTATATTTAGCAACTTCATTGGAATTACAATTATTTTTATTTGTACCACTTTAAACATTTTTTGTACAACACTATGTAATATTGGAGTATATATGCAGTTATCTATTCCCTCCCTCAGAAAGAAGCTAGTACCTAATGCTTAGAAAATTTTGGGAGTAAAAGAAATAAAAATTCCCAGTAGAATGTCGAAAACTTTAAGGAAAGGTGTAAAAAATTTACTTAATGTATTACCCATTAGAGATAGCTCGCTGTCGGTGTCTCTCAGATGGAAAATCAAAATCCACATATTTCCATTTGTAAAGTGTGCTAAAGGGTGGAGTTTCGTTGTCAACGGGGAGAGATGCCATGGTCCGGAGACCGAGCATGGTCAGCCATAGTGATACGCCGGCTACTCGAGTTCGATCTGAAATATTAGACAATAATAACAGACACAATAAAAAAAAAATAGAAACTCCTTGGTATTTTTTTTAAATTTTGTTCTGAATTTGAATACAAAACATTGTTTTATTATTGTTTTTAAGTAAACAGCAAATAAAATTCGTGTTATACGAGCTGATTATAAATTTATTAGCAACAAAAAAAATAAGGTGTCAATAATTTTACACAATTTTGCTAACATAATCGTGTCGATACAACTGTTGTAGCTTAATATAAACAAATAGTAAAACTTCTATAGATTAAACTTAATTGAAAAGTTAAAGTTTCGATGTTTATAAAGGTAGAGCAAAAGTAATTAAAAAGATTTAATAAATTTATTCTATCGTAGATTGGCCATGTCACCGAAATGCTCAGTAAACGCACTTACCATACATTTTATTAAAATTATTTTATAATAAAACAAGTTAGCACCTTACAAACGATTAATGAAATGACTGCCACCAAAGAAGTTTATGTTTTTATACTGAAACCAGAGCACGAGGATATTTAAAACACAAAAACGTTTTAATATAAATATTTAGATAAGTATGAATGACATTGCATATTGAATCATACAAAAAATGAGTTTCATATTAAATGTTTCCGATAAAATGCTATTAAAAAATGTGTTTAACATTATTGAATAGCAAAACTTATTTAGAAGCCATATGACGTATTAGAAACTGGTGACATTTTTTATTTTATTGAAAAGACTGCTATGTTATAAATTTATTGTGTTTGGTTTTATTTTAAGTATCGTTCATAGGATCTGAAAATTATAAAAAAGCTTTCAATAATTTAAAGACAAATCCAAATTAAGTGCAGGAAGAATACAAAATAACAATCATGCACATACGAGTACATGTACATATGTACATACATACGTTTAATCTATTATTAGTCAACTGACGTATTCCTTAAAAGGAAAATAAAATACCTATATTAAATAAAAACAGTTATCAAAAATAAGACTGTTTTGCATAATTTACCTATTATCGTTCTATACATACTTTTTAACCGACTTCAAAAAAGAGGATGTTCTCAATGCGTTTCTATTTTTTTATCGCTTTATCAATCTATTTTCTTAGGCATAGGAAGGTAGAATATATGATGTATGTATGATTGATAATATAGGTGGGCTTATGGTACAGTTGACGGGGTTATTGATTTTTTATTTACATAACTCTGAGTTTTAACATTACTCATAGAATCGCAAATACGAGTACATCATTCTTGATAAAAAGCACGTTTAGTACAGCTTAACTGTATTCTGATTGTAAGTTATATTGGTGTTTATATTTTAAGTTTATTGTTTTACTTTACTGCAGATTGGGCTTAAAATAGTTTAAGTGGTAGGTTCTAAGCTGCTGAAATAAGTGTGTATCCTTAGTAAGTTGTTGTTTTCTTATAAGTAGAAGTAACGTTTAGAATAGTAGTAACAGAAAAGTACTTCTTATTTTCAATATTTGTGATACTTATTCAAGGTAATAGGATTCTTCTCAACAGAATTACTATAAATTAAACGTAAAGCCGGTATACCATTAAAACATACTTAACCATTAATATAACGTTAAACATTATTATATTATTTAACTTATACAGGGTGACTGGTGAATTACTATCGATACTTGAGGACGTGATATTTGACGATCATATACCTATAACAAAATAAAAATTAATATAACATAAATATTAATAAACTTCTAAGTAAAGTTAACCAAAAGTTATGTAATTAATTACGCATCGTGTGAACACCCTACAGATTAGGTATACACACACACAGACACTCGCGCGCGGCGGCGTGGTGTTGTATCAGTACGCCGCCGCACGCGTCCACACTTGGAACACTTGGAACGTGTCCACACTTTATTTATTTATACGGAAATTTTGTCAAAAATTAAGTACCTACTTTTTCCATAATTCGAATGAGAATCGTGTACCGAGTATTCTCCTAAAATATTGATAGTAATTCACCAGTCACCCTGTATAAAAATCAAACTTAATAGCTCTTATATTTAGTTTTTTTATTAATATGTTTGTATTTATGACTGGTACTTCAATAATGACTTAGAAATTGCAAAAGTTGAAGAATAATTCACGTTTTTTGATAAATTTACAATGATCGAAGCATCTATAGAAGTTAAAATAACAGTATATGAATCTCTATGTAATCCCGAAGTATAATTTTATTTATTTGATTAATTACTAAATATCATTACGACTTCTCCAGATAAATGATGATGATGATGGAGAGTTCAGTTTAATGATTATAATTACACCTTTAGATTTTTATGTAAAAACTAAAAATACATAAAAATAATGTTAATATATATATTTTACTTTACAAGAGAAAAAAATGGTTTTATAAATTGCGCAATCTTATATTCTTGTGTCTCTTGATATCTATTGCCACTATACGACAAAAACAATTCTAAAGAGATTTTTTTGCAAATAAGTAATACATTAGAAGTAGAATGTAAAGTTATTTTTATCGCAGCCAATAAATGAACGTAGTTGGGCTGTAAAAAATGTATCGCATTTTATAGTTTAATTGTAACTGGTAACAACTTAATCGATTGAGGGAAACATGCCCCACTTTTTTTATGTAACGAGGTAGTATAATCTAGATTTATAAATAAACTAATTGTTTACTGTGGGTTTGTTCATTTCTTTGTTTGATATATTTTTTTAAATGTCTTATCATTGTTTCGATGATAATATTATTGTACATAAAGATCATTCATTTTTTATGAATGTCAAATGTAGTGTAGATTAGGCCAAAATTAAATAATATACTATTGCTACTTAATAAAAGAAAGAAACACTAATATAAATTAAAATTCTGTAAATATACTCGTATGTATATATCAATATCAATATTACACGCTCAATTTTTTGCTCTAATATTAATTGTAGTGTACTAGAATAAAATTGCTAATAACACACAACAAAAAACTATAATTAAAAGTTGATTTATAACAAAAAATATTATGTATGGCACTTACCTATATATCAATAATCAATTAAATCTTGTCAAAGTACAAGTTTGTTAGTAAATGCTACTAGAGTTTTAGTTTAATTTCAGATTTATTTAATAATTATTTATTTAATAAGTGAGTCAATAATTTTAATAATATTACTAAATTATATTTATATTTATTAATTATTTTAAATTGCAACTGTACATTTGTAATTGTATTCTTTATGTATTGTTCGTGTTCTAGAGCAATTTAACTGTGATAAAAATCACAACTCGTTCTTGCCAATTTTAATCGATTTGATACATCTAGAATATTTAGGGAATTTTTAAAATGATTGTTTCATTATTTCGGAACGAATATCAAACGTACAAAAATATATTGTTTCTAAATATTTTTAATAAATAGCATTATTCAATATTATCTCGGTAATTTACCATTTATATTAAATTGTTTTATCTATCATCTAATTGTCATAATTTCTTATAAGCGTATAAATCTGTTTCAGTTAGTACATAATTACGTGTATTAATGGATGTTTAACTCACAATAGTCTTACATAGTCTGTGATATAATTGAAAGTCAGTCTTGCTAAGAGACGTGTTCGTATATTATAGTGTTTGAAATAGTTTGAAGATATCGTATGATATTATTCAATCAGCTTTTTAGTTTTGTTCTACTTCATTACCTGCTCTTCTATTATGGAAAAATTGTGCGTCAAATAATAGTGCAATATTTTCTTTATAACATACTTTTGAAGATTTATAACTTACTTTCAATTTATGTTATTTAATTATACCTTATAATTATCTTCAATAAAAGGTATCCTAGGTATAATTGCTTTTCAATAAATGGAACAAAACATTTGTACTTACTTCCTATTACGTAATGACTATAAAATAAAGAGACGATTAAAACAGTATACAACTGTAACTTTATTAGTTTAATGTTCAATTGCTTTTGTTATTATATCTGACTTTTCTTACTATTTATAAGTGTTCAGTGTCCGAGTTTTTACTAAGAGAGACTTTGAATTTATCTTTACTTTGAGATATGATATAATATACTAGGTATCAACCCGTGATTCCGTTTGCATAAAAAATATAAGCGCCTCATGTACTCTACCGCCCACTTCCTCGTGATAACGCTTAATTTCAAGATCAGGATTTGAGATTGGGACCAAAAATTTTCCCAGTTAAATCTTATTAAATTAGCTACCTTAAAATAAAAGTCCCGTCAAAATCAGTCCAGCCGCTTCAGAGGTTAGCCAAACAGACAGACAGACAAAAATTGTAAAAAAAGTTATATTGGTGTATGTACCGTATACATTTATGTGCAAGTAGTAAAAAACTGTTATTTCAATGTCACAAACAGACACTACATTTTTATTTATTTGTATAGATGTATAGATAATGTATCAACACATAAGTATGAGCGTAAAATCTTTTATAATACGTTTAATGTTTGCAGTATAAAAACATACTTTAATTTTCCATTATATTTAAAATTAAATGGAATCTTGAAAAAAAATAGATAAAAAAGATGAATAAGAACTAGTGAATTGTTTACATGAGTTTAACATTATTTTTTTATCAATAATATATTAAAAAAAATTCAGCCATAATGTTCAATAAAGATAAATATTTTTAAGAAAAAAGTACATAAGACTTTTTAATATTGTTTTTGCTGAAGCGTCATTATTTTCAAAGGAGTAAATAGTATCTTATAAGCGAACTTTATTTTACAGGTAATGTTTAAAAGTATTATGTCATTATGTTAACGGATCATTGCAGTGAAGGGAATGCGTGGTTATTAAAAGAAATATTAATTTATCAAGCTCCAAATATATCTCAAAGCTTTTTTATTTATTATAAATAAAAATATGGTAAAAAAAGTAATTAAAATGTAGATATTTAGTGCTAAGTCATCTCGTCAAATATCTTGGTATTGAGTGTGTACTCGACCGTGGCGAACGCTTTTGCCTACGGCGCAATTTATTCATAAATTTACCATAATATTATACAACTCTGTTTTACTATTTAATACCTTTTCTAACTTTAAGATAAATATTACATATCAAAGTAATGTTTTCTATATATCCAAGAAAACAATTCATTGTAAAAAATTGCTTTTTATTAATTTATCTTGTTAAAATTTATCAATAAGTAAAATATGAAAATGTTTAACCCATAGTATAAGGCTTAATAGTTGACACACATTAGCAGTTCACGATATAGATATGAAATTAATCATAATTATTAATAGCATTATTAAATTTTCATTGTTCGTTTAATACAATAGGTATCAATAAAAACATTTAACTTTATGTCTTTAATATTCAGAACATGATTAAAATTATATAATCTTAATCATTCGATGTATTATTGACAGTTAACGTAAGCTTATCTTGTTTTATATAAGACTTGTATTTAAAAGAAATGTATGAGTAATATAGATAACTCTATGGTCATGTCAGTGAGTTTGATAAATTCCGTGTATGGTCGATTATTTTAATTGCAACTTTCACTATAACTCGTTGCATCGGTTACGTTAGACCATGAACATGAACGTTTACATCATAAATTCCTATCACATGCATGCATATTTTTTTTGTCATGCAATAATGTATTCTTAAAGCATCGTTCGCTTTGCATGCATAAAATACATAGATGAATTTTTTTGTGAGTTCTACAAATTAAATTCAAAGCTGCACAGAATTTATTGTGAAGACAAAAATGCTTGGAGTTATTTTAAAGTTTATTTTCTATTTTGTAACTTTAATGGCACTTTATTTATAAATAATTGGTTGGTTATAAACAATAATGTGAAATTATAATTCTAGATACGCTGCTTGTGGGTTGTAACTGATTGGTCAAAAAAATATTTACGAAGATGAAGGATGTACTAGAAATGATAACAATTTTATGAAACTTTTACCAATATTTAAAACAAAAAAAGATAAAGTATAACAGAGTATATATACTTTTAAACAGTTTTTGAAATTATTTAAACAACATTTTTAAATGGTATTAGAGATGCAACAAAAAAAAAGCTTTCTTTGATATTGAATCGATAAATTGAAACGGGTCTTCAATTAAAAAATGTCTTGATATATATTAAAAAAAAAGTAACAATAAATAACTATATTAAAATTTGAATTTGCACTAAAACTCACCATTAATTGTCTGTTTCTTCGAAACAAATCCACTATTCTGTCTGCCACCGTTTACTTGATGCGGCGTTTTGTGATTATTTTTAACAAAACTGTAATACGGATTGTAATTATAATTTTGATTATAATTATAATCTTGTCTCACATGATTAAAATTCCTTGTAACATCAGCGAAATGTATATCAGGAGTGGACCACTGTAGAAACCACTGATTAGAAACCGCCATCTCACTAAAATTGCCATTAATTAATTTAATAAAACATTTTAATGTTAAAATTAACTTCTAATGCAGACGTAACTACTATCGCGACTCTGAATTCTATCTGTTGCCGCACCAACGGACCGTCCTTTCATAAACTCAACTGTTCTTTTAATAGTTCCAAATAAGTATAACTTCTCGTTACACGCACGATTATATATGTATCTTCTTTTTAAATTTGAATTTTTCGCAATAAGTTGAGTTGCAATATAAGTAACCTTATTGTTATTGAAATATTATTTAATATTTGTAAAAGCATTTTATAAATGCATAAAGCCTAACTCATGTGTTTATATATTTCTAATAATTTGTTTATATGTATTTTAATTCAAAAGAATTTTAATTATGCTATATAAAAAATAAATATCGATCTAAAACATTTTAAACTAGTTGACATTGTATTGATTAATGTTGACCTTTACGATTTAGACACTTGTAATCATAGTGATTTATATTAAGAAAATATGTTTCATACATATAAGAACATTGACATTTGCAAAATATTCCAAGATTCTAGTTCGAATAAAGCTATAGCATAAAAATAATATAGAAACTTCATATAACTGACATATAAATATGTATTTATATGCTCATGATAATCTTTAATGCGCTTATGCAATATTTTCTACAACAATTCGGCTTTATTTGGGCTAATGCAAGTCGTGAATAGCGTAAGATATGTTTCGCGTTAGAACGTTACACTAATATTTAAAGCACGGCCATTTCGTAACACCACACTATAATTTAGATCCTCACAATAGATTATATTATAGGCTAAAGTCGGCTAGGAATTATAAATTGCAACTTTAATATAGATCACCGAATAGCTATTATTAAAAATTTTTATGAAACCGATAATCAATATGACAAGAAGGTCAATTGCATTTATAAAAATTTGCACTTACATCATTAATATTTTTAATCCTCAATAATAAATAACCGATATCACATTTAGGTCGCTTATTTAAAACGTATAAAAAGTTATGGCTTTTCTCTTAATTGTTACGCAAGTATTTTTAAGACTTCACCCAATCATTGTTGACCGTGTGGACTATGCGGATTTTATGATTTTATATATGTATTTCTCACTTTAAAAGGCTAGTTTAGTACAAAATGTGTGGAAAGTGTATCGTTTTCATCTCACTGATTGTTTCTGCTATAGCTATATACCCATACTTTGATACGCAAGATTTTATTTACAATGTTCCCAAAGTATTTAGAATATCAATCACATTGGATAGGCTCCTGGAATACTATGAGAAGACACCATCCAAGGATCCAGAGTGGTATATCGCATTGGGGATAGCTCGAGGTAAAAATCTTAATGCATTTGAATTTATTCTGGTAAAGATTTTAAAAGAAATCTAATCTTGTCTTCTATTCTATTCTTGACTTTGTGGTTATATAGTCATTATAAATGAGTATTTATAATTCCTTTTAATATTTTGCAAGCGATTATAAGAGTGTCTTAGAGTAAGAGAAAATAAAAACAAACACATTTCCCGTATTTAAATGAGAATCAAATAAGTAAGACAATATAATAATATAATTTGCGACAAAAACTGTAAGACTACGATATAACATAATGACTAGAACGAAGGCTGCGAACAAAAGTGTAGGTCTAAGCTTATTTTGTGTAAAATAAAACTTAAATATCGATCTGCTTGTCATTGAATTCAGGATTCTTGATTTTGAAAAGACTGTGTTGGAACGTTTGACTTTACTTTCTCTTTACTAGGTGATCAGGACACGATGTGTACAAGGCTATAGTTACAAGTACCACTGAAACATGATTCATTAAACCAGCAGTCGTTAAAACTTATTCATTAATAACCATCTTCTGAATCAATTATCCAAAGGTTATTAATATCTTAACAAATAGCAGAAAACAATCTGTTTACAAACTTCATTAGATTGTATACCCTTTGTTTCTTTGTCATATCAATTAAGTACATATAAATAATTTGTATGTTTTTATTTTTGATATAAAACCTTTGTAATTTCGATCTTTATTGAGCTTTATGGTAAGGTGCTGTGAAAGTAAAGTAACGGAACGACTTCCCAACGAACTCAACCATGATTCACTCAAATCATTCTTTTTATTTAATATGCCGTTCCTTATATATTTTATTAATTACATTGTCTAAGGTAACACGTCTTTATGATCGTTGTACATGGATACTCTCCATTCATCATTATTCAGATGCGTATATTGATAGTGTCAAAAACGTTACAATAATATTATTAAGCCATAATAAAATAAATATCAATGTTTTGTGTAAATTGACGTTAAGGATTGTAAGTCTTTTGTTTAAGTTAATTCAACGGTACATTATATCTTAAGTCTACTGTATTGAATTGGAACACTAAACGGCTCATTTCGTTTATATAACCAAATATTAGTTAATGTAATTGTCGGCAATAAAGAAGTATAATAATAAAGGTAAGTAATTAATGTTAGAAAACACATACTTCCTGAATGATACATTCACAAAAACTAATTATATAAACAAATAATTTTTTTACATTACGTCTGTCAAAGAACAATAATTTTATTGTAGCTCCAGACAATAACATGTGCTAACAAATATTTTACTTCAAGAAGATTCTAATTTAAATTAATTTTAATTCTATTAAAAATTCTCATCGTTATATTTAGTATTTGTTAACAATATATAAGACCTTGGTAAACCACGTTTATGACGTCATTTACCTGTATCACCCTTCACATCGCTGGCAGGGTGTGGGAACATTGTTTGTTAATGACTAAACTTGAAATAGATTATACACTTACTTATTATTGTTAATAAAAATCGTGGAGGATTACATTTGCTTGAAAGATTGTTCATTTTACATCATATGCCGTTATAAAAAATAAATAACATTATTTCAATAACGTTTATTTATAACTTTTATTAGAACAAAAACCCTGCCAAGTTCAAGATTAATTAGATTTGACTCCTTTTCGTTTAAGACTACGATTTTTTATGTCATGTCTACCAATCACTTCTAATTTGTTTCTAACATAAATATACTATCAGGTCAACTGGAATACACAGTTAATGAGCTGGATAAATCGGTGCCATTGAAGCTTAAGGAGAATTTACAAAATATTACCAGGAGAATGGATCGTATTCGTAACAGTACGGATTACACAACATTAGTTTACCGCAGCAAGGACTACGAATATGGTAGGTTTATTTTGTAGTTTATAGTATCGGGCTTACAATTATATTTTTTATCAAATTTTATGTTAGATGTATAAGAAAATGTATCTTTATTAACTGTTTAGTAAAAACAGTTGATATGGAAATAATATTGTTAAGTTTGTTATAATATCTTATGCATTGAGTGAAATGTAAACAGGAGGAATTCGCCTTTATTTTTCTGCGAATCGTTAGCAACTATTTAAATTAATATAAATGTATATTAAGTATAACTAAGTTAGCATAGTTTATAACAATAAGTAAGAGTTTATTTATATCACATTTAACTTTCTAAGATGTCTGTTTTAATGTAGTCATATCCTTCAATTTGTTACATAAGTATCACCAATGGAGACAAAATGATTAACATTTGTATTAACTGTTTCGTAACCAAAGACCTCGCTAGGTCCACTGTCTTCCTGTCTGTCCATTATAAATGTCGTATAGGAAGTTAAATTTTAAGGAATGGTCTTAAATGATGTAACTTGTCTTTTAGTAGAAAGTTAAAGTCTTTAGTAAAAAGTCCTAACTAATGCTAATATTTCAATGTCTCGTTATATGCAGTGAGTTTTAGTAGGTATTTGATATATTTGTCATAAAGCTTGATATGAAAAATAAAATGTGATGATAAGTATGATGTTTTGGATTTAAATATTAATATGTAATTAATTGATATGTAACACCAATACCACAATAGTTTTTATTGGAACAGAGTTTCTCTAATTACTTTTGTCATTGAATTTTGCGGTAAACTTTCACATCCATTAATGATTGCAATGATTGTGTGGCAAATGTAAATAATATTGATTTAATGTTAATACTGTAATAATAGAAGATAACTAATTCTTATGATACTTATAATAGTTGCCAAAGCCACCTTCGAAAATCTGGAAGTTCTCTCGTCTATACTCGAGCCTTTGACGATAGGCACAATGGGCACACAAAAACCATATAGATTCACATTTGAGCAATACGTTCAAGAGGCTAAAACAAAAATGCCCACAAGAAAAGCGGCAGGTCAGTATTTTTTGTGAAACTAATATAAATTATTGATTAATTTTTTTTGCTTTCTTTTAATAAAAACCAATGTATTGATGGCAATACTTATATAGTGGGTACGGGAATAAATTGAAATAAAAAATGTTCTATACATTTTTATACTCACTCACAATACAAAGACGAAATTTTTTTTTGTTTGTTTGTTGGTTTGTAACGGATGAGCTCCAAAATTACTGGACCGATTTTAATCATTTTTTTACTAATAGAAAGCTACATTATTATGAAGTACAATGGTATAGTTTTGCTAACGAAGGAATTTGTATCTGTTAGAAAATCGATAAGTTGGAAACCAAGTTATACTAAAAAAGATATTTTCTAAGAATTTATTTTACTTAAGGGCATGATTTGTAAGTTTTAAATTATAAATCGTGTTAAACAAAAAACAGACCATTTTCATAGGTTAATCAAGATACAAAAGCAAGTTCGTTATTATTTTCCCTGAAAAAAAAATCTGTGTCTGCTGTAACCAAATTTAACTCTGATTGTGAAAGTTGTCTTAATTATAATATTTGTTTATATTTGCTAAATTTACAATATTGTAAACAAATGATGTAAAATCATGACTTACGCAGCTGAATAAGAGTGATCATTACACATTTACGTAGCTTCATCGGAGCAAATTTATCAATTATAATGTGATATATGTTAATTATATTTCAGACGCGTGCATGATGCAGCTTCTTATATCGGCAATGGAAAGCCAAACTACTCAAAGCGATGGCGCCTGTGAGCTCGCACCGGAATGTCAGGCGCAAATCATTCAGGGGTCCGGGCTTGCTTTCCAACAAACTAGTCGTGTTCGGGCCATAATGTTAGCTCGATTTTTCGATTGTATGGACGGAGTTGACCTTTCAGCACTAATTTATAAGTTGTGTATACAAATTTATAAAGAAACTAAATCTTTAGAAGCTTGGGACCACCCTGCTGGCACCAGGACGTTATTTATGCAACAAAGTAAGATCTATCGAATATTTATTAATTACGAAATGTCCTCCGTGAGGAAGGGTATTATAAGGGTAGTATAATTATGTACTGCTGAATTAAACCAGTGGAGTTAAAATATTTTATTTTCTCTTAAATTAACCACATACATTTGTTGATTTAGAATGACTAATGATATATATTAACTTTTAAGAACGTTATCATACATATGTTGAAGAAAATATACAGATGGAAATATGTTTCAGTATTTATTTGTGCGTCGCAAGGCTACGGGGAGTTCATAAAGCCTAGGTGGATGAATAAAGTCATATCATGGCAGGAACCCAAAGGCTGTTATGCTGATGATCGACAGCCGTTCCTTAAACTAACCGGATTCGTCGGACCTACAGCGTCTCCGCCACCGAAAGACAGAGAAGTAAAAAAAAGAAAGCTTTCTTATATATATTGAAAATACTTTTAAATATTATGATATATATCTTTAATTAAAAAAGTCATCGACACGAACAGAATTCGAACTCGAAAGGTTATGATTATGTCAATGAATTATTAAATTGTTCATTCTATATTTTAAAATTTTAATATAAATAATATCTCGACTTTGCTTTTATGGTAAAAACATAATTGCACACATCTCTAAATTTGTTGATTTCGTCTATAATATGATTAAAAAGTGGTGTTGTAATACATATCGAAATTTATATTTTATTTTAAAAAATACATACTATACAAAATTAATATATTATAGTGGTGCTTTGGAACGCAGATTATATTCAGCATTTCTTAAACATATTGCAGGAAGAATATCGTGTGAAGAAAGCAGCATCTTCAGACGGCGGTACTTGTAATTCCTTGACATCGGCTATGGCGCTAGGAACTCTAGTTGTATATGTGAGAGCATTGCTTGAAACCGACCAGGCATTCCAATATGATGTCCTCGTGTAGTGTTGTGTATTAGAATAAAAAAAAATATAATCCTCTCTTTTTATTTGCATTTTATAACGTCTCCTACTTCACAAGTGCTGGAATGTCTCCAGCATGAATGACGAAATTTATTCTGTCTGGAGTAAGAGTCCTAGTAAGTGTTCTGTACAAGTTTGTTGTAATTACCCACAATTCTTGATGACCTTTAGGATTGTTTACAACTTTCATACCAAATGAAATGGGTAATAACTCTCCGTTGACTGCAATCCTGTTGAAATTATGGGGAGAGAAAGTTGTAGATGTGTTCCAGGACATTATGCTTAGCGGTTCTATGAGACCGAAATATAAAACGCCATTGTTATCCATCGCTTGGGCCGCAGATTGACTTGGACGTTCTTCTCGAAAGACCTAAACAAAATTCCTATTGTTAAATGATCACTATAAAAAGTATTTGTGCCACTGAATTTCAATGTGAATATTATTATTGTTTATGCTAAAATTCATACATGTTTGTTAACTTAAATTCTGGTGAAATATTTAATAAGGTTTTATTTTCTGTTTAGTCTGTTAAAACGTCATTTTCTCACTACTCACGTTTATAGAAGTAGGATTGGCGTTTGGGTTTTCGATAAATGAATCATTTCGTAGTAAGCTTGTTCTCACTACATTTTCGGTTGTGGAAGCAAATGCATGGAAATATAACAAACGATCACATCCCTCAATATATGGAGACAATGCCATGCCCAAAATACCGTCCATGTTCTCGACGATTTGACCTACAAGCCGAACCATTATTAAGATATAATGTATTAAAAAAAACACTCATTGTGTTTTTACAACATAAACCGAGGTGTATTCATGAATATATAAAAGTGCAATACGCAAAAATGTTGTTTAATGTCAATTAAATATGTATTTTTGAATGTGCATGGATCTACAGGGTTCATAAACCTTTTTTGATTGTGCTACTCGTGTTTTTTGGATAGGAGATGTCCTAATTGTGTGTCTTAATGAAAAAAAAAATAGGATCTCATTATGGAATTTTAATCTTTAATTTATACATTTTTTTATTTATAAATTATTTTTATCTAAAAATTACTTTGAGATGATCTGTTCAGTCTAATAAATTCTATTCAAAGTTTTCCGCGTATTATATCAAAATTAATAACAATTAAAAAATAACATTACCGTCAATAATAAAGAGACCGCGTGATGGATATGGGTAGAAATATCTATGAGATACTCTCCAAGAACGATTTCTTGCAACGTCAACTACTAATAGCCCAAAGCCAAACACGTCAGCCACATATACGAAGGTATCAGAACAGTCATTTGCACCAGAACCTCTTACATCCACTACCTGAGAGAAAAGTGTAAAAAAATATATATATCTATCTCATCTAATTTCTTTTAAATCTGTACTCTTTTTAGAGCTAGTTCCTCGTGTAATACAATGAAATTCAGTACATAGCTGATTTTATTTTTTGAAATAGACCTGACAAGCGTCGAATTCCCATTTTAAACAAACATACTGATAAATTTAACAAAATACTGAATTTTATTTATTACAGGGTGTTTAAGAAGTTTGAAATCAATAGGTACTTACCGGAGTTACAAATTGCGAACTTGCCATATAGTTTCGAGAAGGCACTCGATGGCGAAAAATTAATTGATCTGTTTTTAAGTCGAATGCTAGAAGTTGCGGCGGGCATTTTTGTTGTCTACCAATTAGGCCAGCATCCATAACCCACAGTCGATGGCAATTGTCAATCTTATGAAATATAATCACAAATCTTATATCATACATATATGGTATACTGAGATAGCTCCCGTATACAGACTAAACATTCATTGAGGTTTATTTACTACATATTTCGTATAATATACTCATGGGTTATATATTTTCTGAAATCCTTGTGAATAAGAGTAGGAACTTCTCATAGGTTTAATGAAATTGTACTCAATTTCTTGCTATAAAATAATAAACAATAGATTTAGAATGTCGTCTTCTGAGAGAAGGTGACCTATTCAATCCACAAAAACAATTAGAATTTAAGAAAGTTGTTTTTTAGAAAAGAGCAAAAGTCTTTTACCTTAATTTAAATAAATTAAAATAAGTTATGCAGATACAATTGATAAATCCAATAAAGTAAAATAAAATAAATCACGCTTTGGAGACCAAATGTTTTATAATGATTAAACGTTTTGGTGGAAAAAAGTGCATATATTTTTGTGATTTGCATGTTCTCTCCAAGAAATCAAAATGCGGAAATCTTTTATTAACTGAACCTATATATTTCAATTTGTAAACCAATTATTATTGTAAACTATATATTAACAAACACATGTAGCTTACTTTTAATAAAACTTCTATTAGTACTCACATACAATATAAAAATATTACTGGAAGCAAAATCGAAAACATTTGCTGTTAATATGTTTTTTTTGTAAAGTAATTTTGAAATGTAATTGGTATTTAAGAAGTAGTTTATAGAACAAGATAAAACTTAAAAATAAGAATGAGGCCAAATTAAATAAGTCATAACGTCAGAAAGAAATTGCTATTTTAATTATTTCGTAAACGACGAGACTTTTTTGGACATGGGTGAAACTATTGCTAGTCTTTATACATGTAAATTTCAAATTTGAAAATTTAGCCACCTTCTTTTTTAAACATATTTCAACCATATTTTTGCCAATAATTCATAATTATCGGTATTGACTTTAGAACAGCAAACTCTTTTCTATTACACTTTTGAATAACTTAATCCAAAGCAATAATTACGTACTTAGTTATTTTTTTATTTAGCTTCTAGACTTTACAGCAGATACATTACAAAAAAAAAATTACTCACAGCAACCCTGAACACAGAGGTGAGTCCTTCACAATTTCTTCCTTGGTTGTCGTTCCAGGAGTAATCTGGGTAGCCTGATATGAGACCATTTTCATCGAGCGTACCCAAAGTTATTGGTCGGCCGACATCGATTCGGGGTACCGTGATGAACATTCGAGGTTTTTGTGACCCTTAAATAATTATACATTATATCATATTAATATTTAGTTATATAATACAAAACATTTAAATGAAACTAATATTATTCGGATAACTACATACTCTCTGACTACTCTCGACGTTTTGGTAAAAAGTATTATGTTTTTATAAAATACGCGTAGTAATTCGAATAATATTAGTTTCATTTAAATGAATACTCGCAAAAGTCTTAGATCTCAGTAATACAAAACATAGTATTTGTTAAAGTATAAAATTTAATGCAAACAAATCAAGCTCTTAGGATTATAGACGTTTGTGGTATTTAGCAAATATATTTAATAAGAATCTGAAATATAATAATAATTAATTTAAATACCGTATCCATAATAAACGTCAACGTCAACAGGGACTGATACACCAGGAACATAATAATTATTAGTTATAGCTCTGATGCGAGCCTCTTCATTAGGATATATGAATTCTAGTGCCCTCCACTGTCTTATAATATTTAAACTATTCTGACATATTACTACAGTCCATAAGCATGTTAAGCATAATGACGTTAAAAGGTAGAGCTTTCTTGTTATAATCGTCATCTTAATCTGCAACAACATAATATTAATGTTCACCATAAGAATAAGTTTTATTGCCAATTAAAACTATACTGAAAAATATGTGTAAATATTCATTTGCCTTATGCAATTTGACCTTTATTTCTGTTTAAGTATACATATATCACTTCAATCAATCAATTCTCCTTATAATAAGTATGGTTAAAAGTTATTTAAGTAAAATTGAACTGCACAAACTTGATCTTATAATTTACCGGCTTTCCGTTTCCAAGAGAATCTTTGAAAAGTCTGGGATAAAAACTGTCCTATGTTCTTTCTCAAGGTCAACTCTATCTCTGGCCCATATTTCATTAAAATCAGTTCAGTGGTTTAGACGTGAATGCGTTACAGACACACAGACAGACAGAGTTACTTTCGCATTTATAATATTAGTAGGGATATTGATTATTATTGATGGAAAAAAAAATAAAGGAATGATAAAATACCTTAATGATACGAAGATTTTGACATTTAACAAAACCGGGTAATAAAAGTTTAAAACTTTATTTTGATATAACGAATGTGTCTCAAGAAAAATGTTCACATACTGCCATTATATCAAGTCAATTTATTCTTTTATCAATGATATGTAGAACAATTTGCATAGAAATATAAGACATTTTACTATCTAAGTCTATGCAGTTGTAAAAAACCAAATAAAAGTATTCGTAGTTGTGTAAATAATATTTTACGTCAAGTTAAATAAGATTTAACTATTAAATGTAAAAGTTTTTAAAGTTTTAAGCCTTTTACTGTTTTGCTATATATGAAAAATATTTTTACTCCTTATTATTAAATACGTAGAATGAAAAAGTATGCGCCATATACTTTTTTCCAACCTTACTTCCACTCTGTGGCATGTTAATATCTTTTAATTATTAAGTTCGATACTAGTAATTGTTTTTCCGATCTAACAAATATGTCATTACATTGTATGCTATCTTAATAATTAAAAATAGATAGGTGCTATTTAAATACGTAGATTCTCAAAAACTTATCTCTATTTATAAGTGTCTTTTAATATTTTTGCTAAAACCAGGTCTCTTTTCTGCTAGTCGATTTTATGGTCTTTGTTTTATTCAAGAATATTTCTGAATATCAAAGTTAAAATATCTTAATGTGGTTAGATAAATTCTGTTTCTCTAGATAAGAAATAAATACTCATTTGGTTGGAATATTGATCTGGAAAATAAAAATTCCGACCCTTTAATCGACGTTTCAGATGTTTTAAACAAAAAAATTGTAAAAATACTACAATGTTTTCTGCATAAAAATGAATCCTTTTGCAGGTATTTTAAAAACGAGCATTGTATGACATTAAATCGTAGGTATACTTAAACTTAAAGCAGTTAAAAGAAAGATTGGAAATGATAAAGAAGATGACAATTTTATTTAATGCTGTAATGGTAGACCATAGAAATGAGGCTTTGTGTGAAGTTATTATTACTCTGGATGATAATAACATAAAGGATGTTGATGATGAAGTAAAGCTTTGATGAACGCCTTAAAAAGTTTGTTAAAGGTGATAAGAAAATACAATTGATTTATTGATTGCTCTTTCTTGTTAAAAAAACTTCCATTATTTACGTTTATACATATAAATTATTTGTAAGATATCTATAAAAAATAATAATTACTTTGTTTTAAAACTGTTTTAAAATAAATAAAGTGTATATGAATTTTGTAGTTAAAGAGAAATATCTAATATTTTTCATATATCTGGTATAGTTCGTATTAGTTTAATTTTTTATATTTTCGATCCAAACAAATTAAAATTATATGATATATTTTTGAATTTGTTTTTGGCTATATTAAGTATAAGTATAAATTATGCATTGAAAGAAATAATATCATTGAAATATTTACGTCTATTTTTTAAATATTGGATATAAACTAGGTTATACATATTATTAATAATTTTAAATAAGGCTTTATTGTTTGTATTTTACTAAATAGAGGCGAAACTTCTCAGCATTCCATGGATTCACCGTGTTGAAGTCAGGTCATTTGCGTTGCTAGGAGAGGAGCTCTATCAGTGTCTGGGACTTAGGTGTAGGTTTAAAGGCCCCCTATCTAAAGTGCGTTAAACGCTCATCTCAACGGTAAAAGCTCCTATCTGTATCTAAACAAATTTGAAACGAACTTACTAGGGTTACCTTCAAAGTACATTCTAAGAAATGGATTCGTGTTAGTTCTGCATAGTTTTTGTAAACCATATACTTAAATTGTAATAAATTTTCCTGCTTTTCCAATCAAATTATTTCCAAACAAATTAATTCCCCCTTGTTCGTCATTGTATATTTTGTCAGCGATATAATTTTTTTTTTTGAATTACAGAATTCTGTAACTGATTGTGTCGGCAATATAAAATCAAATTACACAAAGCGAGGGTAATTTAAAACTGCATTTAGAGGTCTGAACTTGCTTCTTTTGTCGATTATATGAAGCCAATCGACCTACCAAGACAAATTTATAAGTTATGTTTGATTACAATTTACAAAGATGTCATTTATACTGGTTTAATAAAATAGTGGCGTTAGGATATAACACAGTTTCCATTTACTATATTTGTTTCTTTTGTCTGTTTTCATTTAACCTTAAAGTTTTCTTTTAAATTAAAAAGGCGGAGACATAAAGTATATTGTTTATTTTAAATTTGTGTTTATTTCTCTTGACTATAAACAGATTTGGGATATCAATATTTTGCCTTCTACAAAAACGCTGTATAATAAAAATGCCATTGACATTTGCAGGACGAATATCGTGTGAAGAAAGCAGCATCTTCATAGGGCGTTACTTGTAATTCCTTGACATCGGCTATGGCGCTAGGAACTCAAGTTGTATATGTAAGAGCCGTATATCTTAAAACCGACCAGGTATTCCAATATGATGTCCTCGTGTAATATTATGTATTAGAAAAATAGGTAAAAAACCTTTTTAAGTTAAACGGTTTTACGTTAAACATACATTGCAATGTTTAAGATAAATGTACTAAAAACCAAAAAATAATAAAATAGATACAGTCGTGGGAATTATAAACATATGCATAGACTAGACTAAAATAAAACCGTGGGGCACGTCAATTGTCTACCAATTATCGACTTAATGTGCGATAGAAGAATCCTTTAATTCGTCGTTAGGCAGGCCAAAATCCAAAGTGTATACAAAATTTCAGATTAATCGGTTGACAGGAAGAGGGTGAAATTCGAATTACTAAATTTGACCCAAGAATAAATAAAACAAACGGGGTGAGCTAAATAAAACCGTTTAATAAAATATGATAAAATGTTCTTTTTTATTTTAGTAATGTCTCCTACTTCTCAAATGTGCTGGAATTTTTCCAGCATGAAGTCTTACATTTATTCTGTCTGATGTAAAATTCCCAGAAAACGCTCTATGAAAGTTCGTTGTCAGTAGCCATAATTCTTGATGACCTTTAGGATTGTTAACAATTTTTACTCCAAATGGGAATGGTAATAACTCTCCGTTGACTGCGATCTCATTAAAATTATGTGGAGAGAATTTTGTGGAAGTGTTCCAGGACCAAATACTGGGTGGTTCTACGAGACCGAAATATAAAAAGCCATCATCATCCATTGCTTCTGCCCCAGACTGACTCGGTCGTTCTGCATGGAAGACCTAAAACAAAATACTAATCATCATTTTAGTTGTGGTTTCTTTTAACCTATTCTGGAAATTTAAACAACATAAGTTTTGATGTTAAAATCTTATAATCCAAATAATTGTTATTAAAGATTATTATTTAAACATCTATATTCAACCTTTATTCTTATCCTCTATTTTTAGTTTATTAAACTTATTTTTCTTATAACTTACATTTATAGAAGTGGGATTGGCGTTAGGGTTTTCAATAAATGAATCATTTCGTAATAAGCTTGTCCTCACCACGTTTTCGGTAGTGGAAGCAAATGCATGGAAATATAACAAACGATCACATCCCTCAACATATGGTGACAGAGCCATGCCCAAAACACCGTCCATGATGTCGTAACTTTCACCTAAAAGAAAACCGTGACTAAGATAAAATTCTTTGCACAGAAATAAGAGGTACACTGTATAATTATAATAACTTTATAATGTCACACTCATTTACTTTTTTTACTATTTTAATCAATGTCTATTTGTATTTTGGAAACAAAAAAATATATTTTATTATTCTAAATGGTTTTGATTTGTGGACACTGCATAGTCAAAGTGTGTTAACTTCGCAGATTATTGTTTTCAATTTAATGATGATGGCTCGTATTAAAAAATGAGTTTAGTAATGTCATTAAAAAAAGGTCCACCTTTGTTTTTGATATAAAGTTCTCGTACTAAATGTAAGCCCATCACAAAATAATATCCCTATAAATAAATTTCAATTATTTTCTGAGAAAGACTTCATAAGATTTTATGTAGGAATACACACATTTTTCCTTTTAATTAATAAATATTACCGTCAATAATAAAAAGACCGCGGGAAGGATATGGGAAGAAGTATCGATGAGTGACTCTCCAAGAACGATCTCTTGCAACGTCAACTACTAACAGTCCAAAGCCGGATACGTCAGCCACATATACGAATGTATCAGAAAAATCATTTGGACCAGAATCTCTTACATCCACAACCTGAAAAACGAAAATAAAGTTTTACTTTAAAGATATTTTTTTGTATTTTTTTTGACCATTTGTATTCAATCCAAACATATTGTTAAGATAAGAATATAGAGCCTTTGAAATGTCTTTAGTAAAAAATCGTTCCTCGTCATTAAGATTAATTATTATTTAGAAATAGCGCTGATAGCTGTATAGTCACCATTTTATAAAAATGTTTGAATAAAGTGCTACTAGAGATATAAAAAGTATGTGTTAGTGCAAATTTATGTTAAGTTACTAGTTTTGATAGGTTTTATGTTTAATACTTACTAGGGTTATAAATCTTGTCGTTGCTATAAAGTTTTCTGAAGGCACTCTGTGGCGGTAAATTAATTGATCTGTTCTTAAGTCGAATGCCAGAACTTGCGGCGGGCATTTCTGTTGATTTCCAATCTTGCCAGTGTCCACAACCCATAGTCGATGACAATTATCTATCTTTTAAATTTTTATAATCACAAAAATAGAAATATGAACATGAAATATTATATACTTTTATATTTAACTAGCTGACACGGCAGACTTCGTACTGCCTCAATCAAGAAATAAATTATGTCTTATTTATTTTTTTGGTGTTAACCTTTAAGCCATAAATCTCCGTGTTCTGAAGTGCGACAAAATGATTGACATATTAGTTAGTTGTCAAATGTATTGTCAAAAAACTTTGTTTGTTGTTTTCCAGGAAATTAATGAAAAAATTCAGCTTTCAACCTTCCTTGAACCTCCACGAACATTTCAAGACTATGATAAGATAAATCCGTTCAGACGTTCTCGAGTTTTAGCAAGACTAAGGAACAGCAATTCATTTTTATATATATATAATATAAGATATATTATATTAAATACCATCCAAAAAAAATTCAACCCAAATCATTAAAGATTATAGTTCTGTAATTGTCTCACGTATGTCAAACATTTTATGATCATCCGTAGTACCAGAATTCGATTTACTAGTACATGATTTAGTAGAGACATTGTAGTAATATAATGGATTATTAATACCGAGCTTAAATTGTTATAAAGACTTAAAGTTCAGATGGGAAAGAATTTATTTTTATGGATTTGGTATCAAATGAAATCAGGTATCAAATTATTTGTTCGAAGATCAGGGTACTGGCATATACCTATTTATAGCAGGTATCTGATATTTGATAAGTCAAGATGTCGAAAAGGGTAAAATGATAGTAAATTTATGTTAATTAATCGTAATAATATTCAGAGCTGATTCTTTTAAGCAGGTGGATAACTTAAACCGAATCAATCATAACGTACTTGGTTTTCTTGTATTGACTTTACATCTGCATAGAATTAACATATAAAACATTAATCATTTTACTTACAGCGACCCTGAACACAGAGGTGAGTCCATCACAATTTGTTCCTTGGTAATCTTGCCAGGAGTAGTCTGGGTAGCCTGATATACGACCATCTTTACCAACTGTACCCAAAGTTATCGGTCGACCAATCTCAAACCGAGGTATTGTCATGAAGACACGCGGTTTATGTGTCCCTTGAATAATAATTCATTTAATACTCATATAATTAACCTCTTTCAGAAATACTCAAGTTTGTTAAGGTATTAAATTTTGAAAACATATAATCGTAAAAAAAATGTATATTCTATCATAATCATACATACCGTATCCGTAATATGCATCGATATCAATAGGTATTGAAACCTCAGGAATAAAATACTTATTAGTTATAGCTCTGATGCGAGCCTCTTCATCAGGATATACGAACTCCAACTGAACCCATTCTCTTATAATATTTAAACTATTCTGACATATTACTACTGTCCATAAACAGGTTAAGCACAATAACGATGAAAGAAAGAACTTCTGTGTTATTGTCATCTTAATAATCTGCAACAAAGTATTGGAACGATAATAATTTGTCAAATATTATAAGTATTATTATTATAAAACAAATATGTTTACTTCTGTTTGTATTATAAATTATATCCAACTGTAAACGGGATAAGTATTTTAAATTAAAATTTTAGAATATAAAATGTCTTCATGTTATAAAAAAAAAAAATACCTTATAATACGAAGATTGCAGGTACATAAACCGGTAAGTAAAAGTTTTGTATGTTAATATATTAGAACGAGTGCCTCCTGAGGAAAATATTCACATACAGAACTGATATCAAGTCATTTCATTGTTTTATCAAACATTGAAAACAATTTGCATAAAAATAATTAACTTTTAATTACTTAAGTCTAGTTATATGATTTTAGGAAAAAAATATGTTGTGTGTATTGGTTTTGGCAATTACTTTTGTGATAATGTGGACCTTAATCGTATTTTTTAATACATATTAAATATTGTTTACTTGTTTAAAGGATGTAATTTAAAAAAAAACATCGTTTGACTGTTCTAGATATTAAAGAAAAGTTATATGTTATCAGTTATTGTGTTGTTTATGATAATGATATGGCTTCGCGAGTATTCTTTTTATTTATTTATTTATTTGATACTTTTTTGCACACCACAGTCTCAATACAGACAATTACAAAAAAAAAAATACAAACTTAAAACTAACGGTATAACAAAAGGCGGCCTTATGGCTTATTAGCCATTTCTTCCAGGCAACCTGGGGTCAGAGGATTGTGTTTGGAGACAGTATAGGGTGGTACATTAGATATTCTTAAAATAAATATATAACCTAAACACATACAAAAATAAATAGCAGTAATAAATATTCAATAATATACGTACGTACATATATCAATAAATACATACATACATACATACTTACATTTATACATACAAATACATATAAATACATACATACATACAAACATATAAATACATGATACATACATTTGTCATAATCATTATTACATAATCATAATCATTACATAAGAAGTTAATAGTTTTTAAATGACTATTAAATAAAAATAGCAACTAAGCGTAGGTATGTACTTTAAATCATACAGATAAAGGAAACCTTCATATTACTATATAGCTGCACTGTACAGTGCTGCATCTCAAATTAACCAATTGGACGAAATGGAAAAAAAGTTTTCGAAGTTTGTTCAAAGAATTAGTTCAAAAAATTCGTGACTTTTGTAAAAGTAGTGATATCATCCGCTGAAAAGTCAAAGCTGTTGCAGGATGTAGGCGAACAAACAGGTTCCGTATCCATCTAACTAATATATTTGTTTATAATTATTTTTAAATATAATATGAGTTTATATATTTACATGAGTAAGTATATGTACCTAAAGAATTTTTTTTCGTGATGCTTTGATGGATTTTTTTTGATATATACAGTATTTTTTTGTATAAAGAGAGCAAACAAACGCGCAGACGGCATTTACGTTGAAAAGTAGGATTACTTTTTTCCTTCAGATCAGTTTCGTTAAAACTTTAGGGTAACTGTCAGAATATTTCTAGGAATGTATGCTATACATCTACAATATACAAATAAATAAAATTGGAGTGTCTGTTTATTTATATATTCCGGTTAATGTCTGAAATGGCTGAACCAATTTTAAAAGACTTTTATTGGCAGGTAGCTGATGTAATAACTTAGACTACTTTTATGTAAGAAAAAGTCTTTTATTTTAGAAAATAAAGTAATGTTCCAATGCCCAAGTATCATGTGCCGCTCACGCGCATGCTAATGCCTGTGCCATCACGTCTCAGGTGCCTCTCATAACTTTTCCCACCAACGAATCAATATCACAAAAGCTGCCTGTCGCGTTGTCTCAGAATGCGCGAGCAGGCTATTGCTGACGATTGTGTCTCAACGACTTCATTTAGAGATTGATTTCCAGTACTCATATCATACTTTTGATTGAAAGTTTGATTTGATTGAATCACGAGTGAGTGGGAGGCTGTTCGCATGCGGCGTTTAAAAGTTTTTTCTTTACGCAGACGAAATTGCGGATAACAACTAGTTATTTATATAAATTTGATGACTGTAACTATTGAAACGGAAGGAGTAGTTTTAAGTTTTTGGTTTATAGTCCCCAGGCTAATGCTTGTCACACTTGGATATGTTACTAGCGTGGCGAAAAACTCAAACACTTGGCAATGTCACTTATTCTGTACTGATTAAATTAATATAAATATCCTAAGATATAAATGTCCTGATATTATTTCGAAATTACCACTATAGTAAAAATATATACATGACAAAAAAATGGCAACAAGAACTGTATATATCATGTGAACAAAAAACACAACCAAAAATAAAAAAAGTTCAAAAATGTGCACTATTTCAATGACTTACGTATGTTCAGAACTTAATTATTTATAGCCAAAAATATAACATGCAAAATTAGAATTTTATTTTATCATTTAAAATTTATGGTTTTTGTTTTGTTAAATACTATATAAATGCTACATAGAATACAAAATATTTAAGTACATTCTAGTTTTTGTTTATATCCGTATGCTAGCGTATCTGTTTGCCCTAGCTCTAGGGCATGTTTGTCTTTTGGGAGTGATGTAACGACGTCGTCATGGAATTTCCCGAAGACATGTCTCAAGCCGATACCAAGGGGCCGAGCCATATTAGCAATGAAATTAAAATGAACTACATTCACATTATGTATGTACAATGTTAAATGTCACAACAATGATAAAAAATCTATATGGTTAAATATTAATACTTTTGATGCTTTTCAATTGCATCTGAAGTAAGTAAATCGTAATATTTTTCAGATACAATTATCTTCAAAAAAACTTTTTCATCCCTGTTTGTCACTATAAATTTAGTCAGCGGCTTTTTTTGTTTTTCAGACTTTTTTCTTTATTTCAGACTAATACAACTGTTTGTTTCGGCAATACAAAACCAAATTATACAAGGCTAGGGTAGTTGTAAACGTCATGTTCAGGGCTCAGAGTCTGAATTAAAAACGAGAATACATTTATAATGTTTATTTAAAAATTGGTCTATACATGAATGTACTCGTTATTTCATTTAGTTATAAAACATTAACAATATTTTCTCTTTACACAAAATAGTTTTAGGACATCAGTATTGGTGCGTTGCTTTCAACAAAATTGGTGTGAAGAAATCTTATGAATCTTCTTCACACGATTTGTGATCGAAATTGAAATATCTTCAGAGCGCGGTACTTGTAATTCCTTAATATTGGCGCTAAGAACTCTAGTTTTATATATGTATTCACATACATGAAGAGAGAGCTTTGCTTGAAACCAACCAGGTATTAAAATATGATGTCCTCGTATTTATAGTATATTGTAGTTGCATATTAGGAAAAAAACTTTTTAAAATCCTCTCCTTTTATTTGTATTTTAGTAATGTGTCTTATTCCTCAATAGTACTGGAATTTTTCCAACATGAAGTCTTACATTTATTCTGTCTGATGTAAGATGTAAGTTCGTAAAAAATGCTCTATGAAAGTTCGATGTCAGTAGCCACAATTCTTGATGACCCTTAGGATTATTAACAACTTTCACACCGAACGGGAGAGGTAACAACTCTCCATTGACTGCGATCTCATTAAAATTATGGGGAGAGTATTCTGTGGAAGTGTTCCAGGACCACATGCTGGGCGGTTCTATGAGACCGAAATATAAAATACCATCGTCATCTACTGCTTCTGCCCCAGACTGTCTCGGACGTTCTGCTTGGAAGACCTAAAAAAACATCACCATTTTAATATTGGTTTCTATACAGAAATTCAGGAAATTTTAAACAACTTATGTTTTAATCTTGAAATCTTATAATCCAAATAACCGTTAATAAAGATTTTTTTACATTCATACTCAATCTCTATCCTTATCCTCTATTTTTAGTTTATTAAACTTATTTTTCTTACAACTCACTTGTATAGAATTAGGATTGGCGTTAGGGTTTTCAATAAACGAATCATTTCGTAGTAAGCTTGTTCTCACTACATGTTCGGTTGTTGAAGCCAATGAATGGAAATATAACAAACGATCACATCCCTCAATATATGGTGATAGAGCCATGCCCAAAACACCGTCCATGATGTCGTAATTTTCACCTAAAACAAAACCACAACTCAAGATAAAAATCATTGCATAGAAATAAAGTTACATACATTGTATAGTTATAATAAATATCACTCTTCTTTCCTTTTTTACTTTTTTAATCAATGTCTATTTCTAAAACAAAAGTACATAGTCGTATTTTATAATTCTTAAAGGGGCTAAAATTATGTTAATTGCTTCGTCAAAGTGTGTTAATTTTGCAGGTTTGTGTTTTTAATTTAATTCTGATCGTTCATATCAAAAAATGAGTTTAGTATTTAGGAAAGGTCCGCTTTGTTTTTGATTTTAATATGTCGTAAGGTAAGCCCAGGAGATAAAAAAATCTAACTGTAAAGATATTTAAGTAATTTTCAAAATATTTTATTTTGAAATTTACACTTTTCTCATATTTTAGTCATTTTAATGAATAAACATTACCTTCGAAAATAAAAGTGCCGCGGGAAGGATATGGGAAGAAGTATCGATGAGTGACTCTCCAAGAACGATCTCTTGCAACGTCTACCACTAATAACCCAAAGCCAGCCACATCAGCCACATATACGAATGTATCAGCACAGTCATTTGGACCAGAACCTCTTACATCCACAACCTGAAAAGAGGTAATAAGTTTTTGCTTTTCAAAAAGTTCCATTTGATTATGAAAACAAATGTGTTTATTAATTTGATCCTATTTATCTTAAAGAGTAATGTTTGCCAAAGGAGGAATGCATTAGTCTAAATGAATTTAGAAACACCTCGGTGCTTGTAAGGTCATGATGCAATTTTTTTATTTAATATTATTAAAAAAACAGCCTGTTTTACGGGAACTCTTCATTAAACTACTAGTTTTAATAGGTTTTACATTGAATACTTACTATTGTTATATATCGTGTCGTTGCTATAAAGTTTTCTGAAGGCACTCTGTGGCGGTAAATTAATTGATCTGTTTTTAAGTCGAATGCCAGAACTTGCGGCTGGCACTTCTGTTCACTCCTAATTTTGCCAGTGTCCACAACCCATAGTCGATGACAATTGTCTATCTTTAAAATTATAATCACAATAATTTTAGATATTTTGAAAATAAATATACGTTGCTTTTGCAGTTAGTTATAATAAATAACCAAATAACCAGCATTACGAAAGTTACATGGTTTAATTGATTACAATAAATTAAACTGGGCATGGCATGATGTCTTACAATTGAAAAGATTGGCAGAACACTCTCCCCTATGATTTCAGTTTAAGCACAATTTTGTTGACAAAATAAATCATTTCTATTAGATCAAAAACTTGCATTACTTTATGAAATAACTTCTTACAAACCTTTCTATATAAAGATCACGAGTGGGGTGAAATGACAACAAATTTGTGATAATTCATAATGATAAAACAAAAAGTTTACAGAGCTTTTACTATTCATATGAAACTTAAACCGAATCAATAATAAAGTACTTGGTTTTCTTGTATTGACTTTACATCTGTATAGAATAAACATATAAATATTAAACATTTTACTTACAGCGATCCTGAACACAGAGGTGAGTCCATCACAATTTATTCCTTGGTAATCTTGCCAGGAGTAGTCTGGGTAGCCTGATATACGACCATCTTTACCAACTGTACCCAAAGTTATCGGTCGACCAATCTCAAACCGAGGTATTGTCATGAAGACACGCGGTTTATGTGTCCCTTAAATAATAATTCCTTTAATACTCATATAATTTACGTCTTTAATAAATACTGTAGGTTGTTAAATTTTACATGCATATATTCGTTTTAAAAGAGAAATATGTATAACATTTAATGTTACATACCGTATCCGTAATATGCATCAATATCAAGAGGTATTGATGCCTCGGGAATAAAATACTTATTAGTTATAGCTCTAATGCGAGCCTCTTCATTAGGATATACGAACTCCAACTGAACCCATTCTCTTATAATATTTAAACTATTCCGACATAACACTACCGTCCATAAACATGTTAAGCATAATAACGATGCAAGGAAGAACTTCTGTATTATTATTGTCATCTTAATAATCTGCAACAAAGAATTATTCCAAATAAATTTTCCTCATGTCATAATTTAAAAAAATAATACCTTAATATTTAAGTATTACCACTTGTTGATAATACAAAGACTGTTTCAGGTACAAACACCGTCTGGTAAAATTTTTAAATGTTACTATGTTATAACGAGTGTCTCTCAATGAAAAAAATTTACATACTATCATATGAAGTCATTCAATTGTTTTAGCAAACATGGAAAACAATTTATATAAGAATAATTAACTTTTAATTACTTAAGTGATAAGTCTAGTACAATGGTTTTAAGATTTTTTTTAAAATTGTGTACTGGTATAGTAATTACTATCAAATGTAAAAACTACGAAAGCTATTGAGGGATTAAACAACTTTGATATACATAAATGAAAAAAATAAGATTAAATAATAAATACAATATGCTATTTTTCAACCTTAGTCCTTTTTTGATGACGCAGGGAAACCCTTTTTACGAGCCGTCCAGCCGGCCTTGGTGGGACCGGAAGGGATGTGTGAGACTCGGCCTGGGCAGGCCCCTACTCACTAAAACCACTGCGAAAGCCGATGAAAGCGGCCGATGGGCCGCTATGTCGGTGTACCCCGGATCTGTCAGCAACAGGGCACACCAGCGACTGGCCGGTCCTGGCAAAGACCGGACTTACTCCCTCGGAGTTCAACCTTAGTCTTACCCTGGTGAATGCTAATAACTTTTTATTATTTTCGAATCCTACAAATGTGTCTTTATGTCTAATCTTAATTATGAATAAAAATTCATAGTTATTTTTAAATGCATTGGTTTTTAATTTGGCTCGATGAAAGATATCACTTTGTAAAAGTTTCGGTCTAAATCGTGGTGTTTTCAATAAATACAAATTAAACATTGTTTACTTGTTTAAAGGATGTAATAAAAAAACGGCGCTTGAATGTTCTAGATATTAAAGAAATTTTATATGTTATCGTGTTGTTTATGATAAGGTTTCATGGGTATTTTTTGTGTAATTATTTTTCTTTACATAAGAAGTTAATAGTTTTTAGACTGTTAAATAGAAATAGGACCTAGGCATAGGTACTACAAATATAGGTAAATCATACAAAAAAAGGTACATTTTTAATTTTTACCTGTAGCCTATTTCACTCTTAACATTTCATGACATCCTGGTATGTTAGTGACACGTTTTCTTTTATATCTTCTATAGTTCCAAATAGGGCACTTGTGTGGCTGCCTATTATTTGAAATTATGGAAAAATTTAACCTCCGAGTCCTAAAACAAAAATTACACAATTATCAATTTCACAAGATCTTACAAAAAACTGGGCACAATGATACATGAATTCTCTGAATGTACTTACTCCAAAAATCTTATTTTACCAAACAATGCTATTTATATAAGAAGAGTAAAGTGTGTTCTAATAGATATTGCTTAAAACATTAACTAAACACAACGTCAAACGTGTAACTTAAGGTGCAAAAGTGGGTACTTGAACTTTTTTTTTCAAAACTTCAATGGCTTTGCGCGGGTTGTTCCCATTAAAAATAATATTTAAAAGGGTTTATAACGATACCTAACTACAAAATATTTTTGCTTTTAGAAATGGATATCTTAAAAAAAATATTTGACCCACCCAGTGTACAATGCTGTAACACTAATAAACCAATTGGGCGAAGTATATAAAAGTCTTTTGAAGTATGGTCAAAGAATTATAAAAACGTTCTTGATTTTTATGAAATTAGTATGATAAGTTCTGCTGAAAATTCAAATTTGTTACAGGATGTAGGCAAACATACAGGTTACATATCCATGTAACGAATATGTTTGCTAATAATTATATTTTATTATAATATGAGTTATATATTTACATATTTATATATAAAGCAACTACAAATTATCGTCATGCTTCGATTGACGCACTAAAAAGTTTTTTTATATGAAACAAGCAAACAAACATACGAGCAGGCGCACTATGGGAAAGCCCCATACAAGGCCGTCTCAAAACCCTTTCACATGAAAGTCGTTGTTATGAAGTAAAACTAATTAATTAATTTATCCTTATTAATAAGCTTTCTTTTCTAGATTTTTAAATTATTTTTATATAAAAAGAGCAAAGCTAACTAATTTTCAATGATGTGATTTTGGCACAATACATTACTACAATTCAACGCAACATTACTCGAAAATTTTCGATATAAATGTGTAAGTATTAAATATTTTTTAAGTGCTTATAATCTCCTTATCACGTTTTGTAAATAATATTATGTATAGTAAATAAATAAATTACAATTAACCAACATAGTTTAAGATGGTATAATTTTCGGGTTTCTATTTTTTTAAACAAGACCTAACACTTTCCGCTGTCGATATATTTGTTGTAATACGATCTTTATACATTAGTTTACCCAAGGAGAAAAAAAGGTACGCCTACTAGCGCCTTATCTGATACGGTGCTAAAACATATTTAAATATATTTTTATTTATTTTCATTTTTTAAATAAAATAATAAACATAATTTTAAAAATTATTATTTTTTATATTAAACTTCATACTTTCACGTATATGTAGGTGTTCAAAATTATATATCATTCAGTTTTGAAATAACTGAGATGCGGAGTTTTGAGATGAAACATACGCGATTTCCCATAGTGAGGGGCCCACTTGATGGTAAGTAGTCACCGTCGTCCATGAACAACCGCAAAATCAGAGTTACGGATGCGTTGCCAGCCTTTGTTGTTGAGAAAGGAGGAAAGGGTGGAAATTAGGAGAGGGCAGGAAGGGATGGGTCGAGAAAAAGTTCAACCGGCTCTCTTACTCAAGGGATGAAACGCAGCCATGAAAAGCTTCTTCAGAGCGATCTTCTGTGTGAGAGTGGTACTTACACAGTCGAGCCAGCCCATGTTCGAACCGTAGTAACTTAAAAGTTGTTAAAGATAATAAGAAAATATAATAATCGATTTATTGATTTTCTCTTTCTTGTTCCAAAGAACTTCCGTTATTTACAGTTATCCAAAGTATGTTTCATACATCCTTATAGAGACCGACCTTATCAACTCCACCGAGATTTACGTTGAAAAGAATGATTACGAGTACCTTTACCCTTCAGATGAGTGCCATTGAAGCTTTAGAATAAATTTCAGAAATTTGTAGGAATTAGTGCTATACATAATTTATTTAAATTTGATAACTGTAACCGTTGAAATGGAAGGAGTAGTTTTAAGTATTTTATTTATAGACTTCACGGTATGGATATGTTTCTAGCTGTCCTCATTAAATTGGTATAAATATCCTAAGATATTATTATTATTATTTCCACATTACTACATAGTACAATAAAAAATAATCATGACAAATACAAATATGTAAAGGTATATGACTTGCACAAAAAAGACAAAAGTACATATGTAAAGACCAAAAAGTAAATTAGTTTCATTATTTACTTGTATTTAAATGTATAAATACATTTTTATGAAATACAAATATATAAAGCAAAATACGAAATTATTTTTTTCATTTGGAATACATATATGGTTTTTGTTTAAATAAATGATGAGTAGAATACAAAACATTTAGGTTCATAAAATTTTTGATTCCCTTTTCTTACTTTTGTCTCCAAATTATTTATTTACGTAAAAGCATCTAATAAAACACTGTTTGCATTTGGTGGAATAATTCTCAAAATGCCCTTCGAAGTAATCTGGAAGATTACTTTTTCAAACTTTATTATAATTTAATAAATAGAGTGTTTAATTTGGAAGACTCATTTTTTAAATATGTACATACGTATTGTGCATTTTATATCAAAATACTTTGATTGAAACCCTTTCATACATATATTGTAAGTATGAAATGTTCGAAATCTTTTTCTTGTGAACCCTTTTCGAAAGCGAAATACTCTGCTTAACCTTACAATAAAATAGTAGTTTTTAAAAGCCTAGTTTTTATTAAAAAGCACCATAAAAGTACCATGTACCAGTTACATAAAAAATGTCATAATAATAGAAGATATTAAGAAAAAAAATAGAATCTAACTAATGGGAGTCATGAAATTGCTTTTTTTAATTCATCAATTGGTTGATATGGGGTTTGATGAGATTTGAATGTATTTGGAAACAGGAGAAGAATAAATGAAGCTATATCTGCCAACATTGGATATTCCTCACGGATTTTGCACCAAAAATTGAGAAGCGTAGTTTTGAACAGTGACTCCATACTTGTGTCTGATACCATTTCTAAAATAGATTCATCTAGTTTGAATTACTTTAGGACTTTTGTAAATTAGCTAAAGAAGGATTATGAGTTATGCTCCTTTGGAAAATACTTAAAGTGAGATAATGGACCAATTTACAAATACATAATTTTGAAACATTAAAAACAGACATTTTTTATTTTGTTTATTTTAAATTTGTCTTTACATCAATGTATTAATGATTTAATAAAGATATAGAACGTTAATAATATATTTTCTTTAGAAGAAATAGTTTAAGGACATCAATATTGATATGTTGCTTCGAAGACAAATCGTATGAAAAAAGTAGCATCTTCAGAGGGCGGAACTTGTAATTCCTTGACATCAGCTATGGCGCTAGGAACTCTAGTTGTATTTGTGAGAGCTTGGCTTGAAACGAACCAGACATTAAAATATTATGTCCTCGTGCAGTAGTTGTGTATTAGACTAAAATATTATAAGCTTTCTTCTTATTTGTATTTTAGTAATGTCTCCTACTCCTCAACAGTGCCGGAATTTTTCCAGCATGAAGTCTGATATTTATTCTGTCTGATGTAAGATGTCCCAAATACGCTCTATGAAAGTTCGAAGTCAGGACCCACAATTCTTGATGACCTTTAGGATTTTTAACAACATTCACTCCGAATGGGAATGGTAATAACTCTCCGTTGACTGCGATTTCATTAAAATTATGGGGAGAGTATTCTGTGGACGTGTTCCAGGACCACATGCTGGGCGATTCTACGAGACCGAAATATAAAAAGCCATCATCATCCATTGCTTCCGCCGCTGATTGACTCGGACGTTCTGCTTGGAAGACCTAAAACAAAATTATCATGACTATGTTTGTGGTTTTTATTTACGATTGTGGCAAATTTTAAGCAACTTAAGTTTAAATCTTAAAATCCAAACAATCGTTATTAAAGATTATTATTTCAATATCTATATTCAAGCTTCGTGTTTATTCTCTATTTTTAGTTTATTAAATTTCTTTTTCTTATAACTCACATTTATAGAAGTGGGATTAGCGTTTGGGTTTTCAATAAATGAATCATTTCGTAATAAGTTTGTTCTCACTACATTTTCGGTAGTTGAAGCCAATGCATGGAAATATAACAAACGATCACATCCCTCAATATATGGTGTTAGAGCCATGCCCAGAACACCGTCCATGATGTCCAAACTTTCACCTACATAAAAGAAAACCATTACTAAGATAAAATACATTGCAAAGAATAAAATGTCATTGCTTAGTACTAATTACGATCTATTATATAAAAAAATGAGTTTAGAAGTGAAATCATAGCAAAGGTCCACTTTGTTTTTCAGTTAAATTATTATCGTTCTAAAAGTAAGAACATCACAGAAAAATTTCAATTTAATTAATAAACACTACCTTCGATAGTAAAACTGCCGCGGGAAGGATATGGAAAGAAATATCGATGATTGACTCTCCAAGAACGATCTCTTGCAACGTCTACCACTAGAAGTCCAAAGCCTGACAGGTCAGCCACATATACAAAAGTATCAGCGCAGTCATTTGGACCAGAACCTCTTACATCCACTACCTGTGAAGAGGTAGTGGAGTTTTACTTTTTTTCCATCCAAATACATTGTTAACACAAAACGAAAGTATATAATGCCTTTGAATTTGATTACGAAAATAATGTTTTAACAATACATACATAAATGAAATGATTTTCAAAACGAATTGTTGCTTATAATTGAGTTTTACTATTTCGAAATAGCGATGTTAGTTGCATAATCACCGTTTTGTTATAATGTAAGATTACAGCGCCACAAGATACTATCGATATGAAAAGTATATGTTATGGCAATTTTATATTAAAGTACTAGTTTTGATAGGTTTTACATTTAATACTTACTAGGTTTGCAAATCTTGTCGTTCCTATAAAGTTTTCTGAAGGCACTCTGTGGCGGTAAATTAATTGATCTGTTCTTAAGTCGAATGCCAGAACTTGCGGCTGGCACTTCTGTTGAGTCCCAATCTTGCCAGTGTCCACAACCCATAGTCGATGACAACTATCTATCTTTTAAATTATAACCATAAAATTTATAAATATGAACAAAGTTTGATTATTTTTATTTTTTTTTAAATGTATTAAGTATTTTTTATATTCTTTATGATGTATATAATATTGTCGTTCCGGGTTAAAATTGTAGAATCATCCCAACATTGAGCGGCAGCGCCATCGCGTGACAAATAGACAAAACGATTAACAAGTGGAAATAGAAACGAGAATGTTTTGAAATGTTCTAGTGTTCGGATTATTGTCTATAAAAGGTCCGCTTGGTTGTTTTGATTCAACCTCAAGAAATGATATATAAGCGCCACAGACGATATTACCAACGATATTATTTACGATCATGATAGAGTTAATATTTGTGTATTCTATTAAAAACCATATTTAAATTGATCATCAAATCCTATATTGTAATAATATATTAATACTTTTCACTTTTTGACTTAAACATGTACTGTATAACTGAGGTGACGTAAAATTTATGTCAAAACGTGTTTTTGCTTTTTGATTATAATTTTTTGAGGAACAAAATAGGGATGAACTTGGAGAATTTAGATAGACCACTACTCTTAAAACAGTAGTAACAGAAAGATACAAAACTAAATTAGTTTTTCACAAAATTTTAATGAAAATACACGTCACTCTATATGACAATAAAAATTGTTTTAATTCATTGTTATAAAACTTAAAAAAATCATTCAGTGCCAATTCTATTAAGCAATAAAATAATTTAATCTGAATCAATACTAACGTGTTTGGTTTCTTTATCGACTTTTCTTTTGCATGGAATAAATAAATAAAAGCTTAAACATTTTACTTACTGCGACCCCGAAAACAGAGGTGAGTCCATCACAATTTGTTCCTTGGTAATCATGCCAGGAGTAGTCTGGGTAGCCTGATATGAGACCATCTTCACAAACCGTACCCAAAGTTATAGGTCGACCAACATTAAATCGAGGTACTGTTATGAAGATACGTGGATCGTGTGTCCCTTAAATAATACAGGGCCGATAATATAGATCATACTCCATCTTTAGAAGGAATAGTAGATAGGTTTTTAAAAGATTTCAACAAGGTAGATAGCCAACAAATCAGTAACGTCCAAAAGCTTGGATCTGCGATAATAATCTAATAAACTTCACGTCTAAATTGGCCTTTCCTCGTCTATAATTGTAATAAAACCTTTTTATCAAAAATAAATGCAGGCATAATAAAGATGCATCCGTCCATGAATGAGTTTAAACATGCAGAACGAGTGGTTAGACATAGGAGATTTTCGCATCCCATTAGCACTAAAATGGCGCACTTTAATTTATGATTGGTCACCATCATTGCTAAAATTTTATCTCAATGCGTTCCAGATGACTCTTGCAAATCAGAATAAACTAGAAAGATGAGTTAAAGGTACCAAAAAAACTTGCTATATCTATGGAAGGTGGTAGAGCCTAGCTGTGGTAAATTACTACAGCTCGAACCTGGGCTGGCTCGACCGGGGAAGTACCACCCTCTCACAGAAGTTCGGCGTGAAGTAACCTTTAGTGGCTGCGTTTCGTCTGATGAGTGAGAGAGTCGGTTGCCCTTTTCCTATTTCACACCCTTTCTACCATTTCCCTATTCCTAAAAAAACAAGGTTGGCAACGCATCCGCAACAAATATGTTGCGGATGTCCATGGGCGACGGTACTACCTTACACCAAGTAGGCCATCATACATACCGTATCCATAATATACATCGACATCAATAGGTATTGATGCCTCGGGAACAAAATACTTATTAGTTATAGCTCTGATGCGAGCCTCTTCATTAGGATAAACGAACTCCAACTGAACCCATTCTCTTATAATGTTTAAACTATTCTGACATATTACTACCGTCCATAAGCACGTTAAGCATAATAACGATAAAAGGTAGAACTTCTGTATTATCATCATCTTAATAATCTGCAACAAAGTATTTTTGAACAATATGGCTTCAAGAATAATTTGACAAATATGTATTATATGTATTATTATTGTAAAACAAGTATTTGTTTACTTCTACTTAATTACTATAAATTATGTTCAACCGTAGACGAGGTAAGTATTGTTAATGTGAATTTTAGAGTATGTAATACTATCAAAAAAAACTTTAATATTTTAAGTCTCACCGCTTCACAATAATGCAATGATCGTTGCAGGGATATAAATCGGCTGGTAAAAGCTTTTTAACGAATGTCTCTTGAAGAAAACATTCACAAACTGCTATGATTTCAATTCATTTTATTGTTTTATCAAACATGGAAAACGATTTTCAAGAATAATTAACTTTTAATTGCCAATGTTTAGTATATATGCTCTTCGTAAAAAAAACACGTAGTGTGTATTGGTTTTGGTAATTACTTTCAAAAACTGTTTGCTTATAACTATCAAATGTAAAAACTCCTAAAGCTATTAAAGAACTAATCACCTTTTATATAAATAAAGTATCTTCTAAAATAAGAAAATTGTTAATTTTCATTATTAACACCCATCCCCTAATTATTTTTTCGGCGATAAATTATAACAAAATTCTCTGATAAATAATTCTTACGTCAAATCCAAAATTTTATAATAATCCATATAGGAGCTATATTTTCAAGATTGAAATTGTGGGTGGAATTTAGTAAAATCCGTTCATAGTTGAACTCTACTGGAGAAAAGAATATTAGAAACAAATTCCTAGTCTCTACCCCTCATACTTTAAGAAAATATCATGTTGAATCAATACATCATGTGGAAATCTCTTTATTTATAAATAATGTAAAAATATTTCGAGAGAAAAGTATTGTGTGTACGATATACTAATGTTCAACCTCAGTTCTACCCTGTTGAATGTTAATAACTTTTTGTTATTATACTCGCAATTTACTTTCAAATCGAATAAATTTTTCATTATGTGTCTAAGAAAATTCGTAATTGTTATTTAAATTCATAGGTTTTTAATTTGACTCGGTGAAAGATATTATTTGTGTAGTAATTTTGACCTTAATTCTGGAGTTTCTTTAAAGAGGATTAATATTTTAGTATTGTTTACTTTTTTAAAAAATGTAATAAAAAAATTGTCCCTCCGCGCGGAAGAAATGAAACTCCGTAATGTTTAAATGAAAATTGATTGCATCTTTTAACTGTAATAATAATAATTAATGTAACTATAATATTTTAAATGGAATTTCTAACCTGGTAATCTATGCAATGGCAAACCTAACAATCAATTGATATTAACGTACTTTGACCTAATATTTGATTGTTGTCATACATTCTTTTGCAATTCTCATCCACTGATTTCGGATATAAGGTGACGTATTAAATTATAAATCTATCAAAACAAACCAAAAAAATTATTAATTTTATAAATAAATTAATATAAAGCAACAAGATACGTATTTAAGCAAATTTTAGTACGCTCACACTATTTAAGTCGCTGCCTAGCAAAGGTACCATACTCATGTGCTTGGAAACTACTGACTCACTCTCATTTTCTCTCCTACTTTCTACATTTAAGTATCTTTTTTCTCTCTCCCTCTTGCATTGGAATATTGAACCTTACATTTCTTCTAGCTCTTTCTCTTTTTATCCAACCCCACCTGCCCCAACAGGAACGTAAATTGGTTAACGCAATCTTGTTAAAAGTCGTATTAGAAGATTCACTTCAAGAAACTGCGTTTGATAAAAATATGTTATTGGTTTGTTTATGATATGATTTCATAAACATTTCTCGTGTGATTTTCTCTCTTTACGTCAGAAGTAAACACTTTTTTATATTAGATGACTATTAACTAGAAATAGCAACCAAGCAAAGATACTTTAAAACATAGATACTTTTGAAAGTTTGATCAAAAAGTTTTTATTGTTTACAATAAACAACTTATTTCATGAGTGTCATTTAGATGTCATAAAAATTTCGAAAATAAAATAAAGGATTTATAATATGTTGCGCATCTTTATAAGGAGAATGTGTTCTACTCCCAAGACTATAAGTACGCCTATACCAGTTTTTGGTAAGAAAATTTTAATAAATTTAATTAATAATGTAAAAGATATTTTATAATGAAAACATGAATCCAGGCGTTGAAGGAAGATATGTAGCTGCACTCTACAGTGCTGCATCACAAATGAGCCAATTGGACGAAGTGGAAAAAAGTCTTCGAAGTTTGCTCACAGAATTAGATAAACCTAAAGTTCGTGACTTTTGTGAAAGTAGTATGATATCATCCGCTGAAAAGTCAAAGCTCTTGCAGGAAGTAGGCGAACAAACAGGTTCCGTATCCATCTAACTAATATATTTGCTACTTATTATATTTTATTACATTATGAATTACATTTATAGGTATGCCTAAAGCAACTATAAATTTTCTGGGTCTTGTTTCTGAAAACGGACGATTAAAAATGTTGAAGAAGATGATAAATTTATTTAATAACGTAATGGTAGCACACAGAAATGAAGCTTTATGTGAAGTTATCACCGCTAAAGCCTTGGATGATACATCACGTAAAGCTTTGGTGGACGCCTTAAAAAAGTTTGTTAAAGGTGACAAGAAAATACAAATGACAGAAAAAGTTGATCCAACCATAATAGGGGGAGTTATCGTTGGAATAGAAGATAAACACATTGACTTAAGTATCTCAAGAAAATTACAAATGTACACGGATCTATTAAAACAATCCATTTAAATTGAATTAGAATTGAATGGAATTATTGAAAGTTTAACTGTTTTATGTTAATCCGTTAATTAATAAAAAATACTACTTCTTAACGTCTTTGAAAAGAAAACACAACTACATATGTAGAATGTAAATAATTTATAATACTTTTAAAATAATATCAAATAATTTATTGTATGGCCACAATTTACAGCCAGTTGGCCATATTATAAGAATGCTACAGCTCCATATTTATATTGATAATATTTGGCTTTATGTGGTGATATTCGGTCTGCCTGATAGTTTGTGTAGCGGTCTTTGGGATGTGACAAACATGCTGTATGTCCTAACAAGGTGGGAATTTTCTCGGCGTGAATTCTAAAGTTGATTCTATCTGATGAAAGAGTTCCGGTCATCACTCTTTGGAAACTGGAAGTAAGCACCCACAGTTCTTGTTCCCCTTTCAGATTGTTGACAACCTTCATCCCACTAGAAAATTGGAGTGTTTCTTTGTCAATTGCTATCTGATGGAAATTTTTTGGAGAAAATTCTGTAGCTGAGTTCCAACAAAATACGCCAGGTGGCTCCATCAGACCGAAATATAATACACCGTTATTATCCATGGCTTCAGCTGCAGATTGGTTCGGCCGTTCTTCCGGAAATTCCTGGAAAATATATTTATATTTACTTATTTTCTCATTGCTTCGGTTTCTAATATGGAAAACCTTTTTAGGTCTTGCTGTGCGAAATATTGGTTATTGCTACATAGCCTTTACTTTACAGAACCTTTACTTGTTTTACGTTTTTTACTTTAAAAGCGCCCGTAAATATCTAAAGTCATACTCACGTTTATACTGTAAGGATTGGCGTTAGAGTCGTGAATGAAGGAATCATTCCTGAGAACACTAGTTCTAACCACATTTTCTGTAGTAGAGGCTAGCGAATGGAAGTAGAGGAAGCGGTCAGCCCCCGGCATATAAGGTGATAAAGCCATCCCAAGGACACCATCCATGAGATCGAAACTTTCTCCTGTAAACGGGATAATTTAATGATAATAAAATAATCGGGTTATGTCAGTTAGGTATACAAACTATGAAACTAAACAGAAAATGTAACTAATAAGTTTTATTTTTCCAGAGTTAAAAAAAAACAAACGTAGAATACCTATTAAACATTACATTCCGTTTCATCTAGTGACATACACTCGACATAACTAATAATTTAGGAAAGAAATTAGTGATAACGAAACAGATATTTTTTAATGAGTAACGAAAAAAAAAACCTATTTTTATTGAAAGTAATAACAAAAAAGTAAAAAATTAATACATATACACGTACATATATGTACATATTATCTTTACGTCGTATTTTATGGTTGTTCGTGTGACCTTGGGTTACATGCATATTTTAAAAACAAATTACAGTTTTTAGACAACGCCTTACTTATGAGGTCTATCTAGTAATAATCATACAGGTAAATTTTAATCATTTGAGGCCTCTAATAACAAAATAGTCGTATACTAATATGATCATAAAGAAGTAATAAAGTTGTAAATAATATTTAACTGCTCAAGTAACGAGCATGCGTTTAAGGAAAACCTTATGCAACACAATGTTGTTGTGAATGTAACAATACATTGATTTACACTTACCGTCGATAGTAAAACTGCCGTGGGAAGGATATGGGAAGAAGTAGCGATGAGTGACTCTCCAAGAACGATCTCTTGCAACGTCTACTACTAAGAGTCCAAAGCCGGACACATCAGCCACATATACAAATGTATCAGCACAGTCATTTGGACCAGAACCTCTTACATCCACTACCTGAAATGCATAATAAGTTGGTTACATTTTTTATATAATTTAGTTGGCCTATCTTATAATATCAGTTTAGTTGGCATTCTTTATATTGTGGAGACGACGAAAAAGTATAAATATGGGATTGGAATGATGCTTTAGAACAATAGTTTGTGTATGTGTGTTTGTTTTATATTGATTAGATGATAGATTATTAGCTATTATCTGGATTCTGTTAAACTTCTGTCTTAAGTGAAAGTATTAAAGACGTAAATGATAATACTTCTATCTTCACGGATGTTGTATTTATTATTGTTTCTTGTTTATTACCTCTGACGTAATTACGTTTGTTACGAAACTATTAAGTCATTACAATAACATGTATAGTTCTTTAAAAAATGTATGGTTGTTTTGTAAGGCTCAAATTTTGTTGATAATAATTTATAACTTATATACTTTTATACGATATACTTACTGGAGTTATAAATAATGACGAAGCGATATAATTTTTCGATGGTACTTTGTGACGATAGATCAATTGGTCACTATTCAGGTCAAAAGCCAGTAGCTGTGGTGGGCACACTTGATCATCTCCAATTTTCCCAGCGTCCATTACCCATAGTCGCTGGCATGAATCAATCTGAAATACAATATTTTTGACATTTGATACATGCGTGTTAGTGCAAACGTTTTGTAATAAATATCGTAGTCTGGCATCAACTTTCGTTGGTGGTAATGTATCTCAGATATAAAACCAACATCAATTAGCTCACAATCCACTTTCACTTGGATTATAAATTATTTAATTGTCTTAAACAATTATTCAATTCTCATTATTCTCGCGACCTCTTCGAGTCAAATAATATTTTACAATATACTTGAGCAGTTTTCCTTGCCTATTTATATATTTATTTCATTTTTACAACAATATTAACTAAATGTAAACTAAACTCTAAATTCTAAGGTGCAAAGGTTTCATATCGTTTTTGTTTAATGACAAGTTGCACCAGTGGCTACAGAAGTAACTTTTATGTTTTTCCATTACCTTTCATATAAGATTGTTCATTTTCGTTTTAATACTATCCTGCTTCTTAAGAAAGCCTCTGATAACAATCTCTTGATGTATGTAAGTTAATACCAGTTTTGCATAATTTACATCTTTTTAACAATGTGCTTAATAATATAATATTAGTACTGGACATTAAGTTAAGCTTTGTATTTAAATATTGCAGTCAATCTATGCAACCTTAAAACCAAATATCTATAAGAAAATACTATATATACTCTTTTGATTTAACTTTCAAGATAAGATGGAGTTAAAAATAAATTAAAGACAAGAATCGTGAATGTAATAAATCCTTTCTGATACCCGTTTAATGCTTCACCATAATTTTACGAAATTCTATCTTCTGATGAACTATTAATAGGAACAGCTTGTGAGTTCCTATCAACTTCTAAAATAAAACTTACAGAAGACTGGCCATGACTGAACCGTCAGACATTTTTTCGTTCATTCGTTATTTATAAACTTGTCGATTGGATATTATTAAAAAAAGATGTAATTATAATTTCACATGTCATTTCATGTATATAAATCTCTGAGAAACAAGATCTATATATGAATATATAATATTCATATATAGGACATTCATAATAAGATCCAAGACTTTCGTGAGTATTCATTTATATGAAACTAATATTTTTCGGATGCACTACGTGAGTGCTCACATCTCGTCTGCCCGTGATCACGGGTATTGTAAAGTAACCGAAACGTCGGGAGTATAAAGTTTTTGTTAAAATAAAAAAAAATCGCGTAGTAAATCCGAAAAATATTAGTTTCATTTAAACTATTCATTCATTTTCATCATAAGGCTGCCATCATAGCCGGTCTGAAAAGAAATTGTTAGCAGTTGCTTTTTTGTCTAATTAAAGTCAATTTTCCATTGTAAATATGTCGTTATGCTTGGATAAATAAAACCACTTACAGCGACTCTGAAAACAGAGGTGAGTCCTTCACAATTACTTCCTTGGTTATCATGCCACGAATAGTCCGGGTAGCCTGATATAACACCATCTTCTCCCACGATACCCAATGTGACTGGTCGGCCAACATCAAAACGTGGTATTGACATAATTATTCGGGATTTCTGTGCACCTTTTTAAAAACATATTAGGTATAATTGAAGAAATTAGATTAAATAGCCGTATACATAACAAAAGTGGTTATCATATTAAATAAATAATAACATAGCATTCCAATAATATTACATTGTTACAGGAATAACATTGTGTAGTATAATTAACGTAGATATAGTTAATTGGCTTGTTTGAAGTTTCCTCATTAAAAATATCAGAAGACTCATTGTTTTGTATACGTTAGTTCTTTTACTTGATATAAGTAGGTTATACTTATTAAGAAGTCATTGGCAAAATTAAGTTACAACAGTCTATGCCAAAAATAGCAATAGAAGGTGATATTGCGAAGTCTAGCTATTGATATTTAAATTTGACATTTTGTATATCAATATTTTTGTTATTCGATACACTTAAAAAAATCTTTATATAAATTAATTCAGTTTTCTTTGAGGAAATTGTTGCCTTAGAAACAATGACATAAAAAATATTTTTACTGAGGCAATAGGCAATGAACAACATTCCAATGAAAAATTAGGTACTTTGTTTCTCATTTCACTTAAATGCTTACTTATCTATTTTCGAAGTTATCATTACTATATACAAAATAATATTAATGTGAACAAATACTATTTAAAAAATGTAAACTATGTCAAGCAATAAGTGTCATATATCCATGAAACGGATATAAAACCTCTGTATGTAGTAAAAAAACTTACCACTTCTATGGTGTACATCCACGTCAATCGGTACTGAATCTCCTGGTACATAATATTTATTAGCTAGTGCCTTTATCCGGGCTTCCTCGCTCGGGAATGCGAACTGAAGCTCCGACCATTGCTTCACAATCCTTAAATTGCTCCTCGCTCCCAATCCTGGCCAGCAACAAGCCAAGCAATACGATAGAAGAAAGAACCTCTCAATTCCGTATTGCATTTCTGATTTGTATATGTCAAGAAGAAAGGGATCTGTAAGAGACATTTAAAATTTGAATGTAAGTTTGAGAAATAACGATACATTATTTAAAGTTCTGTAATAGTCTGCTTAACCAATACGCAATGAGATTTCAGTTTTCCAATTCATGATTAATTTTTTTGGATAAAATTACCGATTTATGAATTCCAAATTTGAAATTTTAATTCAGCAGTTTTAACTTTACAAATGAATTCACCTATCAGCATTTACAAAATAATTATAACTACAATTTCAACTTGTGTAATAAATAGGAAAAATAATTAAAATAATCATTACCATAATAACTAAAGAGTGTGTTACACATTCGATTATGATCCCGGAACGACATCTTGTACACATTCAAAGTTAGTAATCTCTAAGATACCACACGTATGTTAAAACATAAATATTAATCTATACATCACTCAATCACAAAACAGAAAACAAGTCATTCCATAAGTAAAAACCTTCATGCACTGAAAAGCTTATCATCGAAAATTGGAACACGTTACGGTTAAAATTATGTCTCACGATGTTAAATAAAAATTCACATTTTCGTGTTATTGCACATCAATACTATACTCATTGTTTATAATGAATTCCATCCGTAATGTGATAAATTACAATCAAGATAATTTTCTCTGAGAACGTCCAAAGACCTCTAATTATACTGTAAAACTAACCGCTAGAGATCGCCTTAAGAAAATATTAAGAAACCGTTGCTGCCATTTCAATTATATATTATGCAAATATTGTAACGGTAGGCAGTATTTAAACGATAAAGCTGGGACGTCAAACTCGGATTTAATGAGTGTGCCAAAAAAAGTATATGAAAAAAATAATTAAATCGTAAAGCCGTTTAGTAAAAAAGTCTCTCACTTTTACAATTACTTTTTTTATTTTGTATAACACAAAGACAATGTTAAAAAAAAAACTTATAAAACCTTTGCCTTGAATTATAGAAATAGATTTACTTAAAAAATATAGTCTGTGACAAAACTTTCACCTTAAAATGTAATGTGAATCTCTGTTTTCTTGATTTAGCTACTCATATACTGTTAAACATAACATTTCATATATTGTTTGTAAAAAAAGGTTACTTCTATTTTATAACGATGTATATATTATGTATTCTAATGATATAATTCGTTCTCATTCTATTTTATTAAGCTTTGTTTACGATTTTTAGCAAATATTATTTAATAACTACATATGAGCTTTATATTATAAACCTTAAAGTATTTTATAATAATTTTTTTTACAGAGATTTGTAATCATCTCATATTTGGTTATAACTAGACTTTTCTCATAACTTTTTATTGAAATGTTTTTTTTTAATTACTAAGCCTTTAAAATTCTCACATAATAAAGAACTTCAAGGATTTTAGCATATGGTCCTAGTTGGAGGATATAATGTTGCATAGGTTTTTATTAATGCCGCGCGAAAGACGTTTAGCTACATTTTAATTGCAAAATTCTACATATGCTTGGTAAAGACAATTTATTTACTCATAAATACATAGGTTCCTAGCTTAAAAAATAATTCGTTAACACTGTTATACATAATCAAGCGTCTCTTCTACATACAACAATTTTGCAATATTTCACTTTGTACGGACCGTTAAGAAGTTTTCATTCATATAACTACATATAAACAAAGTTAGAAGCCGAGGAACAGAAAACGCTTCATATGTGGTGCGAATCAATCATGAGGTAAACAAAATTTTTGTTTTTATCTGAATAATATATCGGAAACACTCTTATTTCTTTATTTTCATGTTTTAAAGAATATTTAAATTCATTAAAATGTGTGACTGCACGACTAATTAAAACTTTGTTATTTATTTTCTTACTAATATGCCGACTTAAAACGTATTTTTAGCGTACTAAATAAAATTTTAATTTCTTGAGAAAACATCAACTCTTCGGGACGCCCTTTAACTAATTCTCAAGAATCAATGCCATTTAGTGGTTCAAGGTTTAATTGATTATAAGATGTCAACATTGTTCTATTTCGTGATTTCTTTTTTTTATTATTACTTTTCAATAAAACAAAATGACGATGGGCTAGTAAATAGTAATAATGATTGGATTTAACATCCCCCGTACTTAGACCATAACTGCTTTTACTGCTTGGAACCAAATATATCCTTCAATCCTTTACCTTTAAAGTCAAATAAAATACTCTCGATATAACATTCAAAATACAAAGATAACTAATAACACAATATTAATTATCGAATAAAAATATCAAGTATAATATTAGAATAAAATTACAAACACACTCGGAAATACACTGAAAGATAAAATCGTGTTACGCTTTAATATAAATGAGGTGGAAAACACATCCCAGTTGACGATTGTATTGTGAAATAGCATTAAGCCATCCATTTGTTCTATGAGATTTCGTGACCAATGGAAGAGATGTTTTTGCGTGATTTAAACATAGCCATTATTAATAAACAATTGATCCATTCCGCATTCAGAGTCACGGCTTACAAACGACCCGTCGGCGTCGTGACATTGAACTTGATTGTTCTTAATTAAACCTCATTTGTATTTGTAAAATAAACTTTAATAATTAAATATTATTCTTTATTGTATCAATTTAGATTTATAATACTAATTTTACGTTTATGACACGTGTAAAGAACGGAACAAATTTTTATGAGAGAGTATCTACATATCTCAAGGCCACGTGTGACAATTAAAGACAAAATTGTACAAGAAAGCTGTTGATTTGAAAAAAAAAATACGTAAAATACATATTTTATCAAGTGTACAAATATATATTACACACACCTTGCCACTTATATTCCTTGTTTAGTTAGAAATATGTATCTACTCTTTAGATAAAAAAAAAAATAAAGTTTAAATAAAAAAATATACATATTTTTGATCTTGATATAACGTAGACAATGATGAGAAAAATAAGACCTTTAAAAATAAATTAATAACTTAATATTGCATTGTAACTAGTATCTACTAATAAATATTAACCGTAAGAATTTCACTAAGAAATAATGCAAACGATTTCCGTAACAAGAAATAACAAAAAGAAAATGAGAGGGTACAAAAACCTTAAATAATTATCGTAACTTCTGGGCCTACGCTACGGATTTTAAATTGATTAGTTTAGTTTGAGGTTAAAGAACTTATATGGAATTTTTAGTTTTGAATATTTGTATAAAATATTTGTTTAGCGGTCTTGTAACAAGAGTGTTCGGTTATTTTTGTACTAACGTTTACTTATTGGTGTTTGCATAGTTATTTTACATCTTGTTAAAAAAAATTACAGCCTTCTTTATATATATTTTTTGTGAATTTTAATATTTTTTGTCGCGTAAGTAACTTATTTATCTAGACACATGTACATTTATATGTAAATATCATAATAAATTTTATGCTAAAAGCCATACAATGACTTTATCTTACCACACACCAATCATTCAATTAAATATAATTTAGTGAAATATAAGAACAAAATTTCTAGAAGGAGTTTGTAAAGGAGTCAATAAAATATTTATATATACCCGTATTTTTCTTATATTACTTTATTATAGCATTTAATTAAAAGTGTTTAATAATAAATTTAAAAAAGAATATTAAAATAATCGACTGATTTAAATATTATGATGAAGCATAGTCACTAAGACTCACAACTCAAAACTTGACAGAAATCACAAGCAATTAATTTGAATGTATCCGTAAACCGGCTCTACAATTTATACAGAGGTCAGTAAGGAATTCACAAAAAAAGTAACAATCGGTCTACGAATTTTTAGCATCATTTTCATAGATTTTTAGATAAAAATTGTGTATGAAATTGGCCATTAGTAAATGTTTTTTTAAAAAAAATTTAGTTTTAAAAATAATTGCCCACAATACTTTACAATACCGCCTTTGGTAATTAAACAATCTTGATGCTATACCTAAAAGTGTTTTTCAATATCTTTCTAAATATAATTTATTGTAAATAAAACATCGATTTACATTTAAATTATCACGCTGATTGAACTTAATAATATAACGCTAAAATTGTTCAAAATGAAGATGTTGTTATCGAATTGCATACAATTAAATATTCACCGCGTCGCTTAATGTGCTAAACTTGTTCTGCTTGTTTAAGCTTGTAAAATAATGTAGGTATCATCTTGAGGATGGAGGCAAACAGTACAATAGCATTTATTTTTATGACATTCTTTAGTATAAAAAACTCTTTAGAAACCTAATCGTGCAAATAAAATGCTAATATGTCATTATGTTTTAACAGTTTAGTGAAAACGAGTTACATAAAAATGCCAAAGAACCGTTTATTAATTCAATCAATATGATTCTTTTTCGTCATATATTAATAATATAAAACAAGAATTTTGCCTTCCCATACAAATTCACATAGATCCGTTTGTACTCATCAAAACGCAATTTAGACTTAATTACATATGAAAAAATATAGTAAACATAATGTACATACCTCAATAATACACTATCCGATATATTTTCATAGATAAAATATATGAATTTTTATAAAAATACCATATGTTATGGGTAATTTACAAAAACGAGCGACCCGACAGATGGACGAGAGCGTACTGTTCTAAGACCCGGTTATAATTTATATTTTTATTAATAACACAGTAGGTATATGAATAAATTACTTACGATTAGCCGAAAATTACATATGAATCTCCATTGTTAATCTTTTATATCCGTAACTGAGTAAAATTTGTTTTGTCTTCCGATACGCTATCTTTGAGGCCAACACATTAAACGTATTTGTAACTGTATATGTATAATTATTCTATTTATATGAAGACTTCATATATAATTGAATTTAATATTTGTCTAATTAGTTTTATAGTAAGACACATTTAATTACATACTTTATTTATTTTCTTAACCTACATTACTGTAACCAAGATACGACAATCCATTTTAAAATATAGAAACGATAATTTGAAATTATAATTCGTTACCTAATAAGACCGAAATTCAAGGCTTTGAATATTATATTTTAGATTTAAAATAAAATTTTGTACATATTAAAAATTTTGTAAGTATCTGATACTTATTTATATAAGATGATGATTTAAGTAACGTTTAAAATTTATATTAACACAAAATCATTGAAAGATTAATAATATTTAAAATATTTATATCGAATTCTGTTAGAAATAGAAAAAAGTATATACTATAGAGTTTTTGCATCTCTATAATAGTTTCAACCAAACTTAAACTGCCTTATTTATTTTCAGATCACCATAGCTTATTGAAAATCTCACGTCACTTACATGAGCCACGACCATTTTATTATTTAAATGCTCCATGACTTGTACTATAATGTTACTATTCAATATTATTGACAGCAAAATATTGACTGACAATCACCGGATGGACTATAAACGAAAACAATGTTAGAAAACAACAAAACGAATCAATGGGAAAGCGTGACCACATATGCTAGCAACAATTCTACCGGTAAAAACAATTATTATACAAAAATACTTCTAGAAATGACATTTATATAAGAAGCGTTATTAAAATTATTTCAATCTATAAAATATATCCAATTTCCTGAAATGGGAATGGTAAATACTATGGTGTTATTAAAAAGAAAAATCGAAAAAAAAGTGACTTGGAATTTTTTTCTCGATATATATCTAGCTCCTTCATAAAATCATAACTATATGTTTTATTCATTGTATACTATTTAATATTCATTAAAATATTGATAATAGACCAATTAGAAAGAAATATATCGATTGATAAAAAAACACCTAATCGTCCTCAAATGATAAATAGTTTATATATGGTCTAGGCAAGTCTAGTTTGATCTAGCTAGTATTATTTGATCTCTAAATTAATTTCAATGGAAAAATTATGACCTTCAACATTAAAAAGGTTTATTATCAATTTCCTACCAAATAATATAAAAAAGAATGTACATTTCAAGAGCCAAACAAATTAATTAAAGTATATCGTAGAGATAAGATGTGATTCAATGTTTTTTCCTGACTTCTTGACTTACTTGAAAATAAACACTTAAAAAATAACTTTTTTTATTTTTTAAAAGAACAAACCCAATGATCCTAAGTAATCTGTGGACATAGAGATATATGCTTCTATTTAAAAATACATATAAAACCTTTTTGGTCTAAAAACTCATCTAATACTCAATAGACATAGATTTCCTATCTGTAGAACATCTTTGAGGTATTTCCCAACCGCATGCGTGTTATCACGCCACGCGTTTATATGCGTTCATCGAGTAGGTAATCCCCGATTTCTCTGTTATCTGTGATAGGGGTCATATTTATATATCACTTCATATTAATTTGACGTAAACATTCATTGCCTTCTGTAAATATTGTACAACATTATTCCATTTAAAGTCACGCTTCTCGTGCACGAGGGCGCGGGTTCGATCCTAGCAAAGTACCAATGTGATTTTTTCAAGTCATATTTACTTTCTAAGAGTATATAGACAACACTGACAGACGGTGAAGGAAAATATCGTGAGGAAACCTGGACTTATAATTTCACAATTATAAGTTTGAAATCACCAACCCGTCTTGAGCAAGCGTGGTGATTAATGTTCAAACCTTCTCCATGTGAGAAGAGGCCTATGCTCAGTAGTAGGCTCTGATAGGCCGATGACGACGATGACGACTATTCCATTTAAATCGAATTAAAAGAATATTTTTAAATGACCTTCAATAAATATCCCAAAAAATTTAAACTATTTGGTCAAATTTATTTATGGGAGAAAAATTGTTGAACGGTTTATATATTGAAACAATATTAAATGTGTCGATTTAGATATTTTAAAATAAAAATATTACAAAAACTATGAAGTCTTTTTCTCTATGGCTTCTTAAACCATTTCCATAATTGTCTTTAAAATTAATGCAATTTAGTTAAGAAAATAAATGTTAAAGAAGTCATAGCTAAGTAACTTTTTAAATAAGATCCAAAGAAAATCCTTTTCTTTTTTCAGTCATATCATTCTTGTTTCATATACTTTGAATACAAATTGTATTCATATCTATAATTACGTTCTTAAGAACAAGCTGTTCGGCTTAAGACATAAATCTATTATAGACAAACAATACATACGACATTCGTATTTATTATTCTATATATGTATTAGTTTCGAAGAAATATATCCACGAGAATTCATCTACAAATAATTTAATATTTCCTAAGGATTCTTAAAATCATATTTTTTAATTAATTATAAGTAGTTATAAGTAATTGATAAGTTTCTTTAAAGACATCTAAGATTTTTGCAAGTACATATGTATATAAAAGAAACTAAATATATTTTTAAATATATATAATATTCATATAACAAGATTAACAAAGTTATATGTTATTGTGTGGTTTATGATATGGTTTCGTTAATATTTTTTTGTGTGATTATTTTTCTTTACATAAGCAGTTAATAGTTTTTAGATGACTATTAAATAGAAGTAGGACCTAGGCATATGTACTTTAAATCATACAATTAAAGGTATATTTTTAATATTCACCTGAAGCATTCGACTCATAACATTTCATGACATCCTGGTTTGTTGGTAACAGGTTTTCTTTTATATCTTCTATAGTTCCAAATATAGTGCACTTGTGTGGCTGCCTATTATTTAACATAATAGAAAAAATTAACTTCCGAGTCCTAAAACAAAAATTACACAATTTTCAATTTCATAAGATTTTACGAAAAAACTGGGCACAATGATACATGAATTCTCTGAATGTACTTACTCCAAAAATCTTTTTTTACTAAACAATGCTATTTATATAAGAAGAGTAACGTGTGTTCTAATGGATATTGCTTAAAACATTAAACTAAACCCAACGTCAAACGTGTAACTTAAGGTGCAAAAGTGGGTACTTGAATTTTTTTTCAAAACTTCAATGGCTTTACGCGGGTTGTTACAATTATAATTAGATAATATTTTAAACGGTTTATAACGATAACTAACTAATCAAACAAACAAACGAGCAGGCGCACTATGGGAAAGCCCCATACAAGGCCAAAACCCTTTCACATGAAAGTCGTTGTTATGAAGTAAAACTAATTAATTAATTTGGTCTTAAAATAATCTTTGTTTTCTTCTTCTACCTGGCAATTTCCCAGCTTTAGCCAGGAACTGCCTTACATGTTGTGAATAGTTTTGGCTAATTGTTTTAACGACCGGCCGCCTGCCTGACATCAACCCTCTTTGGGAATGCATTAATCAGTGATGTCTAAATACTCTTAGTATGTACATATTTACTTGCCAGGATCGAACCCGCGCTCTCAGGAGTGACCATTAGGCCACCACTGACTAAACCTAGGCGATCGTTGTGCATCATAGTAAAATAATATAAATTTGAAAAACATAGTTTTACTTAAATCTGTTTTGAATTGATTAAAACTGAACTAATAAATAGGGTTAATGGCCTTAATCAGCCGTCGATTTTGGAATCACAATCATTTTTACAAGAGTCTTTTAAATTGAAAGCGGGACATGTTTTCTGTAGTAAGTAAGAATACAACATAATATTTTCATATCCCTACAATGTTGTTATTGATAACCAATTTCACAAGATTGTTTTGCAAAATGTTAAGAATCAGTTTTTATATATAAAACATTGTATTATTATGACAATATTCTTATTTTTTTATTGTTACAACATTTATAACATTTAATGCTTGTTTCCGCTGATTGTTATATTTTTTATTTTTTACATATTAATTCGTATCGTAATGATAATTGGATCGAAATTAAACATCGATATATAGTTATATTTATAAAAATATATATTTAAATATTGATTTTATTGTTATATATCTTAAATTTACAAAATCATTATAAATTCCATTTAAAAACACATTATTTACTGTCACGTGTTTTACATAATTATTCTTATTTATTTTAATTATATATACTTATATTACACACGTTTGTAAAAATATTACAAATGTCTTTTCGATAACCAGACATTTTATTATTTGCGCGTCAACATGCCATATGATATAAAAAAAAATATTTCATAATAAATAGATGAAATTATATTAAAAATAGAATACTAAGCATTTTTAAACACATTTAATTGATCATGGACATTTTTCTTCCTTATAATATAAAACTAATTAAATACGATTTTAGATTACAAAACACATTTACTTCCTTTTTCATTATATAAATAATTATAATTGAGATATACCTTGAGCATGAAACTACATACATTCATCCAAAGACTAGTCATTACGTAATTTATGGCCTTTAAATTATTTTATACTATTAAATGTTTTCCCAACTGGCTTTACTTTTAGTTTGTTTTAGAGCTACTTAGATCTAATTATTTTAATTGAAGGTTAAAAGATGCGTGACAATTTGCATTCATACACTAAATGGAAATGTAAAATTCTCTTAAAATAATAATAGGAAATTTGAAATGAATTTGAATGATCATAAGAGCTTAGTTAGTTTTTTGTTTAAAATGTATTAAAATGAACCGATTATTTAAACAATTTTTTATCGGTAAAGTAATTAGAGTGTCATTAAGATAATTATTACATTTAACCGATTCATCCTAACCTATTGTTGATTTTAAAGGTATATGTATTAGCGATGTTAGATCAAAATATGTATATATAAAACTTTTATAAGACATTAATATACAGCTGGTGTGAAGTTAGCAGCTCGTCGCAGTACGTGAGGCTGTGGTACATATCCGTAGGACGTCTCAACCACACGTAAGATTCGCACGTTTATCTGTAATAAAGTCGTTGTACTTTACCAATTGATAGACTAATCAGTAATCACATTAACTGGAAATGCCCTGACGTCATTACTTATACAGTTGATGTCATTTTGTACGGTATGTTTATTTTCAACGGAAATAAATGAGCTTCGATTTTTGTGTTTGCTGTTAATGTGTACACGATTACAGGTACAAATAAATGTTTTGGGATTTACTTTTTGGTTGCTTTATGTAGTTATATGTCATATTTGATTACATTACAAATATTTTATATATAAAATTCTCGTGTCGCGGTGTTACTCAGAGAACTTCTCCGAAACGGCTGGACCGATTTTGATGAAATTTTGTGAGCATATTGAGTAGGTCTGAGAAAAGGCCAACATCTATTTTTCATACCCCAATGTCATTCACCCTTATTTTGTTCTTTTATTTTCGAACGAATTTTTTCGTTTTTATATAGCATTAAAAATACATCCAACCCATAATTTTTACTTTTTTATCACCAACCCCTACTTTTTTAAATGGCAAAACAACGTTTGCCGGGTCAGCTAGTATAATATAATATAATATAACAATAATATAGGATATCTCTACCAATTTATATCGGAAAAACGTGGCTTTATTTCAACATATTATTTACACCTGTTATAACAGAATGTAAAGTAGGAAAGGTCAAAGTTAATATGTTGATACATCCAACATAGTATCTACATATAAAAATGAATTTATATATAATATTTTATTTTATTCATATTTTGATTAGATATTTCTTGTAAACAACTTTAATACAAAAACATTATCAAAAGTTCCATGTAATCGTTAATGATTAAAATTTGATACTGTATTTATGTCTGTGCTTGTGTGTGTGTTTCTGTGCATTACCTCGTGTTTAGAAACAGTCCTCTTGAAGAATTTATGGAATCTAGTCGACAGCGCCCATACATTCCCATTGTCACGTTCAGCCCACCTCACCTCGGCACAGAACTGCAACTTCTCTGGGTCCTGGGCTAAAACTCTGTGGAGAATCAGTCGTTAAGGTTAACAACTTTAGTAGGATTTAGTAGAAAATTGTTAATGTTAAATAATTAGATGTTAAAATTAACATTATTTAACATAACTTTAGTAGGAAACTCAATTTCGATGCACGTCTCTTTTCATGCAATAAGTTATTTCTAACGAATTGTAGTATTGTGCAATCGAAATATTTATTCAAATCGAAATATTTTTTTCATTAAACAATCAGTGAGTCGGAGACTGATTACTTCTTTAAATTAAATTCAATATTTACCCATAATATTAAATAATAACTTATGATTATTATTAGTTATTATTATTACCAGGCAATAAATAATAACTAATAAAATTAAAACGGTATGAATTGAAAATAATTCCTAGGTTCCTTATCCTTTTAAAATATAAATAAATATATTTTCTTAATATGAAAGCAAATTTGATGAATAAATCAACCATCAACATATAAATGAATGAAATAACAATCATAAAATCTTTACATAATCGAAGGAAATGTACAAAAGTTCTCCTTAGAAAAAAAAACAATTGAATTGAGAACTCGTTTCTTTTGAGTTGATAATAAGTAAACACAACAATGCAGATTGTAATACCGGAACAAAAATCATTTTCCCTATTCGTGAACGATCGAGAAAAATAATGGAATATAAATTAACTTATCTAAGAATATTACTTCTGGCTATTTTTTTCAGTACTCTTCAATTATATGAATTATTAAACCAATTAAATAATATTATTATATTAAAACATTAATTATAATGTTAAATTAAACATAATTATTTATTTTAATAAAGGCTTACGTAGCCATAAATTATTGTATCATAATAAAATTTATTATGAAATTATTTGTATTACATCAATTAATTACTTGGGGCTTGGTTTTTCCTATAAGACTGGTTGTGTTTCAAAAGCATCGTATACGTAGCTTTATAAGTTTTTATACGGCAAAGATTATCCTGATCCTTAATTGAATTCATAGTTGGCAAATCCTATTACGATAATATGTAGTTGTTGTTTTAAGTTATCTAGCTAGAAAACAAATTAGTTTTTTTTGTTAAAAACATGTAGGTTTTTTGCTTTTAAAGATTATTTTTCATATATAGATAAAGTTTTTAATTTTAATTTGAAATAATCTCATAGAAGTTATATTAATTTATGAAATTTGAAACAAGTTCAATATACATATATATTTTTAATACAACTAAGATTGGGTAACTTTAAGTAATATTTATTCTTAGTGCAAGTTCAAATTCTCACATGAACACGTTTTTCAGTTTTCATTCATAAACCTTAATTGATACTATCGTATTGTACTCTGTCTGACAATGATAATTGATTTGTTGTTGAAAACTTAAAAAACGCTCGGTATATTGGAGGAACACGAAAATTTCTAGAAAGGACCGTTCATTCTGATACCACACGCTCACAACAGGAGAGTTTAGATTTATAATATATGTATAAATGAATGGCGAATACAAAACATTCTAAAAAAAGTGCTCAAGAATAAGTACGTGATTAATGATACTATAAATGCTATTCTATTTCTTATGGATATTTAAATCACCTGTGCGAGTTCGTGATGGGGTTCCAAGCGGCTATTGCAGTTTCGGTCATGGGGCTGAAAAATATGGTGTCGTCCCGTGGATCTACTGCAACGCCTAGACCTTGGGAAGACTTACGCCCCACCAGGTTAACTGGCAAGTCCTGGCCTTCTGCGGGAGGTCCTGCTGCTAATACAGCAGTCGACACACTGAACAATCTGGAAGTAAATTGTTGAATGTTAGTAATTACCAACTGGCTTACCACTACGTCTGTCTAATCAAACTCTATTCTTACTTTACAAATAAGATCACACAGTTCTATTCTATTGTCGTAAGAATATAGTTCGTTCGCTTTCTAGGAATATGGTCAATACTTTTTGAAAGAAAGACTAAAGAATAACCATACCTATGTTTTTTATGTATTAATGGCATGTTTTATATTAAGAGTAAGTATTAGGACTATACCATAAAGCAATAATTTTATCTTCATAAACATACATTCATACTAAAAGAATTATATTCACCTATCAGTAGCTAAAGGTTGGTAGTATAACAGCCCTTGAGCTGGTGAGTGTGAAAGGCCCACAACTCCGTCCATCAGCGTGAACTTTTCCCCACCGATGTCATATTCTCCAAGGTCAGGGTCTGGGTACATGGAGGCGTGAGTGACTCGCCACGCGTTGTCTCGTCTTCCATCATACACTATTATGCCTGAAATGAAAGTTACCTTCGTGATATTATCTATACAAATAAATAAAATTGGAGTGTCTGTTTGTAGTATTGAAATAACCGATTTTTACTATATCCATATGAATATGTATACGGTACGTACACAAAAGTAACATTGTTTACAATTTTTGTCTGTCTGTTCGTTAGTTCCGGCTAATCTCTGAAATGTCTGGACCGATTGTAATGGGATTTTAACTGGTAGGTAAATGATGTAATAAGGAGTAATTTAAGCTACTTTTTATACCGATCCCTAAATTAAGCGTTCTCACGCGCGAGTGGGAATCAAGACGCACGTGGCGCTTAAAAGGTTTTTTACTGTTTATTTTTTCTTATTTTTATGCAGACAAAGTCGCATGTAATAGGAAGCAATAAATAAGTTAACTATATTATTACGAAACGTAACGTATGTCAATGACATGTCGTTCTTTGTCTTCGACATCATTATTTTTAATTAATTTCATATAATAGCACTGTACACTGATTTCACGTAACTAGAAGTAACTGAATATTAACCACGTCGAATGAGAATCAAACCGCATTTCCTCTGTCTGGCAATGATAATTGCTTGGAGGAATTTTATGTAACATATAAAAGTTGCATTATTTATGTACAGATTTTTAATAATGTTCATTTATAATTGAAAATCACACCTATATACAGGGTGACTGGTGAATTACTATCGATACTTGAGGACGTGATATTTGAAGATCATATGTGACAAAATAAAAATTAATATAACATAAATATACATAAACTTCTAAGTAAAGTTAACCAAAAGTTGTGTAATTAATTACGCATCGTGTGAACACCCTACAGATTAGGTTTACACACACACGCGTGCGGTGGCGTGGTGTTGTATCAGCACGCCGCCGCACGCGTCCACACTTGGAACACTTGGAACGTGTCAACACTTTATTTATTTATACGGAAATTTTGTCAAAAATTAAGTACCTATTTTTTTACATAATTCGAATGAGAATCATGTACCGAGTATGCTCCTTAAATATTGATAGTAATTCACCAGTCACCCTGTATAGACGAAATAGATTTTTAATGATGTATTTATACATAGACAAAAAAAAATATTACAATTTTATTGTTATATAAGAAAACATGAACAGTAAGAAGTGGATTGATAAATAATATCAATAATACCGTGTCGCTTATTTTGTAAATACACACTAAAAAAAATAACGTTGCATAATATGTAACAGTAATTTTTTTTTAACTTATTAAGAGTAAATGTAACAAAAATTTCTATCAAGAAGGGAGAGGCCCACTGTCAGGTAAATATTTTAATAGTTTTATATCCGTACTAGTTTTTGCCCGCGACTTCGTCCGCGTTAGTTTGGTCAAGAGTAATATATGTAGGTGTAGCTGACCAGGCGAACTCCATTCCGTCTTAGAGGCCATAAATAATCAGGTTTTTCCTGTTTCAATCAAACAGAATGATTGACATATTAGTTAGTTGTCAAATCTTATGTCAAAAAAAAAACGTTTGTATGGGAAATAGAAAAGGGCTGTTTTTAGGGTTTGCCCGGCAATTATTTCAATTTTTCTCACCTTTTATACCTTCCCTGAACCTCCACGAACATTTCAAGACTAAGATAAGATAAATCCGTTCAGCTGTTCTCGAGTTTTAGCGAGACTAAGGAACAGCAATCCATTTTTATATATATAGAAGATTCATCAGGGTGTAACCTTATTTATTTATTACATTTATATTAAAATTTCTGTATCTATTTTATTACGAGTAGCATTATGAGTACAATCATAATGTGTTCAACTAAAACCTCACTTTCCTTAATCAGGATGTGTAGGGATGTTGACATTATGTAATTAACCGTTAAACGTTATCGAGACAATAAGGAAATAAATAAGTGATACAGTGAACCCTAGTAAGTCATTGTAATTTGGGTGATTTCTAAATCCTAATATTGTTATTGTTATTGAAATATAAGGTTCAAACTTTAAATTAAAAAGAAAAAACTAAATGCAGGTCGTTATTGTAATAGGGTATTATAATAATCACGACAACAATTAGAGATTTTTCAATATTACATATAGTTGAAACCACATAATAGTATCACTATCACAACGTCTGGACTGTCACTAACAACATTCTTGAGTACTTTACTTAATTACTACTCATTATAAGTAAGTATATTACGTAATTTTTTTGGAGAAAGTAGTTCAAATTTTAACGGTAGGTAACAAGTAACATACTTATTACATCGATTACATGATGGCGTTTCACATTTTCCGACTAATTAAACACGTTAATTCGTTATTAAAACAAAGTACGCAACTCTTTTCCATATAAGTCGTTTCAATTTGTGTCTGTCAAAGAGAATAATCCTACTTGAAAATTATTGCAATGATTCGCTAATTTCATATTGCTTTTATTTTAATTATTATTCTAGTTTCATAAAACACATTCGGTGATCACCTCGTTTAGGAACACGAGATAGTAAAACCTAATTTTCCTTTATAAATGTGACTTTTGTCATAAAGCTATTTGTGAAGAATGCATCTTTTAAGTTTTAAAATGCCAGAGAAGATTAAAAAGAGAACTTGTAAAGATATTTATAAAAAAGTGCATGAGATTTTCGAATTTTATGATTTTACCAAAACTACTTAGCAACATATCTCAAGAATCAGATATCAGATAGGAATGAAAATATTATTTCCAAATTAAAATTCTTTTAAAAATAATTGACCTATAGAAAATTAAAATAAAATGAAGTAAACACGTTTATGATAATTATGGAAAATTCATATCCGTGGAGAAAGTAAAGTCTTATTGTTAAAAACTTTTTTCTATCGAACGCAATAGCTCTGAACAATAAATGAAATAATATTGTAATGAGTATAGTTTCTCTTTGATCATTGTTATGCTATGACACCTGGGAACAGATTACAAATGTGCTAATATTACGGAAGTTCTGTTTATTGTATCTACTAAGGTACATTTGAGGTATTAGTTTCTTATCACAAATTGCATAATACGTACTTAAAAACATATCCTTTAACAAACAATTATATTTTTTTATGACTGGAGTCTACAATATTCAATCAATGAATAAAACATTTTAGCCATTAATTAACTCGCATTGATTGAAAATACATTTAATTAATGAATGATTGATTGATTCATGAAAAAACAAGATATATTTATTTCAAGATGTTCCATGAATTCGATGCTTTTAGAACACATACTGCTGGAAAAAAGAATTTTAAGGGATATATTTAGGATGAAATATAAAGAATCGGAAAATTATCTATAAATTCAATAAAGAACTACACGTTTTTAAATATCTTAATATGCCGGATACCAGACATATGTAGACATATCCTATCGAAAGTTCTCAGAAACTTTAGTATGTGTCATTCGTGACATATGCAGTGAGTTGTGTCATTGTTTTGTGTCATAAGTATCGAGATTCTGACCTTCAGAACGTTTTACTAAATATATAATCATAAACACTTTAATTTCAAACCGTTTCATATATAATTAACAATAATTCATGGTTCGTTTTAAGCTATGCACTAAAACTAATTATATCATACCGCTTGTAATAAAATAGCAATAAAATTGTTCTCTTGTTAATAAAATGAAAATATTGTTGAGTGTACAAGTTTTAAAGTCAAGGTTGAAAATAAATAAAATTTTGGTAATATATGCCAGTAAGTAGAATATGTATACTCACCAGGAGCTACTGTGTCAGAAATGTAGGCGAATATATTATCACAGTTAGCTGAATGTCTTGAATTTGAAGATTTTGTGTCGTCCAGTACAATATTTGTAAGTAGAGACGCCGGTCGTAGTAACTCTCTCGGGAAATACACGCTCCTCACCTTCAAAATAACAAATCAATTCTTTTATTACTTATAAAATACGGTACTATTTACAACACTATCATTAGAGCATTAAATATTTCAGAACAATGAAAGATTTATCGTATTTGAGACTTGAAAACAATGATTTTACTATTAACAATTCGGAACGGGCACAAATACAATATATACCTTATGTTATGGGTCAAGTGATTAATGCGGGCAGTATTCATAGTGCCCGGGCAATGTGATAAATTGACTGGTTATAATAACATTGCCCGGGCATTTTGAATAATATCCGATTAATCACTTTGCCCACAACATATATACCTACTATTAAAACAATATTTCACGGATATAAGCTGGTTCATAATATCTGTTACAAGTTCCGACATCGAGGTCGGTCTTTTGTGATATTTGAAAGGGTGTGCATTCATGAAGTAGCGTGCTGCTATTATCATTGGCTTATATTAAATAGATTACAAACATCTTATTATTTTGTTTCCATTGCTTGTATAATGACATATCCTGTACACTATTTAGATATTAAGTGGTCAATGTATTATCTAACAGTTATAATTTCTCAGAAATAATAGTCTATATAAAATGGATTGAAAATTATGTTTAGAATTCAAAGTTTAATAGAAAGATACATTAAATAAAAGCTATTAATTTTCTTTATATTTAATTCTATGTGTGGGTTTTGCGCGTCGTTAATCAAAACCCGTATGGTTTTAGTATGAAACATATAAATTATCACACGTAATCATAATGATTGATGTATTTTAATAAACACATCATAATTCAAGACGTCACTTGCTAACTAAGATCCGACTTCAATGTTCTAAATATTGTTCCAAATATATTTTAATATGACATTATTTACTTAGTTTTATATCACCAATGAAAACTTTTTTTATAATAACACTATAATATCTTATACATACATATAACATCGTAATTTAAATACTTTATACTATAAAAACAGTTGATAATTTGTAAACTAAAAGTCATGTAGTCATAGAATACATTTCCTTTTCGATGTATGCTTAGATCAATCGTTAGATATTATGATTCATGAAATTTAATTCAATTAGTCTCTAACTAAAACTAAATAAAATATTTAAATATAAATATACAAAGGAGGTCTTAATTATATATTATCAAATATAATCATAATTTTTATGCTACTTACGTTGTTTTGAAATCTCTTTAGCACATTGTTTAAATGAATTACAGTAATTAGAGATACATTGTTAGTGACTAGAACGGAAATCTGTCTGCATACAAAAATAATTTAGTTGGTTTTTGTTGATAAAATTATTGTATAAATTACTAGTTAATTATATTGAGATCTAAGACTTTCGCGAGTATTCATTTCGTTAATTATTATTTTCCGAAATCTCTCTCTCTCTCTCTCTCTCTCTCTGTTTATTTCTTTCTTGCTATTTACTTAATTTTAGTGACGTAAAACGAAGATTTTGGGTACATAAATATGACACTTAACTGATCTGGAAATTTCCCTATGTATACAAGAAAATAAAAGTTACAAAAAAGTTAAGGAGCTAGTATGATAATTTAAAATTATTAATAAAGCTGTTCAAACATGGTTGATAAATTAAGTTTTCAAACACACATTCAAAATTACATCCAAATTGGTTAAGCAATGTTTCGTGTGTTTTAGTAAGTACTCAACACTCGAATAAACTATTGTGTTTACTTTATTTTATTGATACACTTTATGTCCTACTTAAGTAGATACTATTTGTTAATTTCTTCAATTAATTTGTTATGTTAAAATCAATTATGTCGTTCTAGTTATAATAAACTAAACAAAATTCAATGGCTGTATTCAATCAGTTTAGAAGGGCGTTTTATTATTCAGTGACCCAACCTTTCCGTAGTATTAAAGCTAAAGATCATTCTTACTCTCAATTTATTTTAACATCTATACATTATGATATACATATCCCTACTAATAAGTAACTCTGTCTGTCTGTCTGTTACGCTTTCACGCCTAAACCACTGACCTGATTTTAATGAAATTTGGTACAGAGATAAAATTGACCTTGAGAAAGAATATAGGATAGTTTTTATCCCAGACTTTTGAAAGGTTCTCTTGGAAACGCGATATAACCGAACACCACGCGGGCGAAGCGAAAACGGGCGGAAAGCTAGTATATACATATATATATATGTTCTATTATACTGTTACTGACCATTTTACATAATGATTTGTGAAATATAAATAATGTCTTAACCATTCAGTTAAATCGATTCGGTATTACGCAAGACATATCAAATTATTATTAAAGTAATAATTATTTGTCATTGTGTTGCGTCTCCAGATGTTGGCAAACTGACAAGTAATGTAATTGTAACGGAAACTCAAAGCCTTGATAATTGCGACCGCGAATACGAAAAGTTTGTATGACCTCCATATATTGTTAAGAAATAACTAAAATGTTACATATGTGAAACATTTCAGTGTACTTTTACAAGAATAATCCGTGAATATATATTTTTTATAAAAAAAATAACACATATAAATGGAACTAAGTTATTCGAATACGTTTTTTTACTATTTTTATTAAGTTATTCGGCTACGTTTTTTTATTATTTTTACTAAGTTATTCGGCTACGTTTTTTTATTATTTTTACTAAGTTATTCGGATACATTTTTTATTATTTTCACATGTAACAAACGAGATGAGTTTTATCTCGTCTGCCCATAATCACGGTTGCTGTAAAGTGTAAAGGAACTGAAACGTCGGGATTTTGTAAAAATCATAAAAAACGCGTACTATCACAAAAATTTAGTTATATTTAAATGCGTGCATGAAAAACTCTCATATATTAATAAAGATCATATATATTTTTCCATTACAAACTAAAGATTCTAATAATAGACTCTATTTTTTTCTTCAGAAATGTAATTGTAAACTACTTTTCCGGTGTGTAATGGAACAATCATGTTACATTAACCGTGACCAAATTTAAGATGAACGCTTGACGCGGCCATGTACGTACGTCGTACATGTTAGTCCATTGATACCAGGTCAAATAATTCAAAATGGCAGTATTGTATTTACTTTTTCCTTTAAAAATTAGCAATTTTTTTGTTGCAAGTACAGTTTTGTTTAACAGTATTCATAATAACTCTTTCTACATAGATTTAACACATTTCTTCGCAAAGTATTAGGATTATAAATTCAAATCTCTCTTCGTATAAAAGATGTTTTCTATCTACCGAAATATAAATCTATTTTTAGAAGCCTACAACCTTGCTTTATCCTTTCTAATATAATTAAAACTCAGCTTTAATCATGACACGAATTAATATTAACAATACATATACAAAAAATACTTCCGCGATCTTATCTAGTAAATATCCCAAAAAACACCAATTAATACAATTTGCGTTTTCGATAAGCCTGGCATTGAAATATTGCAAGCTAAGTTTATAGGTTAATAGAAATGTAGGTCATACTGCAATAAGTAAGCGTTATATGAAGGATAAACTACAAATATTCCGTTACATATAAAAAACATTGAATATCTGAATGCTTCCGAAAATATAAAGTACTAGTAAATATTATGTAGTACTCACCAGTTGGTCTGTAGTCATGTCGAAGATGAGTATCTTTGGTGGACAGACTCTTCTGAAGTCGTCCAAACTTGTGATGACTCCAGCATCCAAGACCCAGAGTCTGTTACACCGATCGGCTCTCACACGATACACAGAAATTAATCCGGTGCAATTGATGTCACCTCGACCAGCCGAATGCCATGACCAGTCGGGATAGGCCTGGGAACGAAGTTATAGAAACTTAATAAAGACAACAAATTATTGATATTTCACCATTAATAGTAATGGTATGTATAAAACACGTTAAAGAAGATTAACAAGAAATTCATTATCATATTCTTAATTACGTAAATGTATTGGACGCATTAAAAATATGTACTTTAAAGCCTGCAAACTATCATGAACTATGTTAGCGAAACTAAATTATTCCTTGTTGATAACCAACCCTTTTTTTTGATGACGCAGGGAAACTCTTTTTACGAGCCGTTCAACCGGCCTTGGTGGGACCGGAAGGGATGTGTGAGGCTCGGCCTAGGCAAGCCCCTACTCACTAAAACCACTGCGAAAGCCATCGGCCGCTATGTTCACGACAATCAGATTTAATAAAGAAATCCATTTCCTTAAGATCAGTTTGCATAATCAAACTACTTACAGATATTTATATTCCCGTTATTCATTCAGTAATATATAAATTGTTATAAGAATGTGCGAACGTTTGAACATTTATAAATGAAAAAATGATAACGATCCAACTAGAATGACACTGCAACTTTGAGTAAGCATTTTGATATGTAAATAGTTTATACTTTCTGCATTATTTACTCTCCGTTTTTTAACTTAGTATTCTATATCGTCGTGACAAATGCAGCTTTAGAAAAGATTTATTGCCATTAATTCTTATCACATTTTAAAATAACAATACTATCGATGGTAGCCCGCTCTTGGAATATGAATTAGTTCAGGAACAAAGAAAATCGACGGTAGCAATAACCGTATGAGGTTGAGATGACAATGAGATTGAAAGTGAAGAAGAAACGATTGTGAATAGCATTGTTGTTCACGCTAAGAATACTAACAAGTCATTCAACTTAGTAAAAAATATACATATATAATAGTATTAAAATTTACACAAGACTAAAATAGTATTATGTTCACTGCTTATAAATAAATACAAAAAAGCATAACAGTTTTTAATTTATTTTATATATAGATTTTACTGAGCGGTTAGAGAAAGTTTATTAATATACGTATACATACAATTTTGGTATTAATTTCAATTTGCCCAATTATCGTAAAGATAGACCTTAACCTAATTTATATGAAACCTCATAAGAAAATCGATCATTACAATTCTACAGGTGACAATTGTATAATTTTTGACACCTACAATGTATCAAAAGGTTATATATAATAACATCCAATAGCGAATGTCTCTGGCTGAGATGGAGGTTGTCAAGGTCGCACCTAGTTTCTGCCCTTCACGCTTTCTCGTGCCAATTGTATGTACCATGTAGCCATGCGGCCGTGCGAGGTCGCAGTTTATAATTATAAAGTAACTTTACAAAAAAAATAATTAATATTTATAATTTTTTTTTAAATCCATGACCATTTTTTAGAAATATGTTTTTTATGCTATGTCTTCAGTCCCATTGTATTCATGAAATATTAATGCCAATTGTGACAATGTCAATATTTTTAGTTGTTGGACGAATTATAATCTTGAGTGCTGCGAGTAAATTGATGTTGAAGCACGTCTTTAATAATACTTTATAGGATGAAAATTGATTCAAAAAGCATGGTCAAAGTTCAAAATTCAATTTATATATTTTTTAAATATATCACAAATAAAATTTTGGAATGAACAACAAGCGGAATTTATAATAAACACTCCTTTGAGGTACAACTTATTTTATCGTCTAAAATGTTTGATTGAAAACTGACACAGACAACAGATAGTAATAGATACTGACATTGTAAATAGTCTATCGTGTAACAAGAATTGTAAAACCGATATTTATAGAATAATAATTATTGTTATTGCCTAAAACATTCAGAACATAATGGCAGGCTGTCGCGTGGCCGCATTATCACGAGTGAAGTGTTGCAAAACCGATCCTGTTTGTTCTTGTTTTAGTTAAATATTTAAATGAATTAAATGTCTTAATCCTTGAGCAATGTTTCGTTCATGTCAAAGATTAATGAGAATAGATTACAGAAGATAAAACTTGTAGTTCTCGTATTTTTAGCCATTTCTTATTATTATTTTCCATTATTTCTTTTAAGCTCTCTTTCATTAAATTACAATCAATTTTATATATAAATAATGAGTGATTATGAGTTTGTTTATTTGATGTCTTAATGTTCATCGCCCGAAGATACAATGTGCTTAATAACAAAATAGCTTTTATTGCCTCTTTTTGTACAACTGTTCAATTATTATATTACTGTTATAAAGTTGTATGGTCAATTAAACTTTTTATAGCTTTAGAAGCACGTGTTTGACGATTTTGGGATTAAGTATGACTAATTATACCTATTAAAAATTAGAAACTGTTCCATCATATTTTTATAAAAGAGGCAAAGTTAAAAAAATAGCTTAAAATTGTATAAAGCGTAATGACTTTTGAATAAATAAGCAAATTGTAAAGTAACTTTCGAGTTGAATGAGATGAACTCTACTTAAGCAAAACACTCATCATCCTGCCAAAATTTTTTTTAGGAAAAAAAACTGCTTCCAGTTTTGGATAGATTTTTCACATTCACGTGAACCGGTATATAATACCGATTCATTTAAAATAAAAATCTGTTATAATAGGTACTTGAAACTATTGCATAGGCTTTCAAATGAATATTGAATTTGTCTTAAAGGTTGATAAAAAATTAAATAATGCTAGAGCCTAACAATGAAGCTACAACATCAAATATATTTGGTCAACTTACTTTAGCTTCGTTTGTAAACGCAAAAATTCTATGGAAAAATAATTAATCTACCCCGACCAATGAAGCCTATGTTTAAAATATATATTCAAAATCAACTCCAGATAACCATTCTCTTATTGAAAATAAACTTCAACGCAACACAAATCGGATATATAATAAATTAGAATAATTATAAATTGGTAGAATTTAATGAAATTCAATTATAACTGATTTCAATAAATTTATACATTGATTTGTATTAGGCGACAAAAAATCGAGCGACTTCAATCAAGTAATCTTTTTAAGCAACTTAATATATATTGCTTAATGTAAAACCCTCATAATTACTTTTTATATCACCATACAATTCACATTTCAAAATATTTACCAACCATTTTTAGCAATATTAAGAAAAATAATATATAATACAGTTAATCAGGTTATATAAATATTTTTAATTATAATAAGTAGATTATTTATTTACCGAAACTTATCTTGATTGTATTTTTTTTATTCATTCTCAAACTTAATGTTGTGTGTCACACGTAATGCAATAAAATATGTAAAGTTAATATTACTTTTAAACTCGTTTTTTTTCAAGCGAACCTTTCGTTTGTATTATTTTTTATTACAGGAAGTCGGAGTTCGAGGCCCATAAAATGCTATACGACCAAGAAGGAAGTAAAGTTATTCAAATAGCTGCTACGTAAGGTATTTCTCGTTGTAGTATTGGGAAAAATTTTAATAGATTTACCTGCAATACTGGACTGACGCCTGGTGGAAGAGATCGGGGTACCCAGGCTAATGTGGCGGGGACACCGGCCCTCAAACGGGGAATCCCCAGATAAAGCCGATCCCAACCGATCTCCAAACCAGTTGGCACGGTGTTCTCTGGTTGGAATTTTTCCAGAAGCACCGGGTCAGGTGGGAAGTCGAACTGCATGAGACTCCATTGGTTCACTACCTCGAGTGTAGCGCTGGTGAGTGCTATGCACGCGCATAACACTATGGTTCGTACCTCCATTTTTGTCTAGAAACTGAAAGAAATACGATATTTGACTACAACTTTATGATTATTATTGAAAATTACATAATACATAAACCTTTTCTACAACGCTTCTTTGTAAGCGATGTGTTAAGAGACAGAGTTTTTTAGGAACTTATTTGGAACTTAGTATAGCACCTAGCAGTTTTCGTATTACTTTAAAACAATTGATTTTGATTTTGAAAGGTTTTCATATAGTTTGACTGAGGGCAAAAGTTACTTTCCAAAATTTGAAAGGTGTTGCACTTGATTTATTTGTTTTGGAGCCTTGAAATGTGGTTACTTTCTCAATTTTGCAAATTATATGCATATAAGACGTTTACTTTATGAACCCGTGTAAATGAAGAGAACAAAAATATTAGGTACAAATCAAACTCTAAATGTCGACTACTGAACAAAAACAATTAAAGAAAAAATAAAGCTAGGCAGTGAAAAAAGTCAGCGTTCATTGACTTCTTTTTGATCGATTATTTCTTATACCTAAGTTCTTTTTAACAAAATACAATGAAAAGTCCATGGGCCAATAGCAACTTATTTGATACTCAAACGTATAATTTGACGTCTAAACCACAAAATATGTTTAAAGGTTAACAAAATTGCTGCAATTTCCTTGTAAACAATAGAACCATGCTGACAGCTTTGAATGAAACTTCCACGTTAACAAACTCATTTAAATGTCACCTCTAGGCACATGTTAAGTATTAAGCAATTTAAAATCATATTCTATTATATTTTGAAAAGAATCATAAACTTCTCTTCTACCTGGCAGTTTTCCAGCTTTAGCCAGGGTCTGCCTTACATGTTGTGAATAGTTTTGGCTAATTGTTTTTAAAACCGGCCGCCTGACATCAACCCTCTTTGAAAATAATTATAAACATTTACATATAATCTGTTTTATATCATCCACATAATATAAATCCATTTTAATTCAATATACCCCTAACATATATATTTAAAATGTCCTTTTTAAAACACCATGTGCGATGTGAAATGCAATATATTTCACATAACAAGTAAATAACTAACAACCAATCTTAAATGTGCAAAGTAAACTCGTTAACTTTCTTGAATTACGCGAATCTTGTGGGTGAAATCGTTTTTAATTTGTTTGAAACTTCATATTATGTTACTACTACTTCAAAGATACAAACATACAAAAGATGTGAAGTTCTCATTATTAATATTTAGTAATAGTTTGCAAGAACGTAATATAATTGAAACTATTCGCAGTCATTGAATTGGCAAAAAAAAGAATTATACACAATATAATTTCCTTTAAATGTTTAAGTCTCAATCTTCATTCTTGCGTCTTAACAAGAAATTGTTAACGAACGTAATTAACTAGATTTTTATACTAATCATAAGTTTGATAGCAATTATAACGTAATGATAAACGCAAATAGACCTCGACCGTCAAGTTTCACAAGTTTTAATCTAACTACAAGTTTTCACCGTCACTCTATACGTAGCGTGCGACGTTTCTTCCTAATAAATTTAATTTGATACTATCATATGTGCGTTTACGAATGAAAAATTAGAAAGGCTACGTTTATAGTGTGGTAATGCAAACTCATAGTAACTGTCATGTCCAAAGGATTATTATTATCGAGTAAATAAATGTATTCAACGTTTGCTATAATCATAATTTATAAAATATCTACATGTCCATAACGTTTTAAGGAAGCTAGCTTCTTTTATATAACTACTAATAAGCTTGAAATTATGCCCCTATCGTACCAAACTGTTCCTGATTGCTATAAAATTTTACCTTTATCTATCTGATTGACATCTTATGATGATTTAATATTTATAGGAGAGAATTAATATAATCAAATATAAGTATATCAATATTAGGAATGAATATTGATTAAATAATTAATAATGAACCTACATCATTAACCATTTTAATGGTAAGAGCAAGTAAATTCACAAAATTATAGTTGTCAAGCGTCTGTATGTGTATAGAACTAAATAAAGCAAAGCCTACAAAAACGGTTTTACATACAAAAAATAGTATGTTATAACCATTAATAACACTCCAAAAACGTTTAATTAACCGAATCAATACAAAATTATAACACCTTGGCCCAATTAATTGATATTAATGAGCATATAAAACAGTTAACAAGTTATTTCATAAGTAATATTGATATAATCGATTTACTTAAAATTACCGAACATGCGATGTTTGTTTAACTAATGTATAACGTTTCAATGATGTATAATTACTATTGCAAGTGTAACTGACACGTATTTATTTTGGAAAATAATTGATTATCGTTAACTATGATTAATTAATTATACTTTGTTACCGCAAAAACGAATCCTGTATGGTATAATTATATCAATCAATTTTTACGTAACCGATATGAAACATTTTAGGTTCCGGAGGAACGGTAAAAGGAGGTTAAATATTAAATACTTGAAATCAATACATCAAAGTTGCTTATAAGAGTTTGCATATTTCAGAACAGATAGAATTTTTTTATTTATTACTAGCTGACCCAGCAGTCTTCGTACTGCCTCAATCGAGAAATAAGTAATTTCTTATTTATTTTTTTGGAGTTTACCTTTAAGTCATAAATCTCCGTGTTTGGAAGTGCGACAGAATTATTGACATATTAGTTAGCTTTCAAATCTAATGTCAAAGAAACGTTTGTATGGGAAATAAAAAAGCGCTGTTTTTAGGGTTTTCCAGCAAAATAATCATTTTTTTAGCTTTTAAACCATTCCTGAACCTCCACAAATATTTCAAAACTAAGATAGGATAAATCCGTTCAGCCGTTCTCGAGTTTTAGTGAGACTAACGAACAGCAATTCATTTTTATATATATAGATAGATTTGACAAAAAGATATATGAATATAACTATTGGAATATAAATTTAAATTGTATAATGATTTAAATAAAAATTGTTAGTATATAATGAGTTATATATTTTTTTAAAGTCCATTCCAAAACGACCATTTATAAATTTGATTTAAATGATAGCTTCACACCAATTAACCATTTTTTTAAAGTAATAACTTAAAAAAAATGTATACACATACATAAATTTTATGCATGATTAACAAACGTACAACTATTATGTAGATTATGTACCTACAGCAACAACATAAGGTGTACATTATTAATTACACGCTTTATAATCAAGTATGATTTATAATGCGACTGTTATATAGGACATATTGGAATCAAATAAAATTGAGATTTCATTAACTTATAAATTAAAAAATAATATCATTTGCAAAACTCAGCTTAGTAGACGTTCTATTGCCACAACATCTATATAGAAATAAATTTTTCGTCGTGCTAAGACATTCCATATATTTTTCGTACAAAATTTTATGTTCGATAAACTTTTTAATGTGTTTTTTTAATGGATACTGAAAAATTGTTGCAACAAACTTAATAAATATAAAAACTAAGGAAACGATATTTTGTATTTAAAAAAATCTGCAGTTTGCTATAATTATATTTAATAAGTATAACAATTATTTTTATATCTGATAAATTTTAACTAAAGTAATATTAGAAAACTGAATGTTTTTGGAGTGAAGTCATAACTTCCTATTTGATAAAAAGCATTTTTTCAATGTTTATAATTTTGGTTTTTACTCTAGAAAAGCTAATTATTCAAAACTGGAGCTATTTTAATCAAATTAGACTCAGTCTGTCTTTGTATGTTCTAAATGATAACAGCTTTTGAAAAACCGTTGAAATTCATATCCTAAAAAGTCAGGAATTAATACAATTTATGACAATGTAAACATTAACTTAGCAAAACATCTACAAAACCCTATTGTCTTACTTGTTAGAAACAACTCAAAACAATGCACTAGCCCCAAATAGGCCACTCAATACAATACAGCGACAATGTTGAAATCTATCGATAATGCCGTACTTTGTCTACCATTTGTCTTCATTATGTTAACACCATAAATCATAAAGCAAAACAAATATTCGATATTTAGAGCTGTCGTAAATGTCAAAAATGAAAATATTCGGATGTGATAAATCACTTCGTAAATACAAAACGGCCATTAGTGACGCATTTGATATCGATAGAAACTAATCCATTATGATTATAATATAATTATATCGATATTTTTCTTTGTATATAATAGTCATTACTAGGCTTTCGTTCTATAAAGTGATGTGTGGTGCAATTATAGACTCAATGACATTAAGGAGTGTAAAATAAAATATTTTGCAACTACTAGTAGCTGTCGTGGCCTGTACATACATACATACGTGGTCAATTATGGTAGACAGTAAAATGTTGGAGCAAAAACATCGAATCAATGACATTCCTAAGTCTTTTTTGTAAAGCTTTGTATTTTATAGAGCATGTAACTTATTGAATTAAATGTTCGTGTCCTTTACTATGTTTAGTTCTCACAGATATTAATGCTAGCATAAGTATTGAAATTTCCAATTGTTTCTAAAATATTTCGTTGAGTTTCATGAGTTTACAAGAAAAGAGGTTTTACTCTCATAATATTTTACATAAATAGGTACATTTTTATTTATTTCATTACAAATGTAGTATTGAAATTTCCAATTGTTTCTAAAATATTTCGTTGAGTTTCATGAGTTTACAAGAAAAGAGGTTTTACTCTCATAATATTTTACATAAATAGTTACATTTTTTTTATTTCATTACAAATGCTAGTCGACGTTATATTTTTGTTTATAAAAAATGTTCCGTATTGTTATCTTGTTATGTAAAAATATCTCGCGTCGCACGCAACATAACATCTGAACAACATTTTGTATGAGACCGAAAGTGATACAATTTGTCAGTGGAGATCAGGTTTTGAATCTGGATGAATAATTATGTACGGTATTACAGTCTTTACTACATATGACGTAAAGACTAGTTTATCAAAACATATTTTTTTGTCATATCGTGAAATGAATATGAATGTGTGTTAAGAAGCTAAATACTTTCACTGATTTTTAATAATGGCTTTCGTA